GGGGGGGGGGGGGAGTAATTAAAGAAACAAATAATATAATTGCTAAAAAGATTAGGAAAATCCAGAGATGTGCCTCTTTGGGCTATTTGGTGGAAAAAAAATCAGTGAAGGGGATGTAGAAATCTATCAATACAGTTTTGTTGCAGCAGGAATAATAATAGCAAACTCTTGGAAAGGAGAAAAAGAGCTGTTGCTAAAAGAAATAGAGAGAAAAATTATTAGAATATATCCAAATGGCCAAGCTATCCAATGACATATGGGAAAGAAGCAATCAAGACTCTGTTAAGAAATGGAGCTTTGCATTTAGATATCTAGAAAGGAAGACAAAAATTGATTACAAAGCAGTCACAAGAGGAATTTATTAGTGTAGGATAAGGGTAGGTTTTTTTGAGATATTAGTTTCATACTGGGTGGTGTCAGAAGTCATGGGTGGTGGTTTACGGGTGGGGAGAGGGGGTGGGAGGTTTGGGGGAATGGTATACCTGTATTATGTGTATTTTATTATATTTAGATGTTTTCTTTCTCATATTCTGTATACCATTAATTCACTTAATACAAACATTTAATAATAAAAAAGAATACATAAATCTATATTTTCCCATGCTTTCATAGAATCATAGAATCATAGAGTTGGAAGAGACCTCATGACCATCCAGTCCAACCCCCTGCCAAGAAGCAGGAAAATCTTTGAGTGCCCTTTTTATTTAAACCACTTCCTCAATATTGTTTAGCTCACTTTTGCTTTTAATTGCCCATTTTAAGCATGAGTAGGAATTGTTACATGATTCTTACATATAACTTTTGGGAGCATCAAATACAAACGGTTCCAAAACTGCTGCGAATAGAAAGCACTAACAAAAGAATAATTCACCCTTTTATTTTATTAAAAGATGACAATAAAGTGTTGTAAGCTACTCAGTTGGCTGTTCCAGCTTGAGCCAGTTTCTTGAAAACATTTGAAAAAATTATAATTTTAAGACTATTTCATGCCAAACGTATTTTTGGTGAGATATGCATAACAAACATATATTTTAATAGATGAACAGAAATACAGAAAGCATACTTTTGGCATAAAACTATTTTTATTATCAGCACTGATAAGATAATGGGAAAAGAAGAAGAATGTCGCTATGGAAAAACAGCAGAGTTTGCTTACCAGGTACAATAAGAGCATTTGTATTCAAGCTAAGCAGTTTTTCATTCTTGAGCCAACTGAGATCAGGAGGCGGAAAGCCAGTAACCTCACAAGTGAAGGAGATGAAGTTATTCACCACAACAGTCAGATTCTCGGGATTAATGCCAACAATACTCGGAGGAACTGTCAAAAGATGCACAAGCTGAAATTTTACACTTTGCCTCTAGAAGCACCCGTAAATTTAATCATGCAATGTCGAGTATATTTACCCCACTATAAAACTGGATCTCATTGTGTAGTGAAATACATCCCTGAGCAGTCTTAGAACTTTGTAGTCTTTTTGTATTTTGCAAAAACTCTAAACATTTCAATGTCTGGCAGATTTTTTCATTCTAATTAAGGCATTTCTAAATAGCACAGAATGGATTGCAGACACTTTCAAATACATATTAATATTTTGTTGTAATATTGTAAACATCCAGTGAAAAGTGTAAATATAGTGTATTATAGCCTATGTCATTTCATATTTCTGTAATACTTTATTTAAAAACTAGGCATGTATGATCAATAAATACAATGTTTCAAAAATTATTCCTAAATTAGGTGGTGCTGGCATTTTGTTTCTAAAGTGTTTCTAAAATATAGTTAGTGAAAATTTCATTACTATAACAAGAGTAATAAAATTTTGTTACTTTTTCATATTTTGTATAATTACTATAATTGGGTAAATTTTGGGGGCTCCTTTCTCCCTCACTTTTAAAGCTATTGGGATGAAACTTGCTTCAATGGTAGAACACATTTACCACTCTTAGCTCGTCATGTTTCAAAACATTTCACTTATCCATAGATTTTTGGGGAATTTTCAAAGTTTTTATAAGCAACATTTTAAAAAACACAAGAGCTATCTCCTTGAATTTTCTATACAATGACAGGAGATAACAGGGGATGATTTCCCCAACATTCAGAAATATTCATACATCTACTGATTTTAGGGATTTAAAAAAAGTTTTGACAAAAGGATTTTTAAAGCCACAACAACTATCTCATTGAATGTCACATATTAACCAATAGAAACCAATATTTACCAATTCTATATTTTCATAGAATCCTAGAGTTGGAGGGGATCTCCAAGGGTCATCTAGTCCAACCCCCTTCTTCCAGGCAACTGACAGATGGCCATCTAGCCTCTAAATTAATCAATATGCTTCCACTATTGGGTTGTAAGGGACCCCCAAGGGACATCCATTTAGGATATCTTTCCATCCCAGCACAGAGATTTACTTACTAGAAGAATCACTCCTCTTTGGAGGTTCATTGTAACTCTGGTTGGCTCTTGCTATGGAAAGAAAATAGCTCTCTCCTATCCTGATTCTGTGATTTCTTTCCCAGCAAACTCTGCTTTCTCCTTGCTGCTTCCCTCTCCTAATGACAAAAGGCCATTAATTTAAAGAGGAAATGCAGCTTTTTGGGCTTTGCTTCCTGGTTTTGAAAATAAAACTGACTTCGTGAGGCTTCTGAGATTTACAAAAAAAAAGTATTAGGTAAGTTTTGATTCTTATGTTTTTGGCACAGGCCATGCACATGTGTTGGATATTACCTCATAAGTACAAATTTAACAGATTTGATCGACTTACAAAAAAATTGTCCATGCCTATTAAAAACCAAATCTCAGCCCATATTATATTATAGGACTAAAACCTGTGATAAGGATACATTGAAAAGTTGCACAATGTAAGTATAAAACAATTCAATTGGTTTGCCCATGAATAATATAAATAAATGGGTTGTTGTAGGTTTTTTCGGGCTGTATGGCCATGGTCTAGAGCAGGGGTCCTCAAACTTTTTAAACAGAGGGCCAGGTCACAGTCCCTCAAACTGTTGGAGGGCCGGATTATAATTTGAGGAGAAAAAAAAGAATTGATTCCTATGCAAACTGCACATATCTTATTTGTAGTGCAAAAACACTTAAAAGCAATACAATAATTAAAATGAAGAACAACTTTAACAAATATAAACTTATTAGTATTTCAATGGGAAGTGTGGGCCTGCTTTTGGCTGATGAGATTGTTGTTGTTGTTGTTGTTGTTGTTGTTGTTGTTGTTGTTGTGTGCTTTCAAGTTGTTTCAGACTTAGGTTGACCCTCAGCAAGGGCCGGGTAAATGACCTTGGAGGGCCGCATCCGGCCCCCGGGCCTTAGTTTGAGGACCCCTGGTCTAGAGGTATTCTCTCCTGACGTTTCGCTTGCATCTCATTCTTTCTTTATTGAAATTTTATTTTTGATTTCTTGCCCAGAAAGTAGGTTTCAGTTTATTAGATCAGTCAATCTTAGAAGAAACATGTCTCATTAACATAGGAGGATTTGCCTCTTCTTCAATGGCATCTACTTTGACACAGGCAAACAAAGAAAGTGTGCTGCTTTCTATTGATCTGTTCAATTAGATCCAATATTAGACATATTTAGAATAGATCCCTGAAATAAATTAAATGCCTCATTTTCCAACTAACTGGCCTAAGTACCATTGACTACTAAAAAAATAAACAAATGGGTCTTAGAGCACATCAAGTCTGAACTCCCAGTAGAAGCCGGTGACCAGGGGAGCATTCGCACAGTTAAAACTCATGCGCCAGCTGCGCCCATACCTTGGGAAGTCTGACTTGGCCACGGTAGTCCACGCTCTGGTTACATCCCGTTTAGACTACTGCAACGCTCTCTACGTGGGGTTGCCTTTGAAGACAGCTCGGAAGCTCCAACTAGTCCAACGCTCGGCAGCCCTGATTTTAACAGGAGCGGAGCGCAGGGAGCATACAACCCCCTGTTGCGCCAACTCCACTGGCTACCGATCTGCTACCGGGCTGAATTCAAAGTGCTGGTGTTGGCCTTTAAAGCCCTAAACGGTTCCGGCCCAAGCTACCTATCTGACCGCATCTCTGCCTATGAACCCACCAGGACTTTGAGATCTTCCGGGGAGACCCTGCTCTCGATCCCGCCTGCTTCTCAAGCTCGGCTGGCGGGGACGAGAGATAGGGCCTTCTCGGTGGTGGCTCCTCGGCTGTGGAACGCCCTTCCTACGGACATTAGACTAGCACCATCTCTAATGGTATTCCGCAAAAAGGTGAAGACCTGGATGTTGGTGCAGGCGTTTGAGTAATTTAGTGCAATCTGGTAATGGAACATAGGAATGGAACAATGGACGACGAACCTGGACTACGCTTGGATGATGAGAAGATTGGGTACGGTTGTTTTTTGTAATAATTGTGCATTGTAATTGTTTATTGGTAATTTATGGATAATGTGTTAAGTCAATTGTTATATGTTGTATGGAACCACTGCTGTTTCTACTGTTTTTACTGTTTGCGAACCGCTGTGAGTCGCCTTCGGGCTTGAGATACAGCGGTATATAAGCAAAGTAAATAAATAAATAAATAAATAAATAAATAAATAAATAATGGTTAAGCATTAATCTCTCTCCTAAGAGAACACATTATCGCCCTTGGGCAAATTACAGTGGCTGAGTTACAAAATCTGTTTCTACCTGAGGTTACTCTCAACCTTCTTCTTTTGAGACAATGTGATGTATAGGACAAGGGGATAATGCTTGCTAAAATAGAAGCCAATAGGAAAAGGGAGAGACTACAATACAAGTGAATTGATTGAACAAGGAAGTCATGGTTCTTAATTTGCAAGACTGGAGCAGGACAACTGATAATCATGGCTCTTGGAGGTTTCACATGTATAGGGCCACCATATGTGTAGTTGACTTGATGATAAGTAACCAACAGCAACACGTTAGAATAGAGTCACTGAATTGTTAGGAATTTGATAGGCCAGCATTGATGTCATTTCCACCTATCAAAGAGATCTGCTCTGATTGAGCCTAACAGCTAGATTTAATTATTATTTAATTATTGGTGTAAACTTTTCAAATTTGCACAAGAATAAAGATATTGGCCTTAATTCAGTCTTTAATCCAAATTAGTCATTTGTTGAAGCAATGTCTTCATGACAATTGATCCGTCTTTAAGTATGTTTAACTTTTTCTGTTTTTAAAATTTGTTTTCATGAACACTCAAGCAAATGCAGTAATAAGGTTGTTTTTGGTTTTTTTGCATTAAACTGTTCCTTATCAAAAAGTAATCATAATAATAATGCACAGTGGTGGTGGTGACAGCAACTTGGTACAACGGAATGGTGGGAAAACCTTTGCATGGTGGGAAGGATGACATCCCAGAGATTGAACTGAAAGCAAGCCAAAGAAGAGAGAAACAATACCAGATGTCTTTCAGTCCACCGCACATACATGAAAGTAGACAAATGATCTTGGACTTTTCAGTCATTATGGAAACAACTCCAGATGTATTTCAGTGCACCATGCTGCATATGCATGAAATCAGTTGCCCAGATTTGGACGTTTTATGGCTAAAACACCAAAAGTGTCTTACAGGCTCCAGCAAGGCCAAGCGGACTCTGTAGGAGAAAAATACGACCCATATGCAAGAGGAAGGAAAGGTGAACCTCGCCAGCCTCTCTGCTAGATAAGCCGAGCAGAAGAAAAGCTGCATGGACAAAGTGGGAGAGAATGTTGGGTGAATCCCTGGATGACCAGCATTGGCTAGGATTTTGGGAGCCTGGTCAAAGAACTAGAGAACATGACCCTGGAAATGGATGAGGGGCTCTCAGGTATGTTTTCAGAAGTGCTGGACCTTTCTGCAGATGTCAGCAAAGAAGCCTCACTCCAGTTCCAGAAGGTCTCTGAGGATGTGATGGGACTGTACACTGCCAAGTAGTTCCTTTTTCAACTAGGCTTTCCCATCAGCCATGGCTTGTACTTTCTTAATCTTTTAGTAAATTAATTTTGGAAATTAATTATAACATTTTTGCATCTTCTAAAAAAAGTAATAATAATAGATTGACAATCTTACCATGGACATGAAGATTAAAATATTTCTTGGCACTTCCTGCCATATTCTCCACAACACAGGCATATCTGCCTGTATCTGTTATTTGTGAACTAAGGATCTAAAGAGAAATATATATATATGAGAGAATTAGATATCTATTCTAAATGAATAATATTTGCAATGTGAATTGGAGGTAGATAGTAAGTACGCATATGTACTAATCCCAATTAAATGTTCTAACACAAGTTATCCATATAAACAATTATTCTGCTATACTATTTCTCTCACATTTTACACCTCTCAAAAAAAAACTTCAGAAAAACTGTCACAGGGCTCTATAAAATTATTCATTGGCCATTAGTTGACCATTCTACAATCCACCTAGGGCCCTAAGATCATCTGAGGAGACCCTGCTCATTGTCCCCCCATTGTCACAATCGTGTCAAGGGACAGGGCCTTTTCTGTGGTGGCCCCCCGGTTATGGAACTCCCTCCCGAGTGAAATTAGATCTGCTGCATCCCTCTTGACCTTCCAGAAACAAGTAAATTCCTGGCTATGGGATCAGGCCTTTGGAGAACAGGCTGACCTACTGACGTGTTGACTTATTTAGAACTGATGGACTGCCCTTGGATAATGATTTAAATCGGTGACCACTGACTATTTGTTGTCTGTTTTTATATTGTTCATACGGTTTTATACTGTTTATACTGTTTTATATTATTGTTACTATTACATTGCTGTTAATTGTATATTTATGTTCTGATGTGGGTGCCATGGGGTGCCACTTTGTTAGCCCTCCTGAGGTTGAGAAAGGGCGGGATATAAAAGCCCTAAATAAATAAATAAATAAATCCTTAATTTTATTCATTATGTTACCTGAAGCATTCTTCCACTTGCTATGAACTTATGTTGAGAATCTTCAGTTAAGAGCTGGCCATCCTTCTGCCAGGTTATGCTCGGAGTAGGATTGCCATTTGCCATACACTCCAATACAGCCATCTTGTTCAAGAGAACAGTCACCTCTTCAGGCATGTCACCATTAGGTCCCTTAATGGATGGTGGCACTAGAGAAAACACACATGTCAAGAACAAGAATCTGAGGAATCTGAGAAATGCAAAACATAACAAAAAAGGCCAAAGCTGCAATCTGGCAACAAGCATTTTGCAGAAGTTTAAGCTCAATTTTTAGTTAGTTTGTTTTTGTTGCTGTTCAAAAATACATTTAAAAAAGGAGAAGAGGAAAAGTGCTTGGTGTCTCCAACTCAGCTTTTAGTAAACCTAGTAGAGCCTACCAGCAAGTGCACTGTCAACCCTTTACCACACTGCACTTGTATATGTCAATGCAACCCCATAACAAGTTGCTAAAATTATGTGGACAAAAGAGGGTGACACAGACATTAGAATTGTGGCTTTCAGATGCATATTGCCACTAAGCAGTTAAAATGTAACACCTTGTCCATATCATGTTAGATCTGAAGCCTAGCTTAAATGGATGAAAAGTGAAATCTATGAATGTGAAACATATTAATGATCCAAGATGTTGTGCCTTAAAGCCATTAATTGAATAGGATAGAGAATTATAGAACTGAATATAATTATATACAGGGGCTGTTCTGTTTTATGTTCATGTTTTATATTAGTTATAATTTTTGATAGATTACATTTTATTTAAATTATAGTTATTATGTTTAAGTTGTTATGCATTTTATGTGGGGTTATTCTGGATTGTTATATTTGTACTTATTGTCATTGAGGTATTGAAGGTTTGCCTTTATGTTTGCTGAAATCTACCCTGAGTCCCGCAGGGAAGATAGGGCAGAACATAAATAAAGTTTGATGATAATGATGATGATGATTACAACACAGAGTTAGTTTTCACCCATCAATCAATAATTGTTTTTCCCCCCTTTTAATATATTATTGTGACCCAAATAACCACAGTCAAGTTCTAAACTGGTTGTTCAATGACTGAATAATCATTTAAAATTAGATTATAACCCAGGGAGATTCTACACAGATACTATAATGCAATTTGAAACCAGCTCGAGGGTGGGCAGTCCACAAAATGTAAAGCTGTTGCGCAGACAGAGACAGAAATAATGTATTAAAGAAACTCGCCAGAAAACCCAGATAATGCACTGCAGCCAATTAGAGTATTTCACATGCAGAGCGTGAAAATGCGTTGATTTCGAATGGACATGAATATGTGTATCAGTGCATCTCAGCAGATTGGTTAAGTTCTGATCTGCATTCAGCAGATACTGTAACCACTCCCCCCTCTCTTCCGTCCCCCCCCCCCCCAGCCTCAAAAGCAGTTCCTGGAGTGTTTGGATAAGGCACTCCACAGTGAAACCGGATTGCCTTATTGTAGTCTGTGTAGAACTGCACCCAGTGTTTCTCAACCTCTGGCCTTCCAGGTACTTGGGGTTCAGCTCCGAGATTTCCTGGCCATTGGTCAAGGCAGCTGACCAATCAATTAGATTCTGATGTTCTAAGCTTTACTGACCACTGCCATTTTTGTGAAGGTCCGATTACAATACTCAGGCCTCTTTTTGGTGAGATATTGTAATTCCACCAAACAATTGGCTTCTTTTTAAATTAGACAGTACAGAGAACATTTACTAGACCAGAAAGGCAAGTTTTACATTTTTACAAATCTCCAAATATATAGATATACAAAAGAAAGTTTAAAAATTGAACAATGATCTCATTATTTTAATATTACTTGGCACTTTTGAAAAATACTCTTCAACTGGGTATTGCAGTACAAGAAAAGAAAAATGTTCTAGTTCTATTTTGAAGCATCTTGTTTTAATCACATATTTAGGATTCTAAATTTAAGTAACTGAAGGTAAACTCACAAAGCACGCGGACATCGTACTGGATGGAGTCCTCCCCAGCTTCATTCACAGCCACACACAAGTATTGCCCAGTATCTTCACTCTGAGTCCTTGGGATCTGCAATACACGACCCCCTAAATGGAAAACAACATAGAAATGTTCTCCCTTCTAAATGCTGATTTGTCTCTTGTGATCTTAAATTATATACACATTGTGATCTTAAATTATATGCACATTAAATTATATGTCCATGGATTATTCTAAAATAAACACTTGTATCCAATTCCATGATACAACTTCCAACATACAGTATCTTCCCCCAGGTTTCAAACATTTTTTTTTTCAAATGAACTCATTCTGGGATAGGAAGAAGTTGGAGGGTTGGAAGAGTATAATAATTAATACTGAAGGAAATCCTTTCAAAATATTATAATATACATAAGCATATAAAAACAACTTACATAAGCATACTTCAAAATTACATACATTAAGAGTATGCAAACACACAAAAAGCAGGATTTTTTAACCAAAGGAAGATGAAACAAAAAACACAGGAAGACCTTATTTCTATAGCAGGGTCTTCAAGCTGTTACTATTTTTTATATGAAATAATCCCCCTTGCAATCCATACACTTTCAAACCAACCAGAGGAAGCTTGGGAACTTGATAATTCCTGATAATGCATTCATAGATCTTAGAATCATTGAGTTGGAACAAACTTCATGGGCTATCCAGTCAACCCCCAGCCAAGAAGCAGGAAATCACATTCAAAGCACCTCCTAGTGATTTATTCTGTTGACATGTAGATGGTCATATCTTGCAAATGAAATTTCTCTGAAATAAATGTCCTAACAGCAGATTCTGCTGTGAAACTAATAATAATTTTATAGTTTCCAATATATATGATCCTTATTCAGGCATTCTGTTTTTGTAGCAGTAAAAGACATGTGTATTAGGGCTGGGCGGTTTCGTTCGTTAATTTCGTAATTCGTTATTAATTTGTTATTTTTTTTATAACGAAGCGATATTGAACCATTCAGGAGCAACTAAAAATCGAAACGAATTTTTCAATTCGTTTCGTAATTGTTTAGAAATCGTTTCGAAATCATTTCGAAATCGTTTCGTTATTATTTCCGCATGTCTGGTGCAAGTTTTATAGTTGTTGTTTGTTTTATCAGTGAAAAATATATATAATTATCACACCAACAGTCAACAACAGAGGGAGAGGGAAGCTTCAGAAGTTCCCCCTGTCCCATTTGGAGGTTTTTTTAGCGTATTGCGCGGTCGCGTCCGCCATTAACGAATCGATTCGTTATTGTTTCGTAATTGTTTCGTAATTTCCGAAATTTCGTAAATTTCGAACTTTTTTAAAGAAATTTTTCAGAATTCTTTTAAAAATTGAAACGCAAAAACCCCCTAAAAACGAATCGAGTTTAGAAACAATTTTTTCCGTGGTTGCCCAGCCCTAATGTGTATACTAACTCCCCCTCACTCTGTCATCATTTCTATCTCCTTCTTTATGTGAAAGGTGACTTCAAAGGAGAAATTCTTATTTATCTGTGGAAGCTCATCACACAATTATGAAGCCTGATGTTTTTCTTTTCATGGAGTCATCCACCACATATACAGGGCAATGGAACTGAAGATGGAGGGGCAAAGTTGGCTTTCTTTTACTTCCCATATTTTTAATTAACATAAAACCAGAATGCTTGAAAAAGACTAGAATATAAACTGAAGTATTTTATTTAACACAAAGGCTTCAAAATACAAGAAAAAAGCAATTTGAAAGGCAACATGGTTATAGTATGTTATGTCTGGAAGTGTGTAACTGGAGATACCAGAAAAAATGAATTTATAAGATGCACCGGATTTGCCTGTATAATGTATAGGCATGTGGTTTCCATTTAATTGCTAATAACATTTATTTATTTGCGGTATTTGTATACTGCCCTTCTCAACCCTAAAGGGGACTCAGGGCAGTTCACAATGTCGGCAACAATTCAATGTCATTGATTTAAAAAAGTATAAAACATCAAGACTGACTTTTGAGAAATGCTCAAAAGATGAATTATCCAACAGCATCCACATAAATTGACACCAGAAAAAATAGGGGTGGGAAAAACCCAAAGATAACTCCATGTGCAGAAGTTCGTGACATCCATCAGTTAACCTGAAAAAAGTGAAGACTCTAGTCTCATTCCTGTAACCAAAGTAAACATGTAAACTAAGGGACATAGTGTTTCTTTGATTGTATGTATTAACTAGCTGCCCCCTGCCACGCGTTGCTGTGGCCCAGCCTGTGTATATGTGTTTTGTGTGTGCATATATGTGTATAGTGTATATATTTGTGTAAATGTGTATTTATGTGGTTATGGGCATGCGTTGTAATGTATTTGGGGTTTTTTTTTACTTTTTAAGTCTCTTCCGCTGTGTTTTTCAGTTTTTTTATGAGTGATGGTCACTCATTGGCCTGATAGGTGTGTTGTGTCCAAATTTGGTGTCAATTCGCCCAGTGGTTTTTGAGTTACATTAATCGCACAAATGAACATTACATTTTTATTTATATAGATTTCATTTATATCCCATTTCCTTTTCCCCCAATATGGGGCCCAAAGCAGCTTACACCAAAAGTTAAAAGTTGACCTGCAAGATGCAAATAACAGCAAAACGCACATATTATGTCTTTTAAGAGAGAGGGAATATCTTTTTATTAAGAGATTATCTGAATAAATGCACGTTGATCTGTGTAATACAGACCTGGCAGTATCAACACTTTATCACTGGAACTCAAAGGATTGCCATCCTTATACCATGTAAGTACTGGAGGGGGCACAGCATTAGTCTCACAGTACAAAGAAAGGGGGCTGTTCATTATCACATATTTGGCTTCTGTTCCTTGTCCTGTGCCCAGCACTTGGCCATCTTCCCAGTCTTCCAGTGACCTTCGGAAGCTAGGAGGAACTGTAAAAGAGAGGCATAAAAATAGGATGTTTGATTTTAATTTAATATAAGTATATAATGCAACCTCAATTACATCAAATTTGAGAACTAATTTAAAGAATTGTGGAGCCCCCAGTGGCACAGTGGTGAGCTGATGAACTTGTTGACCAAGAGGTCACAGGTTTGAATCTGGGGAGCAGGGTGAGCTTCTGCCATCCTAGCAGTTTGAAAACACGCAGATGTGAGTAGATCAATAGGTCTGGCAGGAAGGTAGTGGCGCTCCATGCAGTCATGCTGGTCACATGACCTTAGAGGTGTCTATGGATGACGCCGGCTCTTCGGCTTAGAAATGGACATGAGCACCAACCCCCAGAGTCAGACACGACTGGACTTAAGGTCAGAGGAAAACCTTTTCCTTTACCTTTAAGGAATTGTATATAGAAGGTAACTTTTGCAATACTTTTCTTATGCACGGTCCTAGAAGCATATACACAACCCACCACACTCTAACAGAGAGTGTCCCCCCCCCCCCACAAGCTAGAACAGATGCTTATCTCTGGATCATTCTCCATCCCATATTTTGAATTACAACTCCTGTCAACTTAATCAGAAATCAGGAATGATATATACTGTCATATAAAACATCTGGATGCTCCTTTAAGCACTGCACAGGGAACTGTTCAGGAACCCTAAACGGTTCTGGCCCTACTTACCTCTCCGAATGCATCTCCACCTATGAACCGACTAGGACATTAAGATCGTCTGGGGAGGCCCTGCTCTCGGTCCCGCCTGCATCGCAGGCGCGGTTGGCGGGGACGAGGGACAGGGCCTTCTCGGTGGTGCCCCCTCGGCTATGGAATACCCTACCTGTGGACATCTGACAGGCCCCTTCACTGCTGGCATTCCGGAGGAAGGTTAAGACTTGGCTTTACGAACAAGCGTTTGGCTAAATAGTGCAATGAATTCATGAAGATGGTACAACCGAAAATAGGAATTGGTATAGGATTATGATTACGGATTTTGATTCTGATTTGCTTGCTGAGGCTTATGATAATGATTGTTTTTGATCTGTATATCTTGTATAATGTGTTTTTAATTGTCTTCTTTGATATTGTTATGATAACCTTTACTATGTAAACCGCCTTGAGTCGCCATTCCGGCTGAGAAAGGCGGTATAGAAGTAAAGCAAATAAATAAATAAATAAATAAATAAATAAATAAATAAATAAGTTGATTTACTGAGCATCACCACCGGAAACACTCAATGTACTCTCTCTGTGTTATGCACTCTCTCTGTGTTTTTCCCATGTCATTATCTAGACATTCCCATGTCACTCTCCCTGTGTTTTTCCCATGTCATTATCTGGCCCTTTAAACAGAGGGCCAGGTCACAGTCCCTCAAACTGTTGGAGAGCCAGATTATATATTTTTTTAAAAATGAATGAATTCTTATGCACACTGCACATATCTTATTTGTAGTGCAAAAAACAATACAATAATTAAAACGAAGAACAATTTTAACAAATATAAACTTAATAGTATTTCAATGGGAAGTGTGGGCCTGCTTTTGGCTGATGAAATAGGATTGTTGTTGTTGTTGCTGTGTGCTTTCAAGTAGTTTCAGACTTAGGTTGACCCTGAGCGAGGGCTGGGTAAATGACCTTGGAGGGCCGCATCTGGCCCTGGGCCTTAGTTTGAGGACCCCTGATCTAGATGCCTAAACTTTTTTGTTTTGTTGTTGCTAAGGCATGAATGAGAGATCTCCAGCTCATCCTGCCACCAACTGCCCTGCTCAGATCTTGCAAACTTGGGACGGTGGCTTTCTTTATTAAAGACCTCATCAGACGGGACTTTTTCCAGCAGCTTACACTGTTTGAGCCCTAGATGATCCATGGAGCCTGCTGGCTCTCATCTGATGACAAAGGAACTTCCAGCGGGGCTCAGTGGGTCATCTAGAGTGGAGCTGGAATATACCGCTGCGGTGGCAACAAAGGTGGTTTCCTGTGTTGCACAGGAATCAATGGAATGGGGGGGGGGGAGAGAAGAGCCACATGGTTTATGCTTTCCCCCATGGGATCAACTTCCTGTCAAGATGAGCGATGTTGGGTGTGGGGCAACAGGTTCCCCACGCTCCCCAACAATGGGTGCCGGATTCACCATGATGCATGGGAACCCCAGAGGCCCGTGTGACGAGATTCAGAGTCTGTCTATCTGTATTGCAGTCTTCTTTTCTTACTGCCCTTGACTTATTAAGTATTAACCTTTTTCATAGAATCTTTGACACAGTTTTAGACATATTTGGCAAGTGAGCACATTCTTCCAAGGTTCCAGGTGTTATCCTGTATATTTTGGGAATCGCTCCTATATTAAACTCTCAATTTCTTCCCCCCTCTTTTTTTTTTTGCTATTTTCCAATATATTTTGCAGGCTAATTACTAGACTTCCACAAAAATTTTGAAGTTTTGTAAGTCGTATTAAAATTCATTCAATCTGTACTTCTGAAATGATATTTGACACGTGGACGTGGCCTGCGTCAAAAACTTAATAATCAAAACGTATCCAATCCTTTTTTGTTTTAATTTTGTAATGCTCTGAAGTCTCCCAAAGTCAGTTTCATTTTCATGGCAAGCAGCCAAAAAGCTGCCTTTTTTCTTTAAATTAATGGGCCCTCATCATTAGGAGAGGGAAGCAGCAGGGAGAAAGCAGAGTTCGCTGGGAAAGAAAGCACAGAACTCTGGGAAATGTAGTTTGGAAAGGTGAGGACCCCTGTGGCAGAGAATGCAAAAGACCCTGCCCTAAACTACATTTCCCAGAATTCTGCTCACATCAGAAACCCCCAATCAGGAGAGGGAACATAACAGCAGCCAGAATTCCAATGAATGGGTGAATCTGTAAAGCGGAGGACTGACTGACTGACTGATGATGATGATGATGATGATGATTATTATTATTATTATTATTATTATTATTATTTAAATCAGTGCTGGACTGGGATGAAATCCCTAAATTGATGGGTCTTGGGGTTCCCTTCCAACTCAATATGGGAAGCATATTAATTAGTTTAGAGCAGTGGTTCTCAACCTGTGGGTCCTCAGATGTTTTGGCCTTCACCTCCCAGAAATCCTAACAGCTGGTAAACTAGCTGAGATTTCTGGGAGTTGTAGGCCAAAACATCTGGGGAACCACTGGTTTAGAGGCTGCATGGCCATATGTCAGGAAAGTTTTGATGTTTCCCTTCTGCCTGGAAGAAAGGGGTTGGAATAGACGGCCCTTGAGGTCCCCTCTAATTCTATGATTCTGTGAAAATGTAGAATTTGTTGATATTGGTTTCTATTGGTTAATATGAGAAACATTTAATGAGATAGCTGTTGTGGCTTTAAAAAAATGTTTTTGTCAAAAAAATTAAAATTCCCTAAAATGAGTAGATGTATAAATATTTCTGAAAGTTGTGGGGGAATGATCCCCTGTTATCTTGTGTCATTGTATCAGAAATATAAGAAGATAGCTCTTGAAAACCCACAAGAACCTATATATATATTGTTTTTAAAAATATATACATTTATACTAAGTACATAAAGCCATGCCATGCTCTGTATTTTTTTTAGACAGATTTAGATGTACACACACACACATGGATTTTTTACCTTGGATATTGACATCAAACTCCAACTCATCCTCTCCAGCTATATTTGAAGCAATGCAACTATAACGGCCAGTATCCGATATCTGCGCTGCTTTGATTTGTAGGATGTGTCCACTGGCTTGGATTGTTATGTGATCATCTGATATGATAGGCTATAATGAAGTTATGCAACAGGATACATAAGCAAGCCATAAAAGAAAATAAAGTTTTGCAAACACAAAATATGCCTCCATCATTTGTGATTGTAAACACCAAATTAAGTCATGGTTTTTACAAAAAGTTTAGACATATGGCGCCCATCATTTTGCAGACAAAGTTGCTCAGATCTGCTCTGACTTAGACACCAGCATTGTGGCAATTCCAAAAGCTGTACCTAAGGCACCTGTCTGTCCTAGTTTGATGGGTTCGTTTCAGTTTGTTCAGCCTGATGACATAGACAAGGTCCTTGGAGCTGTGAGAGCCACCATATATGCTCTAGACCCTTATCCTTCCTGGCTCATTAAATAAGTCAGAGGGGGATTGGCTGATTGACTCACAAATATTTTTAATGCCTTGCTGGATCAGATCAAAATACCATCCTGTCTGAAAAAGCAGCCGCAAAGAATTTTACTATTGTTAAAGTAGCCTTCCCTAGATCCTTTGATCCTTAATAATTATCGGCCTATTTCCAATCTCCCCTTTTTGGGCAAGGTTCTGGAGTGGATGGTAGCCACTCCAGGGATTCTTGGATGAAACCAATTATCTTGACCCATAGCAGTCTGGCTTTAGGCCCGGCTACAGAATAGGGACGCCTTTGGCTGCCTTAGTTGCCTCCGCACAAAACTAGACAGGGAGTTTATCCCTATTGGTTCTCTTGAATCTCTCAGTGGCTTTTGATACCATCGACCATAGTATCGTCTTGGACTGGTTCTCTGGGATGGCAGGGCCAACTCACGTGGTGGTGCTGGGGGATGCCTGCTGAGAACCCTCACCACTGGCCTGTGGTGTCCACAAGGCTCTGTTTTTTCCCCCTTGCTTTTCAATATTTACATGAAACCACTGGGAAAAGTCAACTGGAGTTTTTAGATCGGTGTCATCTGTATGCAGATGACACACAACTTTATTACTCGAAAAGCCAGACTTGGACACAGTGGTCCATACCTTTGTCACATCTTGTATGGATTATTGCAATGAACTCTATGTGGGGCTGCCTATGAAGATGGCCCAGAAGCTTCAATTAGTGCAAAGATTTGCAGCAAGACTACTGACAGGGGAGGATTGTACGGAACATATGACCCCCCTCTTAAAGCAGCTTCATTGGTTGCCCATTTTGCTTTCGGGTGCAACACAAAGTGCAGATTATTACCTACAAAGCTCTATATGGTTTGGGTCCTGCCTATTTATGTGACTTTATCTCTTCTTATGAACCTCTTTGAACCTTAAGATCATCCGGTGAGGCCCTCCTCTTGATCCCACCATCTGTACAAGGGAGGTTGATGGAAATGAGGGAGGGGGCTTTCTCAGTAGTGGCCCCTCGACTCGGGAATACCCTCCTCAAGGAAATCAGACAATTGCCCACTTTTAACCTATAGGAAGAAATTAAAACCTGGCCATTTAAGTAGGCTTTTGAAAATGGCTAAGAACATCAACCATCTTAGCAAACAGGACTATGAATGGCTGGCTAGAACTATAATTCATAATTGCTGGATATCCACCATAGGAACTGGATGGTTCAAATGCTTTTTACTGCTTTTTTACTGCTTTTAGAGGGCAAAACAGTTTTTAAATTTATTTTTATTAATGTTTATACTATTGAGTTATTTTGTTGTATTACTGATAGATGATTGTCTGTGTTATATAATATATATTGTAGTTGTTTGTTTGTTGTAAGCCACCCCAAGTCCCTTTGGGGAGAGGGGCCAAGATACAAAAAATATCTTCTTCTTCTTCTTCTTCCTCTTCTTCTTCTTCTTCTTCTTCTTCTTCTTCTTCTTATTATTATTATTATTATTATTATTATTATTATTATTATTATTATTATAGGAGCACCTTGAAGAACATATCTGAAAAGTGGTAGACTCAATAAACACCTCTAAGTACCGGGATGCAGCCTCCACTTCTATCTTTGCTCTATGTTTTCCCCACCACCCTCTTTATGGTTCCTGCAATTCTAGGGAGGAAGGTAAAAAACAGGTGGCTAATTAAGTTTTGAGTCCCCTTTGAGTTATTAACAACAACAACAACAACAACAACAAGAATAATGTTCCAGGTATGGGTCTGGATTTGAAAATTATTATTATTCCTTACTGTCTAATTACAAATAATTCAAAACAATAAAATAACAAGAAACAGTTTTAAAAAATATATTATGCCCCTGTCTGCCTTGCCAATAGAAACAAGACTAATATTTCTATGTGCTTGCTAATACTATGATTCTAAACACATGCCAAAAGAAAAAAAAACCCTGTAAAAACTGAAATGAGGATCCAGTTCTCTGTTAATGAAGCTTGCTGTTATGTGAGTACCTATAACATCCTATGAGTCAAGTGTAACACCTCACGCAGCAGTGGATATGAGAGAAGCAAACATATAGAATACACCACGTGTTAAAAAGGACCTGTAAAAATAATATAAATAAAGAAGAGTATGGCGAGCAGTTCCTCTGATACCATCTTCTAGTTCCAGAGTAAGTGGTACTGACAGATTGGTATGTTTCATGGAAAGACGACAACATGTTCAACAGTGTTAAATTACCATGTTGTTTAGAGATAGGACATGTGGAAGGGAGAAAATGCTGTTAAAAGGTTTATTTAAAAATTCTGGTTGAAAGGAATTAAGTTGGTGACTGACCTGTCCATCTTTGTACCATCTGATGCCAGGAACAGGAATGGCGTGAGCTTCACATTCAAGCGTAAGGCTGTTGTTCACTCTGATCTTCACTTCTTTAGGAGACAAGCCAATTCCTGCCAAATCCCCTCTGCTTATGGTAGGAGGGACTGTGGAAAAAGAAAAGTCCAGGAAATGAAATGACAGCTTCTCACATCAATGTCTCTTACATTGTCAGAAGCAATGTGAGGTTCTTCATATTTTTCGATTCTATTCAGGAATATTAATTTGCACAAAAATACATACAGGAGATGCACACAGAAAATGTGGATTTTGTGCAGAAAAACAGTTGGCCAGCTTCTTAAAGAAGTTGACCACAGTGTCAGCAAAAATCAGACAGTATTTTATGAATTCCAGCAAGAACTAGGTGCAAGCATACTTACTATAGACTTTCACTTCATAGTGTTTTAATGTTTCTCCTGCTTCATTAGTAGCTATGCAAGTGTATCTACCCGTGTTCTCCTCCTGTGCATTCAGGATTTGTAGAGTTCGGCCACCTGTAGAATTTTTTTTCCTCAAATTAATGGTTGTCTACTTTTTTCTGATATAACTAGGAACTCAGTATGAATTATTATTATTATTATTATTATTATTATTATTATTATTATTATTATTACTACCGACCTCTCCTTTCAGTTCAAAGCAGAGCACAACATAATCAAATACAATGATTACAGAGCATATTAAAACATAGTTAAAATACAACCTAAAAGCATATATTTAAACATACACATATTAAAATACAAGAAAGAAAAGTTAAAACACAATAAATATAGAATATAACTTTTAAAATCATAGTTAAAACTACTGAGTAGGCATGCCAAAAGAGACAATTGCCAATTGCCTAACAAGTGAGAAACCATATTTATTTCAGCACATGCTGAATCTGAAGTCTAGAAAGAATTCTTTAGAAGATGGCATACATTTTTAAAAAGAAAAAAAATTATTTTGATTTCATTATGTTTCAGTGCTGGTTTAACTATCCTCCTAATTATTCCACAATATTAATTAATATTGCTATGATGCTGTGGGGTTACTGAACAGTTTTGCACACATTGGTCATTGCTTGTGACAAGCAAGTGAAGCCACAATTAAATATGAGAGCTATGTACACCAATGAACCTTAGGAAGTACAATGTGTTGTAAGTCTGGTTCATGAATGACCAGGGGGTTGTATTTATTGATACAGGCTGAGCATCTCTTATCTGGAATGCTAAAATCTGAAATTATTCACAAGGGTCATTCAGATAATGACATCATTATCTTCTGGTAGTTCAGTCTACACAGATCTCATTTCATGTACAAAAATAATTGAAATATCTGCAGATTATGTATCTAAAGTCTGCGGCAGGCTAGACGGCTGGCCCCCTACCTGTCCAGGGACGACCTAGCTACGGTGATCCAGGCCACGGTCATCTCAAGACTGGACTACTGTAACGCCCTCTACATTGGCCTCCCTCTGTCGGTGATTCGGAAGCTCAAGTTGGTACAAAACGCAGCTGCTCGGCTTCTTGCGGGAATTCCCAATCTTACTGCAGCTGCATTGGTTACCAATTGAGCACCGGATCACTTTCAAAGTGATGGTACTCACCTTTAAGGCCTTGCATGGTCTGGGGCCAATGTATCTGAGGGATCGTCTCACCCCCTACCAACCCCAGAGATCCCTCCGTTCTGAGGACCAAGATCTATTGGAGGTCCCCAGTGTCAAGACCTTGCGTCTAGCGGCAACCAGACACAGAGCCTTCACAGCAGTGGCGCCATCAGTCTGGAATGCTCTGCCACCTGAAGTCCATGCCTTGCGGGACTTACCAGCTTTCCGCAGGGCATGTAAGACATACCTGTTCCGACAGGCTTTTAATGTTTGATACTGTTGTTTTTAAATTGTTTTAAATTGCTTTTAAACTTTGTTAGATTTTAGCTATTCTTGTAAGCCGCTCCGAGCCCCAGGGGAGTGGCGGCATATAAGTTTAAATTATAAATAAAAATAAAATAAATGTCATGAATGAATTTTATGTTCTGACTTGGGTCCCATTTCCAAGATAACTCATTATGTACAAATTCCCAAATCCAAAAAAATCCAGACTTAAAACATTTATGGTTCAAAGCATTTCAGATAAGGAATACATATCCTATAACTACACATAACTAAGTTGCCAAAAGCAAAAAGTCAAAATATTTACTAATAATTCCAAGCAGCTACTATCTGAATTGGTATCAGAATCTATTTATGAGGTGGTGAGCAATGACTTTTACAAACTGCCTTTATTCTTAAAATGTTCCAAAGTATTTTTAATTCTGTTATCAAGAACTCAAAAGTCCATGCTAACTGTTCAAATAAACGCTGTGAATACAGAACACTTCACATCCCAGGCTTAACTGTCATTGAAATGATAAATCTGAGATTGGACTTCACAATTCAGTCTGCATACATTGAGATCAAGTGAATGGATGCTTTTGCAACCAAGAAAACACCCTGTCAGAAATATTAAAAATTAACTAGGCGTTTTAATTACAAAAATGTGAGTGAAGCAGGGTTAAATGGTTGCAATGACTCAGCAAAAGCTGTAGTTCAATACAGGCAGATGTGCCTCTAGCTTAGTAGTCCTCTGTCTATGAGAGGTCTCTGTGGAACTTCTTCTCAGCATGGTAGTAGGCCTCAGTATAAGTCTCAATGTTAGTTTGCCTCAGTGGGAGAAAGGCCTCAGTGTGAGATAGACCTTAGTGTTAGTAGGCCTCAGTATGAAGTAGGCCTGGTGTGAGAAGCTTCAGTGAGGAAGCTCCAGTGTGAAGGCTACTGTGTGTAAAGCTACTGTGTGAAGCTCCTGTATAATTTTGGTGTGAGAAGAGCCTCTGTGAGAGCAAAGCTGCTTATCTGCATGAGAAAGAAGCCCAGCATTGAAGCAAAGAAGGAAGTATAAAGAACTTTACTCATTTTATGGAAACCTTGTTCTTGTAAATAGTGTAACCATATTATTTTACTATAAATAAAAGCCTCCTGTGGAAGAGATAACATTGTTCTCTTTGTTTTTGTTCTTTTTATCACTTTGGGCTATTGGTACTGGGTTACGCTTCTTCTAATAAGTTACTCTGCTGTGCATTTACGAGGAGGATCTTTTGTTAATAAGCCTACTTACCCAACACTTTCCACATATGAAAATCAGGGAAAGTAGTAATAGTCTAGTCTTACGAACTCATCACACATTTTTTTAAAAAAAGCATCCAAGACGCTTCTGCCCAGTTCATTCACGGAGCCCCACACAGCACATTAGACGATGTAGGCTAACTTCTGGCAGGGCTTCATGGGTGAACTGGGGTGGCAGCATGGTAGGACACTGTGCCACCAATGCAATAGCCTCTCCATGTTCCATTATTATTATTATTATTATTATTATTATTATTATTTTATTTACAGTTTTTATATTCTGCCCTTCTCACCCCGCAGGGGACTCAGGGCAGATTACAGTATACACATATATGGCAAACATTCAATGCCAGTTTGACAGACAACGAATACAGACAATACACAGAGGCTATTTAACTTTTTTATGGCCGCCAGGGGAGCTGCTACTTTCATCGTCCATCAGCGACACCGATGAAGTTCTTCCACATTCCACATCCCGAAGTTTTCTTTATGGCCTCATAAATTAGTTAATTTAGCCTCCCACACAAGGTGGTGCCTTATTTTCCTACTTGACAGATGCAACTGTCTTTCGGGTTGCAAAGGTCGACAACAGGCTACACAATGGCTGGACACCCACTCCAGCCCGGGCTGGCTTCGAACTCATGACCTTTTGGTCAGAGTGATCTTAATGCAGCTGACACTCAGCCAGCTGCGCCACAATCCCGGTGCTTTTTAGGAACAATGGAGCTACTGCAGGATGAAACTGCGTGATGATACTTCCCTACATGTGATGGGGAAGTATCAGCTGCTGGCTGGGGCTCTGCTGCTGCCCTGATTTGCCATAGAGGCTGGCAAATCATGAACCGGACCTCATCCATGTGATGAGGTCCTTAGTATTCCTCACTTCACTTCACTTCACTTCACTTTATTTCTTAATTAGTCGCTCTCCACCAAGGTGCTCCAAGCGACTTACAATTTAAAATAGCATTTCACAATATAAAAACATTCAACATAAAAACATGCAACAGTGACTATTTGGCAAATTAGATCTGATTACTTAAATGCACAACCAAACAGCCAAGTCTTGAGCGCTTTTACAAAAGGTATTCTATGATGTATTTTATAGATTTGTTCTGTCATATGAGCTCATCCACTTAATTGCAACTCTGAAGTTATTTGTGATTCATACAGTGTACTGCACTATTACTACATTTAAAAAGTGATATAATTAATCTGATTTATAAGAATCAGCAAGGGGAAGCCCTCTATTTCAAACAACAGAATAATTTATAGTTACCTGGGAAAATACGGATATTCCTATTTGATTCTATTGGCGCTCCATCTTTCAACCAAGTAATGGTAGCTGGAGGGTATGAATAAGCCTCGCAAACCAGTGATGTTGGGTTGTTCAAGGTAACAGTGACCTCTTCTGTGCCCCCATCATTATCTGCATCCACGATGGATGGAGACACTAAGTAAAATCAGAAACAAAGAAAAATATAACTACTCAGAATTGGTAATCCTTGTCAATAACCATATTCAAATCTATACAATGGGACCCATATGAACCTTGTTGTGGAGAAATATATACCATTCCTTGTATCTGCCAGGTGCTATATGGGGATAATAGTCCCAGAAGCTGGAGAGATATCAAAATATTACTTACCGGTAATATGGCTGTGTGACTTTAATTTATACTTAATCCATGTAACAATGGTTTTAATTGTATCTCTTGTGTACTCAATTTTAAACATATTTTATCAAGCTGTTACTATAATACCTCTCCATGTTTGTAGTTATATCCTTTGTTCCATTCTATCATGGCTTGTTTATGTTTCCCAGTATAATGTGCACACACTTTTTTTTACACATGTTTAAGATGTATATAACTATTGCATTGCCTTATGGTTTGATGACTGTAAAAAAGGCATATTGTACTGTACAAGTATATTTTTTACTTATACCCTTCCTTATATGTGTTGTTGGTGTTACCATCATCATCATATAACCTTTTTTCACGATCTGGAAAAGAGCTGGGGAACAATGCTGATTGTTTTAAAAATAAATCACTACCAGGTCTTTGCCTCTATCATTGCCCTTTCACTAACTTCCTCTCAGTGAAATTAGTTGCTACCTTCACATTCCAGAGGTTCTGAGCAAAACTAATGAACAAACATGACACCTGAAGACAGCCTAACAATTGTTTAAATAAAATTGTCTATAAAACCTACCTACAACACATATCTGCCTATGACTCTGGGACAAATCAAACCCGCATTCGGGACTAGAAGAAATCAGCTCTTCTAAAGCTGATTTCTGAAAAATTAAGGAAATACTGAACAGCATTCCATGGCTGCCAATGCTAAAAAACAAGGACCTTAAGGATGAATGGGAGTTTTTCAAGTGTGAAATAATCAAGGCACAATTGCAAACAGTGCCAATAAAGAGAAAAAATAAGGCAAAGAAGCCAGAATGGATGTCAAAAAAACTTCTAACTGGGCTAAGACTCAAAAGAGACATGCACAAGAAGTGGAAAGGGGGAGAAATCACCAAAGAAGAATAAAAAACCAACCCCAATTCCTGTAGGGAAAAGGTTCACAAGGCTAAAGCGCAAAATGAGCTCAGGCTTGCCAGGAACATTAAAAACAATACAAAGGGCTTCTTTGCTTAGAAAAAGGAAGGAAAAGGAGGAGATAGGGCCTCTTCAAGGAGAAGCTGGGGTAATGCTGACAGGGGACAGGGAAAAGGCAGAACTAATTAATACCGACTTCTTCTCAGTCTTCTCACAAAAAGAAAGACATCCTCAATCTCTACAACATGGAGTGGACAAAAGATCCAACCCTAAATAGCGAAATAAGTTGTCCAGGAATACCTAGCTGCTATAAACACATCAAGACCCCAGGGCTGGATCAACTACATTCTACATACAGTCATGCTACCCCTGTATTCTGCCTTGGTCAGACCACACCTGGAATACTGTGTCCAATTCTGGGCACCACAATTGAAGGGAGATGTTGACAAACTGGAATGGCGACTAAAATGATCAAGGGTCTGAAGAACAAGCCCCATGAGGAGAGGCGTAAAGAACTGGGTACGTTTAGCCTGCAGAAGACAAGGCTGACATGATGGCCATGTATAAATATGTGAGAGGAAGTCATAGGGAGGAGGGAGCAAGCTTGTTTTCTGCTGCCCTGGAGACTCGGACACAAAATAATGGCTTCAAACTACAGGAAAGGAAATTCCACCTGAACATTAGGAAGAACTTCCTAACTGTGAGAAGTGTTCAACAGTGGAACTCTCTGCCCTGGAGTATGGTGGAGGCTCCTTCTTTGGAAACTTTTAAACAGAGGCTGGATGGCCATCTGCCAGGGGTGCTTTGAATGTGATTTTCCTGCTAATGGTGTTTCGAAGAAAACTAAAAACCTGCCTGTTTGAACAGGCATTTGGATAAACAGCGCAATGAATACGATGAATATAGGAACGGAATTATGGCTGACGAATTGGATCACGACTCTAGTTATGAGACGTTAATGTGTTGTTATTGATGTGTCATTACTTGTATACTATGCTGTCAATGGTTTTTAAATTGTATGTTGTTATGACTGACTTTTGCTCTTGTTGTGAACCGCGTTGAGTCGCCTACGGGCTGAGAAACTGCCCGTAGCAAAGTAAATAAATAAATAAATAAATAAATGACACAACTATGCTAAGCAGTCAACACAGAAAACATTTTAATGTTGGCATTTCAGTACTTCTTTTTTTATTTTGTAGACTAACCCAAGGCGATTTGAGAACCAAAAGCCTGTACAAGGAACAAAGGTGCTGTCTTTTCAAGTGTCAAAAGTTTTTTTTCATACCCATGAAAAAAACAATGCAGCAGTCCTATACAGAAGACATCCTAAGCAGCTGTTTGTTAGAGAAATGGCAAATACAGTACTGCCATTAATAAAAATGTAACATGTAACACATTCATTTCCATAGTTAACTTGAAAAATTAACAGGATCTGCAAAGCATGGATGAATCTGACTCACATGACCTGTGGGAGTAAACCCCCTCCCACAGGCTATGTTAACTTCACATATGTCGGGGTTTATGACTGTATTTTATGTTATGTAATCTGTCTTTGTCATGTTGTATGTTGCTTTGAGCTCTGGGAAAAAAGTGGGATAGAAATAAATAAATAAATACTTTATTAGCCTGCCATAAAGATCAATGACTCTGATGTGTGAGAAAGCAGGGACATAAGAGATTTGAGTGATTTATGATATTATGGGTGTGAGCCCTATACACATTGACTTTAGGGTATGATTGATCAATTCTTCTCATGTGTGATTTATGACATTATAGGTTCAAGTCATATATATATATATATCGCCTCACAGTAGTTGCTCCCAATGAAGACACAGGAACACACTCTGGTATCAAAAAGAATCTTTACTACTGGATACATGGACATCTGAAAAGCCGAGATCACTCCTTATATACACACCCTCTCAAATGAAAGTATATTTCTCGCCAAGTGAAAACCCTGCGCAACATTCCCGCCAAACTATTAGCCGTTGTCTTCCAAGGTCGACAGCTGCAGAGTCCTTATCAATGTCCTACGTCAGGACCCTAGTTTTCAGCGCCAAAACCGAGGGCCTGGAAACTGGATCCTGACATATATATATATATGGTGTGCAGGACACAATTCATGTATTCCAAATAATAAACATGTGGTACTTTGAAGCTCCTGTGTGTCCTGTATGTCTTGTTTTAATGATGTAACTGTAATACAGTTGTTGTTGATATTATTATTATTATTATTATTATTATTATTATTATTATTGTTAGAGACTTCCTTTCACAAGAAGCATATATTTACAGCAACATAGTCGATGCAAAAAGGAACCTGACACCATGTTTTCTCTATGGAAAGAGAAGAGATAGAAGTCCAATTTCCAGCTAAGATGTGACTTCAAGGAATGATCCTCAAGGGTTTGTTCAGTCAGTTTTCACTGCCTGTCACTGTTCCCAATTGGAAAAAGGGTGAAAGTGAGACTGACTCCCGTCTGAGCTGCCTTGAGGAGCACACATTGAAATTATGGCTCATCATGAACCTCTTTATATGAATGGGCTATGCATGAACAACATGTGTGGTGACATCTACAAATTTAATGCAGTTCAAAGCTAGCTTCAAACCATTGTGGTTAGATGGTGAATGCCTACAAAAGCAAATGAAAGTGTTCTGTGGTTTGTGTAATCATCATTCAGGCTGTAAACTGGTTTGAGGATTTCCTATGTAATCATCTGCACAGAGAAATCACTTTCTACAAAACCAACTTAAAACTGAATCAAGTGGTAATTGTAGAGGTGCCCTTTCTGTGTATGTGAAAGAGAGGGGGGGGGGGTTATGAATGGGATACAAAAATCACATAGGGATCAGCAATCAGCAGTGGGAAAAGTTCAGCCCAACTCAGTCTTCTTCACTGATGATGCGGACATTGGTGCGTTTTCAAAAAGTTGATTCAGCCTTTGAACCAGAAAGGATTCCTGAACCCGCCATATTTTATGTTGGTTCCTTTGCAGGCTGAAAGGACTGTTCTCAAGCCATCATAGTGAGCTGCTCAGATTTCCATGCCCCATTCTCAATTTTCTCCCAAAAGTTCCAGTTCAAAGGCCCTATATTCTTAGCAGTGGCGAAACAAAGAAATGTATTTGCTGGCAAACTCAGTCTGAACATACCCGTCTTCTTCACTGAATAAACACACTTCCATTAGCTAGCTCAGAACTCTTACCAAGTACATTAATACTGAAGCTTTTGCTCTTGTCTCCAGCTGTATTAGATGCAACACAGGTATATCTTCCTGTATCAGCTATTTGTGCACTTGTGATATGAAGGAAGCGGCCATTGGACATTAATTCATGGCCATCATCTTCTATGAAAGGTTGTCCATCTTTAAACCATGCAATTTCTGGAATGGGGTTTCCTTTTTTGATAAAACAACAGCAAATATTTATAAATATTAATAACTATGCATAATTAATGCAAGGTAGGTCATTAGCATATGTTTGTTTGGTAAGTGTTTACAATTAAAGTATAAGGTGAAAAACTATAACCAACTCAATGTACTTGAAGAGAAATCAAACATTTCTGTTTAAAGAACTGCATAAGTATGATTACAAATTTCTGCAGACTAATTGTCTTGCAATGGTGGAGTACACATATCACAAACATTTCCCCGGGCAGCTCCTATCTATAAAGTTGGAGATGTCATCTGAGATGAACCCTGGATTAAAATCAAGAAAGTAAGGTTTCTTTTAACACTTGAATGTATAAGAAAGGTGTAAAGAAGCCACCACTTTGTAAAGGATGGCCACCAGTAGCAGTAGTAGGGACGTCACTGATTTATCAGGATCGCCTACTATTTGTAATGGATTTGCTAAACTTATAACACAGCTAATAGCTTGTACTATTTTGTTGGTCTTTCTTCAATGTGTAATGTGGCTTGACTTGAAAGTATTCGAAACAGAGACTTGGCTTTAAGAGAAACTGTAACAAGTTTATTGAAGTATAGAAGAAGCTTGATGGTTTCAATGTTTCTTAACTGCTAGAGGCACATTTCTTTAGAGGTTACATTGAATACATTTCATAAAACAACTCTTGAGAGGACTGTTCCTTCCACTAGACAGATTTTAAACTTATTTTGCTTCAAACTGTGTTTCTTTCCTTAACAGATTACTTCAGGTACTAGCTTATTCCTTCCTTATGTTATTTCTGTTGCAGTAAAGATGCTTATTGGGTTTCTCTCCCCCTTTTTTGCTCATACACTAACTACTAATATAGATAAGCCAACTTGACTAAAAAGCCTAAACCTTCCTGATTCTCAACACTGTAGAATCAGCCTTTCCCTGTAGTTCTCTGACTACAGAATGCTTTCCTGGTTTTCAACACAGTAGAACCAACCTTCCCTGCAGTTTGCTGACTACAATCTGACCGTTTTAAAATGGCTGCCCTGCCAAGTGGCAGTTGGCTCCTTCCCTTTTTCCATGGTAACCCAGCTCAGAGTGAGCTGAGCTGGCTACCATCCCCTCAGTTATGCTATTTTAAATACCCTTTTAAACACCTATCTATAATTATACATAACTGTTGGTTAAAACTCACACTTCACCACAAAAGGTTACTGCTTTCATATATTCACCAATACAAATGCATGAAGTCCATATATATTTGCTGCAGACTAAATGTGGCATTTGCTTAAAATATAGAATTATTTTTCACCTAAGTGTCTTGTTGTATACTTCTGCAGCCTCTTATAATCTCACAAACAAAAAACACACTATACCTTTTTCTAGTGGGATGTAATACTTCCTAATCATTTTGTGATGGCAAATTATGTGATCAATCCCTTTGACTACCTTTTGCCTCCTTGTCAAACACAATTATTTTTAGACAAAATGAGCTCTTGACAGTAGCCTACTGCAGACATAAAATGATTCTATGCAAATGGGGAACTAGGTTGCCAACATACATTTCTTCTTATTGTTCATTACTTTGACCCAATACAAAAGACTTTCTGATGTGGCCGAAACAAAATTTCACTCACCTGTCACTTCACAAGTTAACATAATACTTTGGTTTTCCTTCACTTTCATATCTTCAAGTTTGTTCTCTCCCACGATTCCTGGAGGAACTTTATGTTGCCCAGATAAATATACAACACATCAGTTTAAAAATATAATAACACAAAAAGAGTTGCACCTGTATTTGCAATGGGCCATTTCTAGGAATCTGTGCTAATCCTTTCTTTTACTCAGCCATATCTTAAGACATGCTGATTTATGGTGAGCATGTGGGAAATGACAACTTGTTGCTGATCATTGTATATATGTTCATTTCACCACCATTTCATCTCGAATAAAGAATTTATCTCATCCTTGGGGTCAAAAATTAGGCTGTGTCTTATTTTCAGTGGGCTTCCATTTTAAAACAGGGATGCTACTTGGGAATGTTAGGAGAGGAAATCCTTTACTTCTTAAACTGAACAGTTTTGCCATACTTACTTAAAACTGAAAGGTCAAAGTTCTTTCTCTCTTCCCCAGCAATGTTAGTCACCACACAGGTGTAATGACCAGCATCTTCCACATTTGACTGCACCAAGCGCAAGACTCTGCCACCTGAAAAGAAAAGCAATGAATATAAAAATTGCAGAAATCCAATATTTCTGAATGCTGGAAATATACCTTGGTCAGAATTATGAAAAGTGTACTTTTAGAGATGCCCTGATCATTGCACATTTCTGGTTATTGAAAAATATTTATGCTTATTCTCAATATTGCATGCATTTGTGTGTTTAGGCACAACATCAGAATATTTAGGGAACAATATATCATAATATTCCTTAGTAGTTAATTTTATTAGTAATGAGGCAACATGGGCCATGATTTTGGACCCTGTATCCCATCCCATCTTAGAAAATTCAAGATTAGAGATCTCTGGAGGAGAATTCCAAGTTTCTTGTGAAATTTCAAATTCTAGGATTTCATAGGTTGGAGTCATAGCAGTTACTACAAAACAGTATCAACGTTTTTCAATTGTATCATGTGGATTCACTGCACACTAAGAAGCATATTGTAAATGCGGTGTTGTAAATGTGGCTTGAAAATTCACCAATATTTTCTTTTCCTGTGACAAAAGATCATTTTCTATCACTTTTAAATAACCCACTGAAACAGTGCAGAAGATTTTCTTTCTTAGCCTCTTTCAGCATGTTGTCAACTTAAAGTGTGGTGAAATAATGTATCTGAAAGATAACCATTTTCACTACAGTTGCTAAGTCCAGAGCTTGGGAACATTGCTTCTCTAGTCCACAACACTGAGAACATGCTAACCTGGAGAATCATAGCACCTCTTCACATGTGCTGCTGAAATCACTGAGTATCGCTGCAAATCGCGGCAATCCTGGTGGTGCTCAGCACCATCCCAACTTCCCTCCACCTCATCAGATGGAGAGAAGTGTCAAGCAGCCACTTGTCCCATTGAATTCCTATGAAAAAATGGGATGCCTCCCCTCTTTCGCTACCAGCTATTTTCCGGCAGTGGCAGGGGTTTTGCTATGGAGCCACCCTGGAAGTACTTCTCCAGAGTACGTGTGAAAAAGATCTTGGAGTCCTCGTGGACAACAAGTTAAACATGAGCCAACAATGTGATGTGGCGGCAAAAAAAGCCAATGGGATTTTGGCCTGCATCAATAGGAGCATAGTGTCTAGATCTAAGGAAGTAATGCTACCCCTCTATTCTGCTTTGGTTAGACCACATCTGGAATATTGTGTCCAATTCTGGGCACCACAATTCAAGAGAGATATTGACAAGCTGTAATGTGTCCAGAGGAGGGCGACTAAAATGATCAAGGGTCTGGAGAACAAGCCCTATGAGGAGCGGCTTAAGGAGCTGGGCATGTTTAGCCTGAAGAAGAGAAGGCTGAGAGGAGATATGATAGCCATGTATAAATATGTGAGAGGAAGCCACAGGGAGGAGGGAGCAAGCTTGTTTTCTGCTTCCTTGGAGACTAGGACGCGTAACAATGGCTTCAAACTACAAGAGAGGAGATTCCATCTGAACATTAGGAAGAACTTCCTGACTGTGAGAGCCGTTCAGCAGTGGAACTCTCTGCCCCGGAGTGTGGTGGAGGCTCCTTCTTTGGAAGCTTTTAAGCAGGGGCTGGATGGCCATCTGTCAGGGGTGATTTGAATGCAATATTCCTGCTTCTTGGCAGGGGGTTGGACTGGATGGCCCATGAGGTCTCTTCCAACTCTTTGATTCTATGATTCTATGATTCTATGAGTGTGATGGGAGCCATCAGGCTCCATGGCAAAACTGCCAAAAATAACCCTGGTGCTGCTGAAAAAAGCCTATGTGAAGAGGTTCATAGTTTGACTGTAGATCAATGGCATGTTATAAAAGAGTTGGGGCTCCTAATTCAGATAATTCTTTGGCACCTATTTTCTTATTTTTCATTATATCATAATGTGAGTGCAAAATATATTTGTCACTTGCATCTAAAATAAAAAACTACATCTACTTTAATATCTCCACTTACCTGACAAAACTCTTACAGAGCTACTTGGCAAGATAGGTTGCCCGTACTTCAGCCATGTTATTGTTGGATGGGGAATTCCTGAGGCTTCGCAAATCAAGGTGACAGGATTTTTCTCCACAACACTAATACTATCAGCCACGGACAATTCACCCACAATACTTGGTGGTACTACAAGGAAATCCCAAACAGAAACAAGGCACATGAGAAAAAACTGTTCAAGCAATAAACACCTGAATACTGCTTTTGAGTAAAGTGCTTTTGATTAGATAGTCCCCTAGATAATTTTGACCCCCCAGATATGACCCAAAATCTAGTCCTTGCACTTTACTCATGTTTCCTACCCAGAGACACAGTGCTCTATTTCATATTACCCTCCATCCCTAATTTTGTCATCTGGTTTTGTACTTTATTCATCAGCCCTGTCCTCACAATTGATTTGCACCAGTCCGCCCACCTGAGTCCAGAAATTGTTTATTATTCAGGCCATTCATGGTTTGCTTGATGGTTGTTTTATCCTGTGTTATGTTGTTTTTTGTTTTATATTGTTTTATGAGGTTGTTTTACACATTTTCTTGTGTTATATTTTAATTATGTTGATCAGGCTGGTCCGCACATAAGCCTCCCTGAGTCCCTTCGGGGAGATGGAGGCAGGATACAAAAAAAGGTTATTATTTATATTTATTTATTGTGTCAGGGGCAGACCAAACACTTGTATTGCGTTTTTTACAAAACCAACCAACAAACAAAACACAACGTTTGCAAGCTTGGTAGTTGATTAAATGTCCTTTGACCAGTAGCTGGCCACTTGGAATGCCTCTGGTGTTGCCGCAAGAAGGTCCTCCATTGTGCATGTGGCAGAGCTCAGGTTGCATTGCAGCAAGTGGTCTGTAGTTTGCTCTTCTCCACACTCACATGTCATGGATTCCATTTTGTAGCCCCATTTCTTAAGGTTGGCTCTGCATCTTGTGGTGCCAGAACACAGTCTATTCAGCGCCTTTCAAGTCGCCCAGTTTTCTGTGTGCCCAGGGGGGAGCCTCTCATTTGGTATCAGCCATTGGTTGCGGTTCTGGGTTTGAGCCTGCCACTTTTGGACTCTTGCTTGCTGAGGTGTTCCAGCGAGTGTCTCTGTAGATCTTAGTAAACTAGTTCTTGATTTAAGTCATTGACGTACTGGCTGATATCCAAACTGGGGATGAGCTGGAGATGTCACTGCCTTGGGCCTTTCACTATTGGTTGCTACTTCCCGGTGGATGTCAAGTGGTGCAATACCGGCTATACAGTGTAATTTCTCCAGTGATGTAGGGCGCCGACACCCCATAATAATGCGGCATGTTTAATTAAGAGCCACATCTACTGTTTTAGTGTGGTGAGATGTGTTCCACACTGGGCATGCATACTCAGCAGCAGAGTAGCATAGCGCAAGGGCAGATGTCTTCACCGTGTCTGCTTGTGATCACCAGGTTGTGCCAGTCAGCTTTCGTATGATATTGTTTCTAGCACTCACTTTTTGCTTGATATTCAGGTAGTGCTTCTTGTAGGTCAGAGCACGGTCCAGAGTGACTCCCAGATATTTGGGTGTGCTGCAATTATCCAGTGGGATTCCTTCCCAGGTAATCCTCAGAACTCGGGATGCTTGTCTGTTCTTAAGGTGAAAAACACATGTCTGTGTTTTAGATGAATTAGGGATCAACTGGTTTTCCCTGTAATAGGCAGTAAGGGCATCTAGAGCTTCGGAGAGCTTTTGTTCAACCATCTCAAAGCTCCCTGCTTGAGCGGGACATGAGAGAAGCCTCCTCGCAGGATTACAAGACATCCAGGCATGCCCTGGGCAATGTCTTCATAGACGGCTGATTCTCTCACTCCAGAAGCGATCAGAAGTTATTATTAGAAAATTATTAAAAGCAATAAGAAGTAGAAAAACACTTAAGGCCAGTTAAAGTAACTATTGCTTAAAACTGTCATATGAAAGCAATAAGTCCTTATTCCAAATGCTGAAAAGGTTAATATATATTTTCCTTTCAATAGTGCAAAGACACAAGGAACTTGTATGATCCTACAACAATTTTCTTTTCTTCATAGAGGGAACAGGGAATTTTGTTTCATAACCCTGTCAGGGAGTATTCTACAGAAGATTAATACCATAAGAGAATATGTGTGTGTATGCATGTGTGTGTGTATATATGTGTGTGTATATATGTGTGTGTATATATGTGTATGTGTGTGTACACACACTCACACACATATAAGAGACCAACAGCAGTTTATTCAGAATTTTCTTTCTTTCATTACCTAATGGAGCTAAAACATCCTGTAGTCTATGGAATATCTGGGACATAAGGAATCTCGAAGTCCAACATAAGTTAAACAGAAAAAGTCTTTCCTACTTATCCTTAGTGTCAATAAAACATATATTCATTTCTATTTAAAAATGAGCAAAAGAAAGAAAAGCCAAAAATTGTAATAATGTAATATGGCACATAATCTTAAGATAAATGTTTACTTTTTGAACAGTTTAAAAATGATTTGGGGGGCATTAAATATTTTCTTCATTATTCAACAACTGTTTAATATCTAAAAAGAAATGAGAGTTAAGCTAAAGGCCATGTCCGACTCTGGGGGGTGGTGCTCATCTCAATTTCTAAGCCATAGACACCTTCAAGGTCATGTGACCAGCCATGACTTCATGGAGCACCGTTACCTTCCCACCAAAGCGGTACCTATTGATCTACTCACATTTGCATGTTTTCAAACTGACAACGAAAGCTCACGTTGCTCCCCGGATTCAAAGCTGCGACCTTTCAGTCAACAAGCTGATAAAGTCATACTTTATACTTATATCTGGACAATCAGTTCTGGCTGATAATTATCATATGTTCCCAAGTATTTGGATACAGTTGAATATAATTCATCTCCCCTATGGTAATTTAGATGTTCATAGTTTTAACCATTGTCTGTAGGAGAAGTGACATTTTGAACTTGACTTCAACTTGACTATGATCACTGTCCTGGACTTAGGGCAAGAAGAATTGTGCAAGACATTTGCTTCCTTCATTTGCTTGATAAAAACTCTGAATGTCTTCCAAAGCTAGTAAAATATTAGCATAAGCTGTTCCAAATGTTATTATGTTAGTTCTTGTGGGTTTTTTCGGGCTATATGGCCATGTTCTAGAGGCATTTCTCCTGACGTTTCGCCTGCATCTATGGCAAGCTTCCTCAGAGGTGAGGTCCGGCCATGAAAAGCATTCGACGTTATTATGTTACTTTATGATTTCCTTAAAAAGCAATAGGGTGAGTAATATGCCAATTAGACTGTCTTCTAGGGAACTAGAATTGTGATGACTGCGATCATGGTTCACATTCTTGCTAGGAATAGACCCTGTGTCTAGGCCAGATCCACATTTCATATATTTGAAAAGAAAGTTATATTCTGAATGGATTAAGTAATCCTTCTTATAATGTAACAGAAGAATAGGGCTGACCACACAATCAAGGACATAGAAACTATAAAGAAACAAAAGTATCCCATGATAGGTTTTCTCTTTTGCTTTAAGAACTATACAACTCTTACTTATTACGTCATGCCTTCTCTCTGCTAGCAGAAATCCATACACAAATTCACTAAGTACCCTACTTTATTTGACTTATAGTTGTAACATGGAATAGGCCTATTTCAAATATTACAGAATAGCTCCTTTATGACTAACATCCACCTTTTTGCAACTCTTCTGTGGCACATATTTTCCTTGCTTACCATGAACACTTAAGTCATATTTCCTGTCGGCTAGTCCTGCCACATTCACAGCAACACATACATAGCGCCCTGTGTCCGAGATCTGAATGTTTTTAAGCTGAAGACTGTGTCCGTCGTTCAATATTTCAGTTCTTCTCTCACTGACCAATGGCCGGCCATCCTTCATCCAGCTGACAGTTGGACTTGGAATACCTTCTGCCTTGCATTCTAAGGAAAGGTTATTACCACGGATGACCGTTACATCTGATTGTTGGCTCCCACTGTCTAAAATAGCTGGCCGAACTATTAAGAGAAACAAAACATTCCAAATGTTAGCACCAAGAATTCAGCTTACAGAAGCCTAACAAAGTGTGATATGGGAAATTCATGATTGGATCTCCTAAATTGTTATCTCCTTGAAAATAAAATATCTGTTGGTTAGAGGGAGGTAGTAGAGTTGTGTCAAGGATGTGGCCCTGGTGGGCAGTTTAACCTTTTCTTTCTGTGCCAATTCCTGAATGTACAATCCTGTAATATCTGCACAAATAAAACACAAACTTATATCAAGCCTGCATGTCCTCCATTAGAATGTTAGCATTGACCTACCTGGTCAATTTTAAATTGTGATTGTTAATTCACATTTCATCAGTAGATTTTAGCTTGTATTTTTACTCTGTGTATCTTGTTCTAAGCATTTTAATAGGGTTTATCTTGTTTTAATGATGCTGTATCCCACCTCGAGTTGTAGGGAGAGGCAGGTTGTTGTTGTTGTTGTTGGTGGTAGTGATGTTATAGTGGTTTGAATGCTGAACTACTACTCTGTTAACCCCTCCTGAATAAACCTTGCCACAAAAATATCTGTATTAAGGTTCACTTTGGCTCACCATAAATCAGAAATGACCTGAAAGCATACAGCAACAAAAACAACAATTCAGTGACTAATTCCAGTTCACAGGGAAGGATTGTTTATTAGTAGATATGGGACATATGAAAAAGCCTTCCTTCTGAATCTATCCCACTGCTTTTAGCAAATGAGGATGCACTTACAGATCTCTTATCACATGTTCAATTTGTTCAAAGCTTTAAAAAGTCATCAGGGCTTCTTGTATCTATTAACAGGCCAAGCTGTTATTTCTACTAGAGCAGTGGTTCTCAACCTGTGGGACCCCAGATGTGTTGGTTTTCACCTCCCAGAAATCCTAACAGCTGGTAAACTGGCTGAGATTTCAGGGAGCTCTAGGCCAAAATACCTGGGGACCCAAAGGTTGAGAACCACTGTGTTAGAGGATATGTCTTGATACACCATTTTCTTCGCAGGGAACCCAGGGCAGCTCTGTGGCCATTCTGCAGCAGACAGAGGTGATCCAGAGTAATGCAGGCCAAGACCACTTACTATGATGAGCTTGACTTGTGTAATCTGAAGTTGCTGGATAATAGGCTGCCTAATTAACTGTGCTGCCCGTTTACCTTAGCAGTACATCGTAGGTACCAAAATGGCATCAGGCACTCATCAGCACATGGAATAACAATATCTCACAGGCTGGGAAGATTGGAGTGAGTGGGAAGAGGGAAGAGCTAATTCTCCTCTCTCCATCTCCTCTTCCTCTATCTCCAAGGACACCACTAAAGTAAGTTACAGGGTGGCAAGATTTTGGTTGCAGGTATGAGACAGTGAACTGGTTTTGTCACCACTCACTCACCATGCAGCTGCCAGGCCAATTAATGGGCTGCTGGTGTAACTGCCATGCCGCTCCCAACCCAACTTGGAGGTTGACTGTAAACTTACTCCCAATGCCAATCTAGAGTATCTTACTCTTGGCAGTGGGATAATTGCTCTATCAAGATGCACTGAGGCTATTTTGGTCCTGTTTCAGGATAAATTCATTCTCATTATTTGATTGAAATCATTGTTCTGTCTGTTTGAATGTGACAAAAATATTGTTTCCCAACCAAGGAACACCACTGGCAATTCTGTTTGGTGACCTACCATATACTACCAAGTTATATTCTTTGTTTGCTGATCCAGCTACATTTGAAGCCATACAAACATAGGAAGCTGTATCTGATTTTTCAGCAATAGAAATTTGCAGCTGCCTTCCTCCAGATAATACCCGAACTCTACCTGTAGGGTCAGCTGGAAGGAGCGAACCTGCAAGAAAAATATTATCTCATAGATACACAATTCTACAAAGCATACGAAACTGAGTGTTCACAACTAGATGAAATATCAGCTTAGTACGAACAGTTATGAATAAGCCACATGTCTCCGAACACAACAGCTTTACTTGTTTTTTTGAGTCACTGAGTGCCAAAGTGAAGAAGGACAATGATAAACTATACTATACTATACTATACTATACTATACTATACTATACTATACTATGTTGTTGTTCATTCGTTCAGTCGTCTCCGACTCTTTGTGACCTCATGGACCAGCCCACGCCAGAGCTCCCTGTCGGCCGTCACCACCCCCAGCTCCTTCAAGGTCAGTCCAGTCACTTCAAGGATGCCATCCATCCAAGAGGCCTCATGGGCCATCCAGTCCAACCCCCTCCCAAGAAGCAGGAATATTGCATTCAAATCACCCCTGACAGATGGCCATCCAGCCTCTGTTTAAAAGCTTCCAAAGAGAGTTCCACTGCTGAACGGCTCTCACACTTTGTCTGTAAAGAACTGAGCAGAAGCTTCACAACGAGCTGCTGAGTTGTCACGGATCCCATGCTTGAAGTGGATTTGACAGTCATCTGACAACTCGGAACAGATCAGCTGGGCGGTTCTTTGCGGATGCAATATTGGCCGTAAGAAAAGATTTCTGTGTAGCCTTTATTGCCACATCACAGGTCCTTAAAAAGGAACCCAGGCGTGCTCAGGCTGATATGCTATATTTTTGGCATCACAGGCCTCCTCTTTTTTCACTTCATTGCTGCCAGCTCCTCATTGAACCAAGGTGCTGGTTTAGCTCGGTTACTCGAGAGGGGGCATTCTAGAGCAATCGTGTCTATTGCCCTGGTCATCTCGGAGAGAGACCACAGCATCGACAAGGTCATCTACCAAGGAGGTGAGAAAATCCCCAAGAGCCATCAGGAATCTGCTAGGATCCCTAAGTCTACTGGGGTGGATCATTTTAATAGTTCCACCATCCCTGCAGAGGTTAGGAGGCGCAGTAAGCCTAAACCTGATCAATGGTGATTAGAAAGGAGAGGTGGAAATTAAGATAGAAGAATGGTACAAGGAAATTTGGAAATTAGCAATAAATGACAAATTAACATGCAATTTAAAGGTTTAAAAAGGCCTGTCTGGGCTGAAATATGCGGTATAGAAATAAAGCAAATAAATAAATAAATAATAATGATTTTGAAAATATATGGAAAATATTTATTGAGGAAACATTAAGGAAAGAAGATGGGAACCAACCCCCACCAGAAGAAATGAGGTTCTGGTGGGAGTATAAAGAAAATAAGAACTCCGGAGATGGGGAGCACAAGGGGTAGCACAACTGGGGAAAGGGAAAAAAGTAATTATATGAATTATAGAGATTGTTTTTGTAATGAAGGGAATATAAATGTAATAAAATTATTAGGTGTTTAGGAAAAAAAAGAGGAGAACAAGTTGAATCGCTGTAAAGAATCTGGCTTAAAGAAAAGAATGAAGTAGTTTTTGTTAAGACATACATCTTTATTTCCTACTTTTCTTTCACTATAGTGTTCCATCTCTTTTTATGTATATAGCATTTCTTTTGTGGTTAATAAAAATAATTTAAAAAATCAATGTAGCAATGCATTCAGAAAGATTGAAATAGAATTGTAAGATATGTAGTATAGGGTGTGTTGCTTTGACATCCAACAGTTGGTGCCGTTTTTGGAAAAAAAACCCATAGTTTTACCTGTCACAGGTGTGACATCTATATAATAGTAGGTTTGTGAAAACATAAAAACATGCACCTATTCAAATACTATGTTGTGTCAAACTTTCCAAGCAGTTGGTGTAGTATTTTAGGAGATTTAAGATTTTGAACAAACAGACATTTTCATTTTTATTTATATAGATTACCTTTATTTGAAAGCAAAACCAAGTCTATGGGACAACAGAGAGAGAGATGGCACTTACCATTCTTTCTCCAGCTGAGGGCTGGTGGTGGGATTCCACTGGACTCGCATATCATACTGATAAGGTTTCCTTCAATTACATTCAGCTGAGTGAGCATGTCTGAATTGTAAATACTTGGAGGCACTGCAGTAGATAAACATCAAAAACAACTAATAATATTTGATGCAACTCTTTCAAATGAAGTGAATTAACACTAGCAAATAATCCAGTAAAAAAAAAAGCAAATACTTCACTTTGAATCAAAAACGGAATGCCTTGCAGTTTAAAAGTGAGAATTTGATATTTCAGCAATGTGCAAAACAGGAGCAAAACATTTCCATCTGACCTGCTCTGACTGTCTGTGTATTTCAAACAAAAATGGTATACCTAAAACTTAAAGTTGGCAGGAATTAGGCTTTACCTTGCATTATTGGATGAGCCTCTGGTAGACCACAATTTGAATCCCTATTTAGTCATGGAAACCCCTGAGAAGTTACACTCTCTCAGCCTTAAAGGAAGGTAATGGCAAATTAAATCTTGCCATGAAAACCTTATGATAGGATCACCATAATTTGGAGCTGACTTGAAGGTACAGAACAGAAATGAGATTAGCACTAGAGAGCCTTTGACAATCCAGACATTTTGAATGCCTGGACATCAACTCCCATAATATCTCATCATTCCAATAAACAATAAACAATACCGCAGCCTCAAGGAAGAGGGAAGATAGCAACACCTAATGGCGGCGGCAGCAGCGGGCTCCTTGAGCCTGGGAGGCAAGAAGGAGAGTCTGGGCTTGGGCGTGGGTGGCTTTCTGGCCAAAGAGGCCAAAGAGGAGTACAAAGGCCTCTCCCTGGATGACCAGGAGAGCCTAAAAAGCCGAGACTAGGCTAAACAACTCAGAAAGAGACGGACAAAGGAAAAGGAGCAGGAGCAGGAGCAGGAAAGAAGGAGATGTGGGATTAATACATCTCCTACACCAGCTGGTGTGGCGCTTTGGACGTTTTGGCGAATTGCTGAGTTGGCTAAGCAGTCTGCCGTTGCTGCACCCTGATTGGCTACAGGAGATGACCCCTAGAGACACCCCAGACCTTGGCCAAGAGTGCATGTTTGGTGATTGTCCCTTCGGCTCTGACTTGGCTGGTTCTTGCCCATGGTCTGTGCGGAGGGGCGGTGGGACCGTGGTGCGCGGGATCGTGGCGTGTGTCAATGAGCCGGTTGGTGATGCCTCTCTTGAGGGTGGTGTTAGACATCTCGGAGATCTTGGGTGGATGTCTTAATCGGCCCAGAGTCTCCCATGGTGGAGAGGATCATAGACGAAGGCGATGTTTGTCCCTTTCTGGCCGATGGGCATTGGAAGGTATGCCCAAGATGGTGACTGGCCTTGGGGACACCGCCATGGAGCCAGCTCCTTCCTTGTTTTCCCCAAGCTTGGAGGGACTAGTGCACAAGCGCAGGCGTCGACGTCACAGGAATAAGAGGCGGAAGTGACATTCAGTCGCTTCCTCTCCCATGGAGAACCCGGATGATGTCACACGACCAAAAGACGACACTGCTGCTCCAGGAGAAGGAATCCCCAGAATGGCCCTGCAAAGTGAGACAGCTGCAGAGCGAAGAACTAAGGCTGAAAAAGGGAGTTTTTGGAAGAGACGGAGCTCGAGAAGGTTTAAGACCAGAACCTTCTGGGGGGTGGGTTTTGGCTGTCGGTCAAAATCTGAGGCATCAACACTCCCGAAAAAGCTTAGTCCTGAAGCCAAAAGGAGACTATCTCTTGAGAACAGGTCAGAGAGTGCTCCCCCCCCCCCCCGGTCAAGGGAAGGTAGGAGCCTTGAGACATTTCTCACTAAAGACATGGCACATCTTCCTTTTTTTTTTTTTTTTTTTTTTTTAATTGATATTTTTATACAGTTTTTCTTTACAACGAAAGAGGGGGAACAATCATTGTGATAGAAAGTCACAGAATTTAGACAGATTGTGAAGGACAGAATTGTGGGTGGGTATGGGTGGGGAAGGGAGGGGGATGGGAAGATAGTGGGAGGGGTTGTTGGGGTAGGGGTATACACACATGTATATACAACTTCCGTTCAGTCCACAGAGGGTAGTTATTTGTTTCCTTTATTCTTTTGCCTTCTTCTCGTAATACTTTTTTTTCCCCATAGAAATTTATATGTCCAGTTTGATTTTTCCTTTTAAGTATTCTTTAAGGTATTTCCAATTTGTTTGTTTGTTCTTATTCTGCTCATCTAGTAAGCACGATAGGCTATCACAATTCCTGTAGTCTATTATCTTCTTTATCCATTCTTCCTTGGAGGGAATCTCTTTACTTTTCCATTTTTGCGCTATTAGTATTCTGGCCGCCGATGATAAATAGAAAAAAAATTTTCTTCATTTTTCCCTAGCCCGATTTCCATTATATTTAGTAGGTAGTATTCAGGTTTCATGTCAAATTTCGTTTTTATAATGATTTGTGTATGTTTGTGTATCATTTTCCAGAAAGCTTTTATTTTTTTGCAGCTCCAATACATATGAAAATAAGTGCCAGCTTCTTTTCCGCACCTCCAGCATCGATTATTAGGGTTTTTGCTAAACTTGGCTAGTTGGACCGGAGTCAGATGCCACCTATAGAAAACCTTAAACCAGTTCTCAACAATATTAATAGATTTGGTGTATTTCAATTTGGTTTTCCATACTAGCTCCCATTCACTTAATAATATAGAATGACCTATGTCCCTAGCCCACTTGACCATATTCTCTTTTACCACCTCCCTCTCAGTGCTCCATTCAAGCAGATTCCTATATAATATTCTAATCAGTTTTTTCTCTTTTTTCATGATTATATCCCAGCAACTTTCTTTTTCACTAAATCCCACCTTTAGATCTTCCTTGAAGCATTGTTTGATTTGCATATATTGTAACCAGTTTATTTCTTTGTCTTCTCCCTTCAATTCTTCCATTGGTCTCAGGTGCCATTCGTTATTAATTTTTGTCAGCAATTGTCTATAGTTGAGCCATCTGTTTTTCGGTATTTCTCTTTTGTGGTGAGCCTCCACTGGCGATGCCCACATGGGTATTTGGGGATACATGACATCTTTATATTTATTCCATATTTTCAGTAGGGCGGCTCTGACATAGTGATTGGTGAAATTGTATTCTATTCTCGCTTTCCCGTAACAAAGGTAAGCATGCCACCCTCTTCTTATATCGTGGCCTTCTAATGTCAGTATTTTCTTTTGCTCTAAAATAGCCCATATTTTAACCCACAATAGCGCTCAGGCTTCAAAGTATAACTGTATATCTGGCAATCCCCATCCTCCCCTGTTTTTGGCATCCGTAAGATTTTGGAGTTTTATCCTGGCCTTTCTCCCATCCCATATGAAGTTCCGAATATCTTTGTTCCATTTTTGGAAGCATGAGTTCGTCTTAATAATTGGAATCATTTGGAACAGGTGTAACATCTGGGGCAGCACGCTCATCTTGATGGCTGCAATCTTCCCAAGTATAGACAAATTTAGGTACTTCCAATTTTTGAACTTCTTTTGTATGTTACTCCATACCCTGTCATAATTGTCCCTAAACAGATGTATATTAGAAGATGAGATTGTAATGCCTAAGTATCTGACTTTATTTACCACTTCTATCCCTGAGTTCTTAAAGATTTTCTCTTTTCTCTCTATCTTGACATTTTTTGTAATAATTTTTGTTTTATTCCTATTTATCTTCAGCCCAGCAAGTTTCCCAAATTTTTCGATTTTTTGGATCCATCTTTGAATGGATTCTACTGGATTTTCCATAATACAGACCACATCGTCTGCGAAAGCTAAAGTTTTGTATTCTTCTGTTCTAATTTTGAGACCTTTTAGCTCTTTATCATTTCTTAAATCTTCTAACAGGACTTCTTTCACTAAGATAAACAATAAAGGAGACAGGGGACACCCTTGTCTCACCCCTCTTTCTAGCTCAATATCTTCTGTGCGCAGGCCATTTACTAGTACTTTTGCTGTTTGTCTAGAGTACATTGCCTTTACTGCGCTTAATATAGAGTAACCAATATCTAACTCCTTTAGCATTAGAAATAGGAAGTCCCAATTTGTTTGATCAAAAGCTTTTTCTGCATCTAGAAAAAGCAATCCTACTTCCTTTTGGCGATTTTTCTCATAGTACTCTATAACATTAAGTATTACCCTTGCATTGTCTCTCATTAGTCTGCCCGGAAGAAAGCCTCTTTGGTCTTCTTTGATTTTCCCATTTAGTAGTGGCTTAAATCTTTCTGCTAATATACTTGTAAATAACTTACAATCACAATTCAGCAAGGTGATAGGTCGGTAGTTTTTAAGTTGTGTAGTCTCTGTATTTTCTTTGTATATTAACGATATGTAGCCTTCATGCCAGGTCTCCGGCATTTCTTCCCCACTCAAGATGCCATTCATTATTTCTTTTAAACAAATAATTAGTTCTTCTCTAAAAGTTTTATAATACAATGCTGTCAGGCCATCCGGGCCCGGGGCCTTGTTATTGGCCATCCTCTTTATTGCCCTTACAATTTCCTCCTCTTCTATTGGTTTATTTAATGATTCTCTCTCTGTATCTGATATTTTAGAAACTTTTTGGTCTGAAATATGCTTCATAATATCCTCTTTTGTAACTTCATCTTTTTTGTATAATTTTTGGTAGTATTCTCTAAATTGATTTGCGATCTCTCTTTCTTTCGTGTAGATCTTACCTTCTTCTATTATTTGTGTTATAAGATTTTGTTGTCTTCTCTTCGCCAGCTTACTTGCCAAAAATTTACCCGGCCTATTGGCCTTAACAAAAAACTGGGCCTTTAAATATTTCAATTTCCTGGCCATTTNTCTGAATTGATCTGCAATCTCTCTTTCCTTTGTGTAGATCTTACCTTCTTCTTTTATTTGTGTTATGAACTTATTTATTTGTGTTATGAAAGTTCAAAAGTTCAAGACATGGCACATCTTCCTGAGGAGCGTCTAGTGAGACTCCTTGGTGAAGCAACATTTACACCTGCTCCACGACTGCTAGAAGGCCTTCTGCATGAAGGTCTGGCCCTGACATCCTCTAGTTCACCCCCCACCCAAAATACTGGCCTGGTGATCTGGCCTTTACACCTGCTCCTCACCATGCTGAGGACTCCATCTATGACCACTTGTCAATTGGCCATGCCCCATCTTTTTTTCAGATGGCCAGTTGAACACTGGGCACCTGGTTTGTGCTACAGAGCTCCCAAGAGAAGTAGGTCTGTGTATGGGGATTCCTACGATCTCTGGGAGGGGGAGGTATGACGGTAGGCACAGGCCAAACACTAGAGGAAGGTTGAGTCGGCGGGAGACTCGCCCCCCTCTGACCTGCGGCCTATCCCCAGGCACACCTGTGACAGGTGACCAGTTTCCTCCCCTCCTAGAATAGAATAGAATCATAGAATAGAATCAAAGAGTTGGAAGAGACCTCATGGGCCATCCAGTCCAACCCCCTGCCAAGAAGCAGGAATATTGCATTCAAATCACCTCTGACAGATGGCCATCCAGCCTCTGTTTAAAAGCTTCCAAAGAAGGAGCCTCCACCACACTCCGGGGCAGAGAGTTCCACTGCTGAACGGCTCTCACAGTCAGGAAGTTCTTCCTCATGTTCAGATGGAATCTCCTCTCTTGGAGTTTGAAGATTCCATGTGAACATGAGGAAGAACTTCCTGACTGTGAGCCATTCAGCAGTGGTATAGCTACTCTGGCATTGGTGAATGCTAGGTCCATAAGGAACAAAACTGCTACTATCAGGGATTTTCTTAATGATCAGGGAGCTGACTAGTGTGTATCACAGAAACTTGGATCCAAGAGGGGGATGAGATCCTACTCCAGGAAATAACATCTCCAGGTTATGTAATCACTCACCAGATGCGGACTGGGAGGCGGGGGGGGGGGGGGGGGGGGGGGGGGGGGGGTGTGACTATGCTCTCCCAAGAAAGCTTCTCTCTTAGGGCAGTTCCTGTGCTGAACATTTCTGGCATTAAAAGTGTTGGCCTGGTGTGGGATTCCTCTGAGAGTATACCTTTTCTGCTGGCGTACCGTGCACCTAGCACACCAGCAAACAGTCTATCCCAGCTGCTGGAGACTGTGTCGGAGTGGTCCTTGAGGTTCCCCAGACTTATTGTCTTGGGGGATTTCAACGTCCACACTGATGCAGACTCTTGTTCATCAGCAGCTATGGACCTAATGTCTACCATGGAGATACGAGGACTCTCGCTCTGTATTACTGGGCCCACACATCAGGAAGGACACACGCTAGATCTGATTTTCAGTGCAGGGATTCAAGTAACCCAAGACTCTACTATAGAGGTTCCATGGTTGGATCACTGTGCTCTGAGAGTCCGGTTGGAGCATGCCTACCCACCCTGCAAGGGCGCTGAGCCAATTTGGGCTTGCCCAAGGAGACTTATGGAACCCAGTAGGCTCCAGAATGCTCTGAGGGATCTGGAGCCTGCCAGCGACTCGATTGATATGCAGGTGGACACATGGAACATTAGGCTATCCAATGCACTCGATGAGATCGCCCCCAGACGCCTTCTCCGACCCCACTGAAATCGGTCTCCTTGGTTCACCGAGGAACTTCAACTGATGAAATGGGAAAAGAGACGGCTAGAGGGCGTGTGGCAAGAACTCCATGATAGAGCATCGAGATCAGGTTATGAGGTATTTAGGGAGACCTATGAGCATGCTATCACCGAGGCAAAGCGAGTATATTATGCTTCTTTGATAGCGTCTGCTAGCTCACGCCTGGCAAAATTGTTCAAATTGGCTGTCCTCCTTTCTTCACAACCGTGGACAGCGAGTGGAGAGGGGAGGCCTGGTCTCTGAGAGGTCCCCTCGATCTTGTGGGGTTCCTCAGGGGGCCATTCTCTCCCCTCTGTTGTTTAACATTTATATGCAACCACTTGCTCAGCTGGTTCGAGGTTTTGGGCTTGAGTGTTACCAGTACGCTGATGACACTCAGCTTGTGCTGAAGATGGAAGGCTGACCGGACTCTGTACCTGATTATTTCCATCAGTGCCTCGAGGCCATTACTGGATGGCTGCGTGCCAGCAGGTTGAGGGTTAATCCAGCAAAGACGGAGATCCTATGGCTGGGTCAACCGGGCAGTGGGGATATCCAGCTGCCTACCCTGGATGGCGAGGCGCTACACCCGTCATCATTGGTAAAGAGTCTGGGAGCCCTTTTGGACCCTCTGCTGACGATGGAGGCCCAGGTCTCCGCCGTTAGCAGAACTGCCTTTTTTCATCTGCGGCAGGCTAGACGGCTGGCCCCCTACCTGTCCAGGGACGACCGAGCCACGGTGATCCAGGCTATGGTCATCTCAAGACTGGACTACTGTAACGGCCCTCCTCTACATTGGCCTTCCTCTGTCGGTGATCCGAAAGCTCAAGTTGGTACAAAATGCAGCTGCTCGGATTCTTGTGGGAATTCCGATGAGATGCCACATACCACCAACCTTATTGCAGCTGCATTGGTTACCAATTGAGCACTGGATCACTTTCAAAGTGATTGTACTCACCTTTAAGGCCTTGCATGGTCTGGGGCTGATGTACCAACTTGACCACCTCACCCCTTACCAACCCCAGAGATCCCTCCGTTCTGAGGACCAAGATTTGTTGGAAATTCCCAATATCAAGACCTTGCGTCTAACAGCAACCAGATGCAGAGCCTTTACAGCAGTGGCACCATCACTCTGGAATACTCTGCCACCTGAAGTCCATCCCTTGCAGGACTTATCAGCTTTCCGCAGGGCATGTAAGACATATCTGTTTCAATAGGCCTTTGATCTTTGATATTGCTGTTTTTAAATTGTTTTAAATTGTTTTAAAATTGTGTTAGATTTTAGCCTGTTCTTGTAAGCCTCTCCGAGCCCCAGGGGAGTGGCAGCATATAAGTTTGAATAATAAATAAATAAATAATACATCACTATTGGCTGTACAAATTGGATATTCTGAGAGTTAGTCCAAAATATCTGGAGGACCAAAGGTCGTCACTCCTGATCTAGATGCTTAAAAAGACTAGCCAAAACAAATATAACAGGGGAAAATATTGCATTTTAGGCTGCATATTCATTTGAAAAAAAAAGCAAATTGCAGGAGAAAAACACAATTCATTTCTTGCAAAATTCTGCATTGTAATGGAAAAGATAGAATGGGGAAAACACCGTTTGTCCTTTGCCAATCATAAAATCATAGACTTTCAAAAAGCAAATATAGGCAGCATAGCAAAATGCCTCTGTCATTGCATTATGTACTCAATTTCTTTCCTAATCATTCATCGAGGAGTTCTAGATATACATTTCATTGATACGTGAATGCTTGTTTTTATGGCTACAAGTCTTACCCCATACATTGACATTGTAGTTCTTTTCCCTTTTCCCAGCCACATTTGTTGCTTCACATGTGTAGCGCCCAGTGTCTTGAGTTTGTGCTCCTTTGATCTAGCAACAAAGAAGCAAAACTTTAGGGTATTGTTTATGTAGAAAGAATAGCACAGCATAACATGCCCTTATTAAACAAGAAATATTTGAAACTTCAATAATTCTCCAAAATGGTTATAAGTAAGAAACATATTGGAAGCATTATTCTGCAATCCCATAGATACAAGGCATTGCTACAATAGTTTGCCCAGATATATTCCATCATCTAGACCAAAGTTCCTCCAGCAAAGGATTGCTGCCTTGTCGTGACGCTGGAGCTTGAGCATCTCAATGATGTCGCGAGTGAAACCCAAGACGGGGCGGTCATGGCAGAGAGGTCAGGCCTGGGGAAGGCAATGGCAAACCACCCCAGTATTCTTGCCAACAAAACTAAATGGACCAGTACAACCAGAGATATGTCGGTATGCCATTGGAGGATGGGACTCCCAGGTCGGAAGATGGCCAAAATGCTACTGGGGAGGAGCAGATGATTAGTTCAACTAGCCCCAGATGTGATGACGCAGCTAGCTCAAAGCCGAAAGGAAGGCTAGCGGCCGACGGTGCTGGAGGTGAATGCCGAATCCGATGCTCTAAAGATCAACACACCATAGGAACCTAGAATGTAAGATCTATGAGCCAGGGCAAAATGGATGTTGTTATTGGTGAGATGTCAAGACTAAAGATAGACATTCTGAGGGGTCAGCAAACTGAAATGGACTGGAATGGACCATTTCACATCAGATGACCACCAGATCTACTACTGCGGACAAGGGGAAAACCAAAGAAATGGAGTAGCCTTCATAATTAATATGAAAGTTGCTAAAGCAGTGCTTGGATACAATCCAAAAAATGACAGAATGATCTCAATTTGAGTGCAAGGAAAGCCTTTCAACATTACAGTGATCCAAATATACGCCCCAACCATAGCTGCTGGAAAAGCAGATGTAGATCAGTTCTATGAGGATCTGCAGTACCGACTGGATAATACACCAGAAAGAGACATTATTTTCACTACAGGAAACTGGAATGCCAAGGTGGGAAGTCAAATGACAAATTTGACTTCTCACAGGCAAGCATGGTCTGGGACAACAGAATGATGCAGGACGCAGGCTGATAGAATTTTTCCAGGAAAACTCACTGTGTATAATGAACACTCTCTTCCAAAGCTAAAAGCCATCTTTTAGCTTTTCCAGCTAAAAGATGGCTTTATACATGGACTTCACCAGATGGTCAACACCAAAATCAGATTGACTACATCCTTTGCAGTCAAAGGTGGCAGACATCCATCCAGTCGGTGAAAACAAGACCTGGGGCTGACTAGTTCAGATCATGAACTTCTTACTGCTCAATTTAGAATAAAACTAAAGAGATCAGGAAAAACACACAGACCAGTTAGATATGATATCACTAACATTCCTAGCGAATATGCAGTGGAAGTGAAGAACAGATTTAAAGGACTAGATTTAGTAAATAGAATCCCAGAAGAACTATGGACAGAAGTCCGCGACATTGTTCAGGAGGCGGCAACAAAGTACATCCCCCAAAAAAAGAAAACCAAGAAGGCAAACAGTTGTCAGCTGAGACACCGGAAGTAGCCCAAGAAAGGAGGAAAGCAAAAGTAAACAGTGATAGGGGGAGATATGCCAAATTAAATGTACAATTCTAGAGCTTAGCCAGAAGAGATAAGGAATGATTTTTAAACAAGCAATGCATGGAAGTGGAAGAAGACAACAGAATAAGAAGGACAAGAGACCTCTTCCAGAAAATTAGAAACATTGGAGGTAAATTTCAGGCAAAAATTGGCATGTTAAGAAACAAAGATGGCAGGGACCTAGCACAGGGACCTGAAACTGAAGAGATCAAGAGAAGGTGGCGAGACTATACAGAAGATCTGTATAGAAAGGATAATATCGAGGATAGTTTTGACGGTGTGGTGAGTGAATTAGAACCAGACATCCTGAGGAGCGAGGTTGAATGGGCCTTAAGAAGCATTGCTAACAACAAGGCAGCAGGAGACGACGGGATCCCAGCTGAACTGTTTCAAATCTTGAAAGGTGATGCTGTCAAGATGATGCATGCCATATGCCAACCTATATCCCCATACCAAAAAGGAAAATGCTAAATACTGCTCAAACTTCCAGACAGTGGCCTTTATTTCTCATGCCAGTAATGTAATGCTCAAGATCCTGCAAGGAAGACTCCAGCAATTCATGGAGAGAGAGTTGCCAGATGTACAAGCTGGGTTTAGAAAAGGCAGAGGGATGAGAGACCAAATTGCCAATATCCACTGGATAATGGAGAAAGGCAGGGAGTTTCAGAAAAACATCTATTTCTGTTTTATTGACTCTTCTAAAGCCTTTGATTGTGTGGATCATAATAAATTGTGGCAAGTTCTTGGTGGTATGGGCATACCAAATGACCTTATCTCTCTCCTGAGGAATCTGTATAAGGACCAAGTAGCAACAGTAAGAACTGACCATGGAACAACAGACTAATTCAAGATTGGGAAAGGCGTACGGCAGGGTTGTATACTCTCACCCACCTATTCAACTTGTATGCAGAACAATGTGCAGGGCTTGACGAATGCAAGACTGGGATGAAAATTGCTGGAAGAAACATTAACAACCTTACATATTCAGATGACACCACTTTGATGACCAAAAGAGAGGAGGAGTTGAGGAGCCTTCTAATCAAGGTGAAAGAAGAAAGCACAAAAGCTGGGTTGCAGCTAAACATCAAAAAACCCAAGATTATGGCAACAAGAATGATTGACAACTGGGAAATAGAGGGAGAAAACGTGGCGGCACTTTGTATTTCTAGGTGCAAAGATTACTTCAACCTTCCGCTTGGCAAGATTTATTGCAGATTGGTGATTAACCTGCTGTGCTAAAAAGAGTTTTCATTTCTCCATCTCACTGCTAAAGAATGACAAGGAAAATTGAATTCAGAAGCAAATGCCATGTAGCACTGTTGGGAGACTGAATAGCCAACTGCAGAGACTGGAACATTTATTGTTTAAGCAAAAACTTAAACAATAAATGTTCTAGTGATATGGAACAATTTTTTTGTTGTTTATTCATTCAGTTGCTTCCGACTCTTTGTGACCTCATGGACCAGCCCATGCCAGAGCTTCCTGTCAGCCATCACCACCCCCAGTTCCTTTAGAGTCAAGCCGGTTTGCCCTGGCTCATAGATCTTACATTCCAGGTTCCTATGGGATAAAAAACCAAGATTATGGCAACAAGAATGATTGACAACTGGGAAATAGAGGGAGAAAACGTGGAGGCAGTGACAGGCTTTGTATTTCTAGGTGCAAAGATTACTGCAGACGCATATTGCAGCCAGGAAATCAGGAGACGCTTACTTCTTGGGAGGAGAGCAATGACCAATCTTGATAAAATGGTGAAGAGTAGAGACATCACACTGGCAATGAAGACCCACATAGTTAAAGCAATGGTATTCTCCATAGTCACTTACAGATGTGAGGGCTGGACTATAGGGAAGGCTGAGTGAAGGAAGATAGATGCTTTTGAACTGTGGTGTTGGAGGAAAGTGCTGAGAGTGCTTTGGACAGCGAGAAGATCCAACCAGTCCATACTTCAAGAAATAAAGCCTGACTGCTCATTGCAGCGAAAAATAGTAGAGGCCAAGATGAAGTACTTTGGTCACATCATGAGAAGAAAGGAAAGCTTAGAGAAGGCAATTATGCTGGGGAAAATGGAAGGAAAAAGGAAGAGGGGGCGACCAAGAGCAAGATGGATGGATGGGATCCTTGAAGTGACTGGATTGACCTTGAAGGAGCTGGGGGTTGTGACAGCCAACAGGGAGCTCTGGCATGGGCTGGTCCATGCAGTCACGAAGAGTCGGAAACGACTGAACGAATGAACAACAACAAAATGGGACAAAATTTAGTTTTAGCAAATACAAGGATGAAGATGACAAAGAAGAGTAAAATTCAGATGTGTCAAAATTCACCTTCAATACACTTCCATCTTCAGCAATGCTGTGGCCAAACAGAGGTCGACCATCCTTCAGCCACTGCAGGGTGGGAGGGGGAATGGCATTACTCTGGCAGTGGAGCTCTAGGTTTTCTCCCATAACCAAGGAAACATTTTGTTCCTCTCCCATAATGTTAGGTGGAACTGCATAAAGACATGTTTGAACATTTTAAATGTTCAAAGCTTCACACACACAGAGCTTTTATTGGCACACAACAAAAAATCACAACACAGGTATATACAACAAGACAAAGTCATGGATAAAAAGAAAACATACTTAAAGGTTACTAATTTCAAGGATAAAATTTGCAACAGTCTCACAAAAGAATGCATCAGAGTTGCTCAGAAGAAATGGAATGGTATAACATCCTTGCCATTGAGAACACTGTGAAAAAATAGAATTCCTATATTTCAAATGGGCAAAGATGATTCTGGGGATCTTTTCAAATGAACCAGCAGTCTTGTGTTTATCATAAAATCTAACTCTGCCTGAACATTATTGTGCCTTCTCTGTAAGCCGCCCTGAGTCCCCTCCGGGGTGAGAAGGGCGGGGTATAAGTAAGTGAAATAAATGAAATAATAAACATTCTTAAACACGTGGGAAATACCTTAGATTGTCTTTAAAAAGCAAATATGGCAAATCTATGCCCATATCCTCTTCCCACAATTCCAGAACAGATTAACCTGGCCAGCACACATTTTGGTGCCTCATATATAGCTCTGTTTCTGGGTATATTTGGCATGCTGATTCCAAAAACGGCATCAGTTTTCCCATATCAGCTCTAGATTTTGAGATAAAGAACACATGCCATATATATGCTTACCCACAGAATATCATAACAACTGCATCTAAGCAACTAAAGCTGATGCATACCCTATGCAATTTTCTGAATCAGTGCCCCCCAAAAACCAGAAATGAGCCTAAAACCAAGACACCAAGGTTTGCTTTTGTTATAATTATACAGCAAGAAATTTTGTTTGCAACATTATGAACACGAGCAGAGAAATGCAGCTAATCCTGGTTTTCTGTTACTTGCACCACCAATGACAATGCACCACCAACTCTTATTCAAATTGTAGCAGGTGATGATGTCAAATTAAACTAGATTTACCACTTCAATAACGTGGGAGACACCAGCCACCAATTTAAACTGCTCACCTATGATTGTCAGCGTGTTTTCCTTTACTAAAGGAAAGAGCAACATTTAAATGCCTCTTGGACATGCATCAATAAGTATATACTAGGGCTGGGCGGTTTCGTTTCGTAATTTCGTAATTCGTTAAAAATTCGTTATTTTTTTATAACGAAGCGATAACGAACCATTCAGGAGCAACTAAAAAACGAAACGAATTTTTAAATTTGTTTCGTAATTGTTTAGAATTCGTTTTGTATTCGTTTTGTTATTGTTTTGAAATCGTTTCATTATTATTGCCGCATGTCTGGGGCAAGTTTTATAGTTGTTGTTTGTTTAATCAGTGAAAAAAAAAATATAAATATCACACCAACAGTCAACAACAGAGGGAGAGGGAAGCTTCAGAAGTTCCCCCTGTCCCATTTGGAGGTTTTTTAGCGTATTACGCGGTCGCGTCCGCCATTAACGAATCGATTCGTAATTGTTTCGTAATTGTTTCGTATTGTTTGTAATTTACGAAATTTCGTAAATATCAAACTTTTTAAAAGAAAAATTTCTGAATTCTTTTAAAAATCGAAACGCAAAAACCCCCAAAAAACGAATCGATTTTAGAAACAAATTTTTCCGTGGTTGCCCAGCCCTAGTATATGCAAAACATCTGTATTGCACTGGTTCATGTGCCTATGTGCTCAGGAAGCACAAGATACTTGAAAGTGACTTCTAATTATCAAGACAAATGAATGAAAAGAGCACTAAGTCCTGGCATACAATAATCCTGAAAGAATTTCAACATTTTATTCATTGTGATAAAGGCACCAATAGAATCTCTTTTAGGAATCTCAAATTCATCAACAAATATATCATTATTTGTGTTATTTTTCAGTTTGCACTTTGAAGGCAACTGTGAGGGATCCTCACCGTGAACTTTGAAATCAATATCTCTTTGTTTCTCCCCTGCTGCATTTACCGCAACACATGTATATTTTCCTGTGTCACTGATCTGGGCGCTTGTCAATGCCAGAATGCGACCTCCTGAAAGAATCTAAAAAGGGACTAAAATGGTCACAAATAGCATATATCCAGTAACCTATAGGCAACATACAGCTGATAAGAATAAACATATATTAACTTGCATTAATCACTTAGTCAAATTAATTTTGTGATGCAATATGTTTTGGTCACAATAGTTCTACGAATAATCTAAAATCATTGTTTAATATTCTTTATCTGGAAATCCAAAACCTGAAATGCTCCAAAATCTAAAATTGTCCACATGGGTGGGTGATATAGTGACACCTTTGCTTTCTGATTGTTCAGCATTCACAAACTTTGTTTCATGCACAAACATGATTAAAAATATTGTTTATAAAATCATCTCCAAGCTAACAGTCTTGGTAGCTAGGAAATAAAAATGAATTTTCCATATAAACTCCAATATATTTCATCATATATATGAAAATATTCCAAAATCTAGGGGAAAAAATCCAAAGTCCAAATATTTCTGGTGCAAAGCATTTCAAAGAAGGAATAGTCAGCCAGTATTACTTATTAAAGCTTCAAGTTGACAGAAATAAGCTATACCAAACAGAATTCATAAACCACCACATACACTTTGAGGGCAAGGTCTAGAAAAGACCCTTTATAACACAAAAGCTCATTACATACATTTTACTGCAACAGAGATGGAATCATGTGGTGTTCCAGAAGTTGCTGGACTGCAGTTATCAAACCTTCTCTCAAATGACTTTACAAGCTAGGATTGTTCAAACTTGCAACATAACATCTACAGGTTATCATGATGTAGATGTATATCTACTAATGAACAGTCATTCCCTGTGAACTGTTGTTGGTGTAAATGGTTTAAACAAATATGGGAGAAATGTATACACATAGACAGTGGTATCCAAATACCTGGAGACCATTGGAAAAACTAGAAACAGGACTGCCATCTTTCAGCCAGGTCAGAATGGGAACAGGGATTCCACGGGCTTCACATTCCAACTGTACGGGATTATTAACCACAACAGCAACCATTTCATTGCTGCCAGAAATGGAAGGTGAAACTGAAAAATGAAAGAAAGGGGGACCATGTTAAATGGTCAGAAAAGTTACACAACTCTTGTCTATACGGTTTCATATACATACTCTTGAATAACATGTGAATATGTATTTATTTTTTTTACTAAAAGTATTTATCTGTCCCCACATAGCCAGCAAAGCCACTGGGGCAATGTACAAAATATTAAAACATTCTAAACTTTAAATCCACAGATGACATATTTTAATATAGATTGAGAAAACTCCTTAACAAATCCTTTAGGAACCAGAGATAGTTAAACCAGCCTAAACTGTGTTCAAAATATATCTGACCTTTATCACCCAATTCTTTGGTTGTGAAAGATAGAAAACACTATCAACACTTTTGAGGGATACACTAGTAAATATTTTGAAAGTGGGATAATGATTACAGAGAACTATTAGGGCTGGGCGGTTTCGTTCGTTAATTTCGTAATTCGTTATTGATTCGTATTTAAATTAGCTTACGATCCGATATTGAACCATTCAGGAGCATTTCAATTCATTTCGTAATTGTTTCATTATTGTTTCGAAATCATTTCGAAATTGTTTCGTTATTATTTCCGTATGTCTGGTGCAAGTTTTATAGTTGTTGTTTGTTTTATCAGTGATAAAAAATAAATAAATTATCACATCAACAGTCAACAACAGAGGGAGAGGGAAGCTTCAGAAGTTCCCCCTGTCCCATTTGGAGGTTTTTTTAGCGTATTGCGCAATCGCGTCCGCCATTAACGAATCGATTCGTAATTGTTTCGTAATTGTAATTTTGTATATTTCGAACTTTTTTAAAGAAAAATTTCGGAATTCTTTTAAAAAACGAAACGCAAAAATCCCCTAAAAACGAATTGAGTTTAGAAACAAATTTTTCCGTGGTTGCCCAGCCCTAATAACTATCTCCTCTCCTTCCCTTTCTTTCCCTTTCTTCTTCTTCTTTTTCTCCTTCACCACTACAGCAAGCAATAGGCGTACTCCCCGGCATCTTGCTGGATCACAATGCCAGAGCAGTGATACCACTGTTGCAAGGGAGAGGAAATGGTTGTGACCAGTATGACAATGGAAATCCTTACAATATAGGAGCTTCACTACAGCATTCACATACTGCTGGCTATAGTGACAGAGATTTGTTAGTTTTATGAATTACTGATTTAAAATTGTTTTCCTTTTTTTAAAGAAATCATGCAATCTTCATTTGAGGGTCTTCTCATTCTGAGTTATTCCATTGCTACAAAACTAAACTCTCCGCCTTTTGCTTTTACAATCCTCTGTGGGAAACAGTGACTTGTTCCCTGGCTTTTTTCAAAGATCAATCTGGTTTATGAAAAGCAATATTTACCATGCACCTGAAGATTGTAGAACAGCTCGGCCACTCCTGCAGTATTTGATACTACACATTTGTAAATACCATTATCTGAGATCTGTGCATCATCTATCTGTACAACTTGTCCTCTGTTTAGTAAAGTGATGCTGGCAGTAGGGGTCAGAGGACGGCTATCTTTGTACCATGTGATAACTGGGAAGCAAAATAAAAGACAGCAATTGAAAAGATGCACTGGTAAAATAAGATTAATTCTTTTTTGCATTAATCTAAACAAGAGGCTATGGGAAGGCATGAACTCTCATAGGTTTTTAAAATAATGTAACATTTGTTAAGACTTGTTCAGATGAAAAAGAAGAATTTTGTGTGGATCTAAATAATCCAGTGGCCCAAATGTAAAGAAAAGTGAGAGGTGAAAATTTATTTCCCTGTCACTTCACTATGAGGGACAGGGAGAACTTAGATAAAGGGAAAAGAAATTCCTTCATACTTTTGAATTTCAAACAATTATAACAATTAGAGACTGGCAGTGCTTTCCATGTTAGATAACTAAATCCATTCTGTGTTTTGAATCTGAACCAAGGTATCAAAATTGTTGAACTTGTTTCGCATTCTGGATAATGCTGTCAAAGTCTAGATTAATACTGAGAAGAGATTCAAACTACCACCATCACTACAAACAGAGAAGTTACTAGCCACCTCTGACAGCATTCTGCCTACTCAAAAATTGTATGTGAGCCATTGCCTTGCTCTCCTCATTAGATCGTCTACTATCCTCTCACACACATATTGTATAATCATCATCATCATAGGCTATCACTCATGACCAAGTATGATTGCCTTCCAAGTGTAGGGTCTTGGTGGTGGGTCTGTAGGTGATTGTAGCAACCTATCCTTGATCAACCTAAGCTTGATGCACCTTCCTCTTCAAATGTTTTGCTCTTTCCTCCTCCATTCGGCCTCCTTGAATTCCATAGCACTGTTAGTCACAGCTGACCTCCAGTAAGAAAGCTCGAGGGCCAAGGCTTCCCAGTTCTCATTATCAATGCCACAGTTTTTAAGGTTAGCTTTAAGCACATCTTTAAATCTCTTTTCCTGTCTACCAGCATTTCACTTTCTGTTCCTGAGATGAGAGTATAGTAACTGCTTTGGGAGACAGTGATCAGGCATTCAGACAATGTGGTCAGTTCAGTGAAGTTGATGGCAGAAAAATAATTGCTTCAACACTGGTGGTCTTTGCTTCTTCCAGAACAGAACACTGTTGCATCAAAGCCCTGAAACACATTTTTCACCACAAAACACACTCTGTCCAGGTAATCCAGTAAGTAAAAGTTTATTTAGAGAAATTTATATAAAAAATAAGTCAATCTAAAAAGTTCAAAATTTATATCCAAAATAGCCAAAATCCTTTCTAATACAGTCTCAAGAGTAATTCCCAGAAATATCCATAAGCACGATAGCACAAATCCAAGGTAGGCAACCTATGCCACACATGAAACTAGAAACAAGAACAGACTTAGAAACTTGAATCCCCAAAACGTAGAACCAGGAATTGAGAGCTGTTCACCTGAATACAACATTGCTCTCACAAAGGATTGTACCAGCAGAAAACCACTTAAAAGGCCTCAATCCCCCCATGACATTATTCCTCACACACCTGCTTTTCCTCTCCTTATCTCTAAGCCACTGGGAAAAGCGAGTCTATCTCTGCATTGTCGAAGGCTTTCATGGCTGGAATCACTAGGTTCTTGTGGGTTTTTTCGGCCTGCATCTATGGAGGATGCTTGCCATAGATGCAGGCGAAACATCAGGAGAAATGCCTCTAGAACATGGCTCTATAGCCCGAAAAAACCCACAAGAACCGAGTCTATCTCTGTTGTACACTCTGCTTCCAAAGTTCAAAGCACCTTGATCTGGACAAACATTCATCTCCCACACTTCTCTCAGCTGGCATTTCTGGCAGATTCTCATGAGAATCGCTTTCTCCGGTCTCATGGGAACTTCCAATAGATTCCAAAACAACTCTCTCCAGGCCACTTCTACCCTCCTTTGGGCCCTCCGAATCTATCCTAGAATCCCCTTCCTCATCTTCTGAGCACTCAGAATCAGACCAGGTTACAATAAATATCGATGTTCTTATATCTATCTTTCCAAGATATTTGCAGGATTTTTCAGAGGCAACGTTGATGGAATCGTTCTAGAAGTTGAGTGTGATGTCACATGTGACAGTTCACACTGATCATTACCCATAATGCGGGTGCATTTCAGATACAACGTATGTCACATAAAAGTACCCTTTTGCTTGTTCCTCTGAGAGCCATTTCTGAGAGTGCAAAAAACCAGCATCTTGCTGTCTTACTTGCTCAAGCAGACAAAACTATTTGCTAACACTTCAATGGAACCAGTTTTAAGAGTTGAGTAAACAAATGATGTGCTCATTATGAACATCTAATTCTCTTTTTATAGGGCGAGAAGAAATTATAAGACATCAGGAGTCGGGAAATGCAGATCAAAAACAGAAGCAAACACAGTTGTTCTGGTCCAGGATAAAAAGATAAAAAAAACAACAGCTGACTGATGCATTTATAAAGACAAATGTGTGTTCTGTAGGAATCTTTATTAGGCCAAATGGTACCTTACTTTTATTTTTCCACCTTCTGTTTTTGTATCACTTAACCTGATAAAAACCTCCAAGAGAACTAATACCAATATGATTGCAACAAATACCATTGTTCAATGGCTGGTAATAAAAGCAGAGCAAGATCTAAAGCAAATTCCATTAATCCTGAGTGTGTTTATAATGCTTGGACAACAAGACAAGAACTAGAACTACTTCAAAAGAAAACATATTTCTTTTGTCACTCTGGGACTTGTAGTTTAGGGGAGAAACATTTAAAATGCTCTTTCAGAGACTTACTGTGCCTCACTATTCTACAAGACCCAGAATTCTGCAGGAGGCAGCCACAGGATTTCAGATGGGATGCATACTCGTACCTACTCTTTAGATTTGTAATATGAAAAACAGCCCTGTGAATGCCTATTGTTTAACCAGCAAATCCAATTCAGAAGGTTTCTTGCCACATATAAGAGTCCACTCACACCACCAATAAGCACAATTCAACAAAGCCAATCTGAAAGTAATATATCCTGTCAGAGTAATCCTTCAGTGTTCCTTAAAATATACTTTTAAGGAACCCTGTACCACCTCTGTACATGACATTCATTGACCTTGCAAAGGCATTCGACACAGTGAATTGCAGCGCTCTCTGGACCATCCTCCAAAAAATTCGGGTGCCCTAACAAATTTGTGAACATCCTGCGGCTCCTCCATGATGACATGATGGCAACAGTCTTGGACAGCAATGGCTCCCAAAGTGACCCATTTAAGGTGGAATCAAGTGTCAAACAGGGATGTGTTATTGCCCCAACCTTATTTCCCATCTTCATCGCTATGATACTTCATCTTGTTGATGGGAAGCTTCTCACCGGAATGGAAATTATCTATTGGCCAGATGGCAAGCTGTTTAACCTCAGCAGACTGAAAGCCAAAGCCAAGGTTACAACAACATCTGTTATAGAACTCCAAATGTCAGTGTGCTAGAAGAAGCAAAGACCACCAGCATTGAAGTGATGGTCCTCCGCCATCAACTCCGCTGGACCGGCCACGTTGTACAGATGCCCAACCACCATCTCCCAAAGCAGTTGCTCTACTCCGAACTCAAGAATGGAAAACGGAATGTTGGTGGACAGGAAAAGAGATTTAAATATGGGCTCAAAGCCAACCTTAAAAACTCTGGCATAGACACTGAGACCTGGGAAGCCCTGGCCCTTCAGCACTCCAGCTGGAGGTCAACTGTGACCAGCAGTGCTGCAGAATTTGAAGAGGCATGAATGGAGGGCGAAAGAGAGAAACGTGCCAAGAGGAAGGCATGTCAAGCCAACCCTGACCTTCAACCTGGAAACCAATACCCTCACTGCAGGAGAAGATGTAGATCAAGAATAGGGCTCCACAGTCACCTATGGTTCCCCTAGAAAACTGATCCTGGAAGACTATCCTACTCGGCCAACGAGGGATCGCCTAAGAGAAGAAGACTTTTAAGATAAGATAGCTGGTAGAATGCAGCAGTCCTTTCCCCGTGTTTTAACTTTGAAAACTTTAAATTATGGAAAATAATTTCGGCAAATGTCTATACCTGGTAACGGATTTCCAGATGCTTTGCACTCCAACTGTATTGGATTGTTCACAATCACAGTCTCATTTATCATCTTCCCTGCATCCTTCAAATTGGGTGGCTCTGGAAGCAAGCAGAATACTAAGATCTCAGTCATTTAGCCCCCACATGCCATCTTTCTGTAAGCTAAGCTGTCTTCTATTATTATCAGCATAAAATTGAACATTTAAAAAGTTCTCAAAAGTCTGATTACACTGACCCAAGAATAGTCCAGACATAATAAAACCATTTTGTGAAGCTTAGAGTATATAAAACTGAAACATTTCCCTTTTCTGCTCTCCTCTGGAACACTTCTGAATTTCTGGTGCTTCCCACCATAAAATAATGAGAAGGCAAAGCAAAGCTCACAGTAGCAATGAAAGATAGAAAACTAGTGTCAACAAGTTCAATTCTTGTACAAAAAAACTGCTTTTCGGTAAGCTAGGCTTCATCAAAGGGAAACCTCTTGGATGGTTTACTAGCTGTAAAACATGTTCTGGGTCTGTAGTGGAACTATTTGTTTTTCAATTCCTGACAAGCTCACCAAGTGATATTTGATTGCACCCATAGAATTCGGCTAAATATTGATATAATTGCAATGTTGATTGGAAACCTAACTCAAAACCAAAGTGACACATTCTAAATATATGGAAGGGAGACATATCTCTAATATACCCAGTTTTTTCAATTGAGAAAGATAATAAAAACTCGCTTGTTTGGGTAATACTTGTCACAGAACTTTAGAATTGTTTTCCTTCCTATGTCAGGGAAAGAATCATGGTTGAGTTCCAGATGTTGTGATGGGATAGAATCTAGTCATTGTAAGAGCTGTGAAAGATTTACTGTAAGATCATCAGCTAGCAAGACCAATTTAAGCAATAAGAGGATAAAACTCAAACAGTATCATTAGCGTTCTATGGACGTCTTGTTGTGATATCCAGGCCTGTAGCCGGGGGGGGGGGGGGGGGGGAGTTTAGGGTTTCATCCTCTCCCCCCGAAATTTTTCAGGTTAAAAAAAAAACTAGTTTACTCATGAATTTTAACTGGTTAACCAAATCCCCATGCTAAGTCTACGAGATGCAAAAAATTAAGAGTCCCTCTCAAGCAAATATTGACAATTTATTCACACTGTCATTACTTGCAGCAATAGCCGATGTAGCAAGCAACCAAGTTGGGGGGGGGTGTTGAATGCTCTCATTAAGGAGGCCAGACTTGGTGGAGGTGGTTGACAGGGGCAGAGCTGCAGGCTATTGAAGGCTGCTCTGCCCCCTGCTGTGCTCTTTGCTTCAGCGTGAGCTAGGAGGCAGGTTTCACCCCCCCCCCCAATTTTCAACCCCCCCCCCGAATTTTTTTTCTGGCTACGGTCCTGGTGATGTCCATTTGCAACTTCATCAGAGGGACGACTCCCCCCCACCCCCAGTGCCATTTTGCAAGAGTCTGTGCCATTTTTCCAAATGCTGGAGTAGTGCTGAAGTGTGCTGACCATTGGAACCAGCACAACACAAGAGCTTCCATAGGAAGCTTCCACTCCAGTTGGGGGCAGGTCTTCAAGAGAAAGTCCAGCAACACCGTGTGATGGGCAGCATGCCTATCCATCTCTGGACTGTTTCTTTAGCATCCTAGGATGCTACAAAGGTAAGTGTGGTGAGATCCCTAATCAACTAGCCATTCCCAAATTGCATTTCTCCAAGTGTTTTGGGCTTCAACTTAAATAAACTCTAGTCATCTTGGCCAATTGTCAAAGATTCTAGGAGCTCAAGTCCAAAACATGCGGAAAGCCAAATTTTAATCTGCTGTCCTCATTAGACAACAGCTCATCTGCATCTATTTGAAGAACATCTGTGGAAGTCCAGAAAACATAATTTAAAAACTGGCTATAAACATCACACTCACAAGATATCCTATTCTCCCCCATTTATTGTTCTTGTCTTTTCTTCCTTGTGCTGACCCCAAAGTGAACCTATTACAGAGTTTTCTTGGCAAGTTTTGTTCAAAGGAGCTCTAGCATTGCCTTCTTCTAAGGCAAAGAGAGTGTGACTTCCTCAAGATCATCCAGTGGTTTTATGGCTGGGCAGGTATTTGAACCCTTGCTTCCAGAATTGAAGTCCAACACTCAATCCACTACACCATGCTATCTCTTATTCTCCAGTGTACTTGAAACTTAACTATATTTTAACTATATTTAACTATATTATTAACTACATTATTTGTGAAGGTGACAAGAATGAAAAGATAACAAAATACAATAATTCAAAATGTTAGCAAAGAACAAGAAAAAATTGGCACATGTGGACACCTGAGGCCCTTTCTACACTGCCATATAAACTCCAAATCATCTGTTTTGAACTGGATAATATGGCTGTGTAGACTCAGATAATCCAATTCAAAGCAGATAATGTGGATTATCTGCTTTGATAACCTGGATTATATGGCAGTGTAAAAGGAGCCTCAGAGAAGCTGGCAAAATCAAAAAACTATGTTTGGTCAGGAAAAACATTACCATATACATGCAGACGGACATGATGCTGGGCTTCCCCAGCTGCATTTGTTGCTACACAGGTATATCTGCCAGCATCTTCCATTAGGGCCCTGGGAAGCTGAAGGATGCGCCCTGAGGATTCTAGCTGCTCCAGAACAAAAGAAAATAAATAAAAAAGCAAATTCACTGATCTATATACAGCCACTGAGATTTTCAAAAGAAACCACCCACAAAAAATATCATAGTAACCGCTCCTTCCATACATTACTATATCTTCCATCAAATATAGTAATTTGTGGGAAAACTTTACTATAAGGTTTTTATAATAAATATTTAAGTTGTAATGTGTGAAAATTGTTATGCACATATATCACTTATATCCATATTCTGTTTCACTTTTTGTGAATTTGATTGCATTTTTACTGAATTTATTGCATATTATTGAATTTAATTTTAAGAAACATACTAGAAAAAAAAACACCCCAATTGAACAGATGTAAGCAATTAACAAATGCCATCATTCCAGTATATCTGCAAGAGTTGTATTATTGAACTTTGAGTTCAGTAGTTAGGGTAAATTATAAAAAAATGATTAACTATTATATGTACGCATATACAAATCAGACTCATGTATTGAATGAATATTTTATTTTGGTCAATGGTCAGCAGTTTCAAGTATAAGTAAAGGACAGGTTTGGGAACCAAAATTATAGACTTTGTTTTGATCTGTTGGAGGTTGAGGGTGATTCTGTGGAAAAGAAGAAGTGTCACATCGCTTCAAGGGGCCTTACACCTCCTGCCTCTATTTTCCATAGAGCCAATCCAAAAAAACCAAAAGTAATGTTGCAACCAAGAAATTAGAAGGAATTGATGAGTCTTATAAGTTGTCCCACAACAGTGTTCACTTTCACCTTTTACCACTCCACTCAGAGAAAGAGACGGTTCTGGTTTTCATAAGAGTTAAGGTACAGTATTTATAGTACCTTAAGTCCATTAGGCAAGCTTTTTGTATTGATTTTGGACTAAAATTTCTAGACTTATATACATGAATATATACAGCATATTTCACTTACAAGCTTTGTTTTAGTATTATTTTAAAACTGAGTGTCTTGTGAAAACACTATTGATGGCCAAAGGATTGATCAGAATTTATGGCTCAGTCTTATAGACTGAAAGGAGGCAGTCTTTTTCACCAATAAGCCATATTGGTTCTGGACAAGTTACTCGTGGTGCTAAGAGCAGGCAATGGTGATAATCTGGGGCTGTTTTAGATCTCAGTACTTACTCTAATATTTGCTCTAGCTGTGTTTACAGGCTGGCTGTCTTTTAACCATGTAATCAAAGGACTGGGTATGCCATTGACAACACACTGCAGGGTTACTGGTTTGTGGATGACCACAGATCGCTCAGCAGGTCCAGTTGATTTGATTGTTGGAGGTACTGCAAAAAGAATCTTATTCAACAACTATACAAACACAATATAATATAAAGCATCTGTAAAATGGATCAGAAACTTGGATTAGTGATAATTTTTGCAGTTTAAATTTCCCGGGAATGTGGGAGTTTGAAGAGAAAGCAGCAAATTATTATTTTCTGTGCAGAAAAAGGTGTTTGCTGAGCACTGAATGCTGTTTTCTGTTCAAAAACACTGCAAGCATGTTTTGTGCTGAATAAGCCTTGAAGTATGGTTAGTCTTAGAGGTTTTAATGTGTTTCCCTCAAAAGGGGGGGGGGTGTTAATATTGCTTACTGCTTTCTTCAAAGTTGAAAATACCAAATAATTGCATCCCGTTGACTAACCCAGTTAGCACTGATGAAAGGTGGTGGAAAATCATATTACCATAAAATTATAAAATTGGGACCTTAAGTGTCCAGTCCTTGCTAATACAGGAATCCACATCTAAAGCATCTCTGGCAGGTATTTTCCCCACTGTTGGTGAAAAAGTCTCCAGCAAAATTCTGATGTTGTCTGCTGTACTTTGATGCCATTCTTACTGTCAGCAATCTCTTCCTGATATCTGATTAATATAATCTTTCTCATTTATTTAATTTATTTCAATTTGAACCAGTTTATTTTCTAGAGCAGTGTTTCTCAACCTTCTTAATGCCGCGACCCCTTAATGCAGTTCCTCGTGTTGTGGTGACTCCAACCATACAATTATTTTGTAGCTGCTTCATAACTGTAATTTTGATACTGTTATGAATCATAATGTAAATATCTGATATGCAGGATGCATTTTCATTCACTGGACCAAATTTGGCACAAATATGCACAAATTTGAATACTGATGGGGTTGGGTGGCGGGGTAGATTTGGACCAAACTTGGCATGAATACTCAATATGCCCAAATGTGATCACTGGTGAAGTTTGGTGGTAAAAGGCCTTGACATTTGGGACTTGTTGTTGCAGAGATTTATAGTTCACCTAAACCCCTGCAATGGTAGAATTGGGCCAAACTCCCACACAGAGCCCCCATGCCTTGAAGAGACTCACTGGCATGAGCCTTCCTCTATCCTCACATGCTATCCCTCGCCTGCACATGCACACGCCTGCTCTCCCCTTCCCACCTGGAGTATCAGAAACAGCCCTCCCCTTGGCTGAGAGGCCAGCTGAGAGGCCAGCCAATCACAGTGGAGGAGGGCTTTTGGTGGGAGAATTCACCATCTGTTTCCAAAAAGGAAGAGGAGGACAGACTGAAAGATCTTCAGCCTTCTTAGCCAAAGGAGTCTCTAAGACTTTCAGAAATATATATTTTCTGATGGTTTTTGGCGAACCTTCCCAGGGGTCCTGACCCCCAAGTTGAGAAACACTGTTCTAGAGCAACAGAAAGAAACTTCTCTTCATCTTTCATGTGACACTTCATCAGATATGTGAAGATGGCTAACCTATCAGCACTCCATCTTTTCTTCTCCATGCTAAACTCACTTCTCTTAACTGTTTGTCAAAAAGCTTGGCTCCTGTTTTCTAGGCCTGGTTGATCAAGAAAAAATTTGGTTCTAAAATCGATTTGTAATTGGGGTGTTTTTTTGTTTCGATATTTAAAATAATTACAAAATTTCCCCCCTACAATCCGTTAATATTTACGAAAATTTCGTAAATATTAACGAAATGATTCGTTAAGATGGCGGACCCCCGCGCATGCGCAAAACACTTCCGAAGCTTCGTTATTGGCGCTGGGGGTCGATTCGTTAAGGTTTTAACGAATCGATTCGTTAAAGCGGACGACGCGTTTGCGCATGCGCAAAGCGACTTCCGAAACTTCATTATTAAAAACTTCGTTATTAATAACTTCGTTATTAAATATTTTGGGTTGGCAAAAGGAGCGCACTGGTTGGAACTACACAAAGGATGAGCGAGCAGTGTATGTATGTAGCACTTTGCGTTGGCAAAAGGAGCGCACTGGTTGGAACTACACAAATGACAAACCCACACACAGCCACCGAAGACTCTTTTCTTTTTTTAGAATATTTTTTGTATTTTTTAAGAATAATATTAAAATAATATTAAAAATAATATTAAAAAATATTTAAAAATGGAAACTGAACCAAAAAATGGCCCTGATGTGGACCAAACACAGCCACGAGACAGCAAATGAGAGCACACAGCAACAGAAGAGTCTTTTCTTTTTTAGAATATTTTTTGTATTTTTTAAGAATAATATTAAAATAATATTAAAAAATAATATTAAAAAATATTTAAAAATGGAAACTGAACCAAAAAATGGCCCTGATGTGGACCAAACACAGGCAGGAGACAGCAAATGAGAGCACACAGCAACAGAAGAGTCTTTTCTTTTTTAGAATATTTTTTGTATTTTTTAAGAATAATATTAAAAAATAATATTAAAAATAATATTAAAAATATTTAAAAATGGAAAATTAACCAAAAAATGGCCCTGATGTGGACCAAACACAGCAGGAGACAGGGCAAATGAGAGCACACAGCACAGAAGAGTCTTTTCTTTTTTTAGAATATTTTTGTATTTTTTTAAGAATAATAAAATATTAAGAATAATATTAAAAATAATATTAAAAAATAATATTAAAATTTAAAAATGGAAAATTAAGAAACAAATTCACAAAAACTGAAGGAAGTAATGAATCCAAGCAAGGAATATAAGCAGCACTAAGCACAGCAGCAAGGAATGAATCCAAGGAATGAGCAAGGAATGAATCCAATCCAGTTGCTAGCCAAGCCAAGCCAACCCAATGCATACCCTCCCGGACCTCTTCTCTCTCCCTCGCCCTCTGCAGCAATGAGCTGTACGGCCGCGCGGAGCCGCTTTTAAAGGGCTCGCCGGCCAATCAAAAACAGCCACGGTGCACTGCTTGGGTGCTTGGGAGCGCCGGATTGGCTCCCAGGCACCAGCAGCCTCCATCCCATTAACGAAACGAGCGGAAGCTCGTTAAATCTATGGGGGTTGCCAGTTCGATATTTTTAAACCCTTCCGGTTTTGAAAATGTGTTTTGATATCGTTTCGTAAATGCTAAAAATAACGAATTAATAACGAATTACAAAATTAACAAACGAAACCGCACAGGGCTACTGTTTTCTTCACAATGGATCTCACCCTTTTCTGGACATGTTAATACTCTTTTAAAATTGTGGCACCTAAAATTGGACACAGAACACTTGACCAAAATATATCTGTTCTACAACATCTAGTGGGGCAGACATTCCTCACTTCTGCACTAGAGGGAAGGGAGGAAGTACAGTGTTGCCGCTATATAACTCTTCCTTTAATCTGAGTTTTTCTTGGTCTATGAGCTACATGAAAAACTGTCTGAAAATATTGAGTAGAAAATGGGAGGGTAAAGTAGGCAAAATAAATAATACTAATTTTAATAATGTGAACTGTACCATTACTTACTCTACGTAGTAGGGCTGGGTGGTTTCGTTCGCTAATTTCGTAATTCGTTATTGATTCGTATTTAAATTAGCTTACGATCCGATATTGAGCCATGCAGGAGCAACTAAAAATCGAAACGAATTTTTCAATTTATTTCGTAATTGTTTCGTAATTGGTTCGAAATCGTTTTGAAATCGTTTCGAAATCATTTCGAAATTGTTTCGTTATTATTTCCGTATGTCTGGTGCAAGTTTTATAGTTGTTGTTTGTTTTATCAGTGATAAAAAAAATAAATTATCACAACAACAGAGGGAGAGGGAAGCTTCAGAAGTTCCCCCTGTCCCATTTGGAGGTTTTTTTAGTGTATTGAGCAATCGCGTCTGCCATTAACGAATTGATTCGTATTTGTTTCGTAATTGTTTCGTAATTGTTTCGTAATTTACGAAATTTCGTATATTTCAAACTTTTTTAAAGAAAAATTTTGGAATTCTTTTAAAAAACGAAACACAAAACCCCCTAAAAACGAATCGAGTTTAGAAACAAAATTTTCCGTGGTTACCCAGCCCTACTACGTTAACTGTTTTGATTTGCTTTTGGTATTGCTGTTGTATTATGTTCTGTTGTATTGTGTTTTGAGGCTTCGGCCTGTGTTAGCCGCGTCGAGTCCTATGGGAGATGTTAGCGGGGTACAAATAAAGTTAATAATAATAATAATAATAATAATAATAGTTAAAATTCTGGAATTCTCTTCTGATGTATTACATAAATTACAACATAACTAAACCTACATGATAATGAAATCTATATGTTTTCACAAACACACACATTGCAATTATAGCTCTTGGAGAAACAACATACCATGCACTGTAACAGCAAATTCCCTCTTGTTATCACCCGCCTTATTTGTTGCTATACACTGATAATGACCAGTGTCTGACATTTCAGCCTGTGAAATGAAAAGCTTACGTCCATTCAATAAGATCTTATATCCAATTCCCCTTTCAATAGGCAGGCCATTTTTCAACCACCTAGTAATCAGAAAAAAAGATTATTAAATAGATAAAATAGAGGCATAGTTACTAACATTTTCACACACAGGGATATCGACCTCAGAGACTGGGCTTGCCATGATGCCATGGATTTTTTTGAGCTTAAGTTTCATACCTCTCGTATTATATAGGCTGGTGAGTCCCATTTCTACTATGGGTTTTAGTCCAAACTTTAAATGAACTCTCTGAGGTGTCACAGCTAATTTCCTATATGGTTCAGAACTTTAGCTAGATATTCCTTTAAAGATGAGACTTTAGACTGAAGCAGATTCACTGCCTCTTTTGCCTGGAAGACATTAATTCCTACTACATTCAGTAGGGAATAAGTATCAGCCCCCTTGATCAAAGACCCCAAGACCCCTCCTGCAATAAGAAACAAAACAGCGTTTTAGTTAGACCTTATGAAGGATGGAGCTAGAAAAGAAGGGATTGATGGTTGCTCCTGCAATATATATATATATATATATATATATATATATATATATAGCCCCTTGTTGGCACAGTGGGTTAAAGCTCTGAGCTGCTGAGCTTGTTGACTGAAAGGCTGCCGGTTCGAATATGGGGAGCGGCGTGAGCTTCCGCTGTCAGCCCCAGCTTCTGTCAACCCAGCAGTTTGAAAACATGCAAATGTGAGTAGATCAATAGGTACTGCTCTGGCAGGAAGGTTCCATTGTGCTCCATGCAGTCATGCTAGCCACAAGACCTTGGAGGTGTCTATGGACAACACCGGCTCTTTGGCTTAGAAATGGAGATGAGCACCACACCCCAGAGTCGGTCACGACTGGACTTAAAGTCAGGAAAACCTTTATCTTTACCTTTATCTTTATATATATATAATGGCTTGCAGAAATATTACACAAAAGATAGAACATCTACAATAAACTGAGTCGCAAAATATATCAACAATGGGGGTAAGGGGGGGGGCATTCCTAGCCAGCCTCCTTCAAAAAGAAATTGGGTCACACTGCATTAGAATTGTATTTTCACTAGCAACCACTTAAGAAAAAAAGCAACAGCATCATAAGAAAGAAGTTCTTTCTCTTTTCATTAAGTTTGTCTGCTGATCACTTGTTTCTGCATTTAATTATTACATTCTTTCGGATTTTACATCCAAAAAACTGAGGATTTGTTTGCTTTATGAATTGCGCTGTAGCCCCTTACGTTATTGTTGGTAGAGGTGTTCCTGTTGCAGGGCAGTCCAACTCCAGGGGACTGTGGAGAATCACAATGTAATCTGAAGATTCATCTCCCCCTTCCATATGTGGTGGGACTGCAGAGAAAGAAAAGAAAGGGGGCAGCACAGATAGAAATGCTGTTATAATTTATTTATTCTTTCACACTTCTTTAATTAATTAAAAATATATATTTCTAAACTGATATTTTTCCCACACACACCTAAGATTTCCACATCATATTTTATTTCCTTTTCTCCAGCTATGCTGGTGGCCACACATACATACTGCCCATGGTCAGTCTCTACAGTGTTCAGGATCTCCATCTTCCTTCCCCCAGACACAATGTGAAGGTTGTCACTTGCTTTCACGGGGATCCCGTTCTTTAACCAAGTCAACATAGGAGGTGGATTGCCAGCTGCATTACATTCCAGAACCAGTGAACTGCCAGCTACCACTTGTTTGCTCTGGATTGTTTCAGAATCACCCTCAATAACTGGAGGAACTGAAAAGAAAATGGAGAAAAAGGAAGAAATGTAATTATTGATGCCAAATAATATATTATTATGATATGTAATACATTCAATCTCTTCAGCCTGCAGAGAAATTTTCTTGACCAATCATGTCTAATTTTAAAAGCTGAATGTTTCCAAATGTATTCATTGTACAATTGTCTTTCCTCATAACAGGAGATCCAGATGGTATCATCTATTTACAACCGTGATGTCTGATGTTTATTCAAAACTATTTTCTTTCAACAAAAATAGAATAGCTGCACAAGATGCTATTTTAATTTGTAACACTAGAATCATTCCATCTGGAAGAACCATTGCTCAGTGAACGCTAAGCAGCATCACAACTATAAATAGGGAGCATTATCTCACTGATAAAACTTACCTCCAATAAGGAAATTATGCCTAGTGGACATGTTTAATATTTACATTATTTGGATGCACTCTCTGTTCATGGCTTTTCCATTCAGTAAAGCCAAGTGATTCTTATTGTCAATTTAGCCATTATTAATGCTGGTTGTGGCGATGAGAGGAGAATGGGAGAGTCATGTGTAACAGATGATTTCTTCTCATATTAACAACAGGTTTGGAAGGTAAAATTTAAAATACAGTACAAAGTAGGGCTTGAAAAATGGAACTCCCCACTCTTACAGTCATGCTTATTCTTACTGATCAGTGGTACTCTAGGTCACATTTTATTTGGCATATGTTTCTATGGTTTATTGTTTATTTTATGATTATTTATAGTTTTATGGCACATGTCTATGATTTACTGGTTTTGTAGATTCATTTCTTAGTAGGCAGATAATTATAGCTGAAAACTGAATTGAGGAGAACGGGGAATATAAAATGCCTTGCCCAACTTACCGGGCAGGGATGTTGTGGCGGAGGGTGCTCCCTTACTCACCATTTCCTCAGTGGCTCCTTCTTCCCAGGAGTCCCTGCACACTGCGCACTAGCAGCTAGTCAGCCAGTCTATCAGGGGTGGGCTATGTCCTTCTCCCTGATTGGCTGAGGCAGGGCATGTGTTGGATCCACTGGTGAGCTTAAAAGCAGATGCTTGCCAGCTCGCTGACAAGTTGCTCTTCAGCTGTCCCATCCCTCCCATTCATTCTGTAATCAGTAATCTTGTGTGATGGCACTATTTATTTCTTGGTCATGTTCTTTGTCACAACTTGTGGGCATTTGACATGGGCCCTGGATCAGGTTTGCATACCTCCTCCCCTGTTTGGAAGTGGGGGGATGTCCAGGTGGCTTATGGGGGGGGGGAGTGGCAGTATCAATGTCCCAAGTTGGAACTGGTCAAATAACTGCCTGTGACCCCTACCCTGTTTATGTGGCATTGGTCAACAGCAAGCTGTCCGATTCCTGATTCAGGACCCATGCATGATATCCAACCCTGTTTCATTGTGACCAATAAACAAGTTGTGGCCTTTTTTGTTATCCCAACACTTTGTGTTTTGTTGTTCTTGGGGCTTTGGTGGGTGGAGGGTGGTCTCCCATGCCCACACAATGCAAGAAGCATAAATTTTGATGAACATCTTTACAGTGGTTTATAGAAACTGTAGGCAGTAACATACATCCACTTATGAGGAGTAAGGATTTTTGAGGAAAGATGCAACCGTATGTGTATGAGAAAGATTGGGTGGACAAAGAGTGAGCCAAAGTTGCATGCAGCATTTGGGGCCCCAAAGCATAACTCCTGAAGACCCTCAAAACTGTTGGACCAAGTAAGTATTTTTTTAAAAAAATCTGTGTGAAAATTGCAAGGAGGAGGAGAAGAATGTTAAGTTTTACCCTTCTCTCACTCAAGTTATTTTTTAACACTTCTGCTCAACTCGATATGAACTGGGCGCATCCCTGAAACAACTGTAAGCCTGAGGCCAAATTAGGCCACAAGATTCCAAAGAATGGATATAGGCAAAGTAAAGGGAGAATTGCTGTTACCAGGTCTAAAAGCTATCAAGTTGGTCACAACAGCATCCATCTTTGTGAATAGCCATGTTCAAATAGTAACTATAGCAAGGCAGAGAGTCTATGATTATTGTCCATCTCTTCTTACCATAGACATCCACTTGGAATATTTTTTCAGCAGTCCCAGCTACGTTGGTGGCCTGGCAGATATACTTAGCAGAATCAGAAGCTTGAGCATGGGGAATCTGAAGAAATTGCCCCTTTTCCAAATAAAGGGTTTGCGGATTAGAAATAATGACCTGCCCATCTTTATACCAAATTATTGCAGGAGATGGGATTCCCATTGTCTCACACTCCAGTTTTATCATGCTGTGTAACAATGTTGACACCTCAATGGTAATATTTCCTCCTTTAATTGCTGGCGGGACTGTTGGCAGAGATGCAAAATAGAAACATATTGTAAACAAGGTAAAAAGAAAGCAGATACGAAATCCTTAACAATGCAGGCAAAACATGTTTATTTATTTTTTTAAAAAAATCTTAATTGTAAAATGTTCCCTGTAGAGGAATTATTTTTCTCATTCCCACAACAGCAAAACAAAGCAAACACATGCAGCAGAGTGGAGAAACATAGTTTCAAAGTAATGTAAGCCAGCCCCTCAGATGGTGTTGTAGTAGTTTTACAAGGTATTTAGTCTTCTCTTCCAGAGAGTGCTGTTGCCTAGCTAAACAACAAATTTGTCGCAGCTCAAGACACAACCACACACCAAGGCTGTAGGTTTTGTAGCTTATTGAGAAAAAGCAAAATCAAAACAGAGAACTAAAGATGCAAAAGTTCCATAGGCAAAACAGAGTCTTAAATGCAAAGGCAAAGTTCCCAAGATCCAAAGGCAAATAACATGAAGCATAGTCCTTTAACATTGGTTAAACAAGAGTCCATGGCAGCAAGACAAGGTCTCCAAAATCAGGATCAAAATCAAAGTCCCAAAGAGCCAGAAGCTTTCTGCAAAAACCAAGGTATTTTCACAGAAGTTAACAGGGTATAAGCAACATTGGACTGACAAAGAATAACCTTCGACCAGATCATTAAATATGTTCTCCCAACATGAAAGCATTACGTTGACCTCTAGCTTTATGTTTGTTGGTAAGGCGTGCACTTCTGCGAACTCTTAATTGTAAATGGTCCTGTCTAATCAATTCTACACTATCTTCAAGGCCGGATAGCTCATTATCCTGGCCCTACTGGGTCTGGTCACCCTGGGAACCAAGAGGCCCTGAGCTCCCAGAAGAAGCCTCCACCTGGAGCTGCGAAGTTTCACTATCTTTATCTAAAGCCACATTCCTTTCTCTGGGGAACAGAAATGCCGTCTCTTCTTCAGAATCAACACTGTCTGCTTCAACTGCCTCATTAACATGTTCAGAAATCTGTAACCTATCATCCTCCTCATCCTGAGGAAACTCAGGCGCAGAAAGCTCAGGCTCAGACTGAACCACAACAAAATTCCATGATTCCATAGCATTGACCATGGCATTTAAAGTAGTGTCAAATTGCATTAATTCTACAGTGCAGATACACCCTCAGATATTCAAGACAACAGAACTTCAAAACATCTATGACTGATGGTCAACACTTTATAGTAAAGTACTTCATACAATACTTTATACATCCTCTTTATTGAATTTTTACAATTTTTGCCTCTGAGAGGCATTTCTATTTATAAACAGGCAATTGATGGACAAGGTGTCTAAATTTGTCCCTGTGGAGACAAGAATTTCGTTTCAATATATGTTGATTGCTTCAATTACCATAATGTTAGCTTAGATTATCATATTCAAGAAGAACCCCCCCCCTTGATATATATGTATGTTTATGAAGAGAAGCAAGAGTTCAAAAGTATCCATACACACATTTAAAGTAGGAAATCAAACATAGATCTCAAGATGGTCTCACTTGTAGCCAGATAATAAATGTCTTACCATTTGTTAAAGAGCCAAATAAATAGACATTTTGCTTTATTTTGTATAAAGTGAAAAGAAAAAGAAAGGGTTAATTTTCACAGTTCAAGGTATGTGTGTATGCATGCACACACTCTTCTTCATTAGCCCTGATTAAAACTCCACACCTTAAGTGACTCCAGTATACTGAAGCAAACAAAATCAGTGTCAAATTGACTAATGGGGGCTTTGAGATTCACCTTGTAATTTTCCTGAAACTTTGAGAACCTCAAGTATCACTTCAATACCTCCTGCTGATTTCAGCATGCCTCGAAACCCCAAATAATGCCCCTTGCTCTGGAGGCAGCAACTCAGATATTTCCCTGCCAACAATAATGTATGAACACTAATCAGTTACAGATGCCTACCAAAGACTCTGTGAGATTCTGTCACTGCACTCTTGGATGTTGAAACCATGAGCAGTGGTTGGAGGATGTAAATGACACACACTAAGGGGAAAACAGCTTAGAAAACTCTGTTTGGGACCTCTTCAGACGAACATCTGTCTACAAATTATGGAAAGGATTCCCTTGAAGGGCAATTTACTTGGCCCTGCTATCAATATATGGTTTGAACAAGACCTTGGGTGCATCTACATTGTCTAATTATTTCAGTTTGCCACCACTTTAACTGCCATGGCATAATGTATAATATCACAAAGGACTACCACCTCACCCACCTCATAGGAAATCTGCTACAAAACAGGAGCTTTTTTGTTGAGTTCCAGGGCCAGAGAAGCAGGTGGCGGAAACAGAAGAATGGCCTGCTTCAGGGGAGTGTGCTTGCTCCTTCCATGTTCAACATCTACACAAATGACCAGCCACTGCCAGAAGGGACAGAGAGTTTCATCTATGCTGATGATTGTGCCATTACTGCTCAAGCAGGGAGCTTTGAGATGGTAGAACAGAAGCTTTCCGAAGCTCTAGGTGCTCTTACTGCCTATTACAGGGAAAACCAGCTGATCCCCAACCCATCTAAAACACAGACATGTGCCTTTCATCTCAAGAACAGAGAAGCATCCCGAGCTCTGAAGATCACCTGGGAAGGAATCCCACTGGAGCATTGCAGCACACCCAAATACCTGAGAGTGACTCTGGATAGTCACTCTTACCTCCAAGAAGCATTGCCTGAACATCAAGCAAAAAGTGGATGCTAGAAACAATATTATACGAACGCTGACTGGCACAACCTGGGGATCAGAACCAGATACAATGAAGACATCTGCCCTTGCGCTGTGCTACTCTGCTGCTGAGTATGCATGCCCAGTGTGGAACACATCTCACCACACTAAAACAGTGGATGTGGCTCTTAATGAGACATGCCGCATTATCACGGGGTGTCTGCGCCCTACACCACTGGAAAAATTACACTGCTTAGCCGGTATTGCACCACCTGATATCCACCGGGAAGTAGCAGCCAATAGTGAAAGGACCAAGGCAGAAACCTCTCCAGCTCATCCCCTGTTTGGGTATCAGCCAGCACGTCAACGACTTAAATCTAGACATAGTTTTCTAAGATCTACAGAGACACTCGCTGGAACACCTCAGCAAGTGAGAGTCCAAAAGTGGCAGGCTCAAACACAGAACCACAACCAATGGCTGATACGAAATGAGAGACTGGGCACACAGAGGACTGGGCGACTTGGGAGGCGCTGAACAGACTGCGCTCTGGCACTATGAGATGCAGAGCCAACCTTCAGAAATAGGGCTACAAAGTGGAATCCTCGACATGCAAATGTGGAGAGGAGCAAACCACTGACCACCTGCTGCAATGCAACCTGAGCCCTGCCACATGCACAATGGAGGACCTTCTTGCAGCAACACCAGAAGCACTCCAAGTGGCCAGCTACTGGTCAAAGGACATTTAATCAACTACCAAACTCACAAATTTTGTATTTTGTCTGTTTGTTTGCTTTGTTCTGTTAGAAATGTAATATAATTGACTGGCTGCCCTGACACGAAATTAAAAAAAAAACTGCCATGGCTCAATGCTATGGAATCCTGGAGTTGTAGTTTAACAAGCACCAATTTTGAGGGGACCTTTGGAGACTTTTCTCTCTCTTTCCTGAGGATCCTTTAGAGATTCAGATGAGACCTGTGAGCTAAACTGGATAGGAAGAAAGGAAAGATTGTATTTATTGCAAATGGATAGGTTTAATAAAGGAAGTCACAGTCCTGAGTCTGCAAGATCTGAGAGGGGCTGTTGATGATAGGGTGACTTGGAGGTCTCTCATTCATGGCATCACCATTAATTGAAGTTGACTTGACAGTAATTAACAACACTAGAAATAACAGAAAGGTAAATAAAAAACACAATAAAACAAATACCCAAATAACGTTCTTTCCTCCTCCTACCCCCTTTATAGACAACTCAATAGCAGATTGAATTAACAGATCTTTTTTCTCAATCTCACACCCACACTCTGAATGACTGGCTGCATTTGAGGACAAAGAGCCTGGGGAAAGTAACTAAATATATCATCCCAAACCTATGCCCCCATTCCTGCTTATTTTGAAGCTCTGGAGCTTGTGGCCAGTTTTCCTTACACAATCTTCCCCCACCACTGATTTGTTTCCTTTTCTGCCTCCTGCCTGTCTTCATTCTCTCCACTTGAAAGCTGTTTTGACATGCAATATCATGAATGACCTCTTAAGCATTCTAGCAGTTCATTAGAAGTCTTCTGTCTCAACCATTGTATTGTATGTAAGTTGTTTTGCCTGGATTCTGTCAAAGCTAGACATTAATTACAATAGACCCTACATAAATCTCTGCTGCTCTCTTCTGCCAGTCTCCCTTCATCAGGTAATGCTTACAATCTGTGTCCTGGAGAAAACCTCCAGTTCTCTTTTATGCTGCAATTAACTGCAGAAGTAAGGTAATGCTTTGAATTCAAGAGTGTTCTCCCTTGCAGACTGAACTATATCTGATATTAAATGCTTCACTAAAGTTCCTTCCCATTCCTACCCTAAATTCTCTTTCACACTAGGTTGACCTGCCTGCTTTTTGGGACAGTTCAGAGAATATTTTCTCTATCATTTTATTATCAAATGCCTTCAGAATAATGTGAACTATTTCCTTGTGCTTTTGTAAGCTACATACTTACCATGGACAATTAGTCTGTGTTCCTTAAACTGTTTTCCAGCTGCATTGACTGCACTACATTGATAGCGCCCTTTGTCAATTCTGCGAGCACTCTTTATGTGCAAGATCTGTCCATTGTCCAAAATTTCAATATTAGGGTCTCCTGAGAAAAGGGGTCTGCAAAAATAAAATAAAACAATAATGTGTAATCTTGTGCTAGCCTGTTTACACACACATTCCCACAGACATATTCAAGGACTTTGAAAGTATACATTTCAATAAATATGCACAGCATTCCACTGTGTTTCTGTATACACCCCTTCCATCATTTCATCAAGATCAGGCACAATAGTGGACTTCTGCTTGTGGAACACTGCTGCAAAGTGGAAGAGAATCATAGAATCATAGAATCAAAGAGTTGGAAGAGACCTCATGGGCCATCCAGTCCAACCCCATTCTGCCAAGAAGCAGGAATATTGCATTCAAAGCACCCCTGACAAGATGGCCATCCAGCCCGTTTAAAAGCTTCCAAAGAAGGAGCCTCCACCACACTCTGGTGCAAAGAGTTCCACTGCTGAATGGCTCTCACAGTCAGGAAGTTCTTCCTAATGTTCAGATGGAATCTCCTTTCTTGTAGTTTGAAGCAATTGTTCAGGGCAGCCTGTTTGTTTGATTTTATTTTTGTTTTATGTCGGTTTCTGGTTTGTTGTATTTTTCTATACTATATAGTTGTTTTATAAATTTTGGGTTTGACTAGGAGGGAGAATAAGAATGTTTTTCTAGAAGTCATTAAAAATAAAGATTTAGAAATTAAATAGAGGTGTTTTTTTTTTCTCACAGTCAGGAAGTTCTTCCTCATGTTCAGATGGAATCTCCTTTCTTGTAGTTTGAAGCCATTGTTTCGCATCCTAGTCTCCAGGGAAGCAGAAAACAAGCTTGCTCCCTCCTCCCTGTGGCTTCCTCTCACATATTTATACATGGCTATCATATCTCCTCTCAGCCTTCTCTTCTTCAGGCTAAACATGCCCAGCTCCTTAAGCCGCTCCTCATAGGGCTTGTTCTCCAGACCCTTGATCATTTTAGTCGCCCTCCTCTGGACACATTCCAGCTTGTCAATATCTCTCTTGAATTGTGGTGCCCAGCATTGGACACAATATTCCAGGTGTGGTCTAACCAAAGCAGAATAGAGGGGTAGCATTACTTCCCTTAGATCTAGACACTATGCTCCTATTGATGCAGGCCAAAATCCCATTGGCTTTTTTTGCCGCCACATCACATTTTTGGCTCATGTTTAACTTGTTGTCCACGAGGACTCCAAGATCTTTTTCACACGTACTGCTCTCGAGCCAGGCATCCCCATTCTGTATCTTTGCATTTCATTTTTTCTGCCAAAGTGGAGTATCTTGCACTTGTCACTGTTGAACTTCATTTTGTTAGTTTTGGCCCATCTCTCTAATCTGTCAAGATCGTTTTGAATTCTGCTCCTGTCCTCTGGACTATTGGCTATCCCTCCCAATTTGGTGTTGTCTGCAAACTTGATGATCCTGCCTTCTAGCCCTTCATCTAAGTCATTAATAAAGATGTTGAACAGGACCGGGCCCAGGACGGAACCCTGTGGCACTCCACTTGTCACTTCTTTCCAAGATGAAGAGGAAGCATTAGTGAGCACTCTCTGTGTTCGTCCACTTAACCAATTACAGATCCACCTCACCGTAGTTTTGCCTAGCCCACATTGGACTAGTTTCCTTGCCAGAAGGTCATGGGGGACCTTGTCGAAGGCCTTACTGAAATCCAGGTACGCTACATCCACGGCATTCCCCGCATCTACCCAGCTTGTAGCTCTATCGAAGAAAGAGATCATATTAGTCTGGCATGACTTGTTTTTGATAAATCCATGTTGACTATTAGCGATGACTGCATTTGTTTCTAAGTGTTTGCAGACCGCTTCCTTAACAATCTTTTCCAGAATCTTGCCCGGTATCGACGTGAGGCTGACCGGACGGTAGTTGTTTGGGTCATCCTTTTTTCCCTTCTTGAAGATTGGGACCACATTGGTCCTCCTCCAATCTGCTGGAACTTCTCCCGTTCTCCAAGAACTCTCAAAGATGGTTGCCAATGGTTCCGAAATGACTTCCGCTAGTTCCTTCAATACTCTGGGGTGTAGTTGATCTGGCCCTGGGGACTTGAACTCATTAAGAGCGGCCAGGTATTCCTGGACAACTTCTTTCCCAATTTGGGGTTGGATGTCCTCCAATCCCTCATCCACTCCATCTTGCTGAGGTTGAAGACTCTCTTTTTGTGAGAAGACCGAGGCAAAGAAGGCATGAAGTAGTTCTGCCTTTTCCCTATCCCCTGTCAGCATTGCCCCATCTTCTCCTCGAAGAGGTCCTATCGCCTCCTTGTTTTTCCTTTTTCTACTGACATAAGAATAGAAGCCCTTTTTATTGTTTTTAATGTCCCTGGCAAGTCTGAGCTCGTTTTTTGCTTTAGCCTTGCGGACCTTTTCCCTACAGGTGTTGGCTATTTGTTTGAATTCTTCTTTGGTGATTTCTCCCTTTTTCCACTTCTTGTGCATGTCTCTTTTGTGTCTTAGCACAGTTAGAAGTTCTTTGGACATCCATTCTGGCTTCTTTGCACTTGTCCTATTTTTTCTCTTTGTTGGCACGGTTTGCAATTGCGCCTTGAGTATTTCACTCTTGAGAAATTCCCATCCATCCATAACTCCCTTGTCTTTTAGTATCTGTGTCCACGGAATGCTGCTCAGCGTTTCCTTCATTTTTTGGAAATCAGCTCTCCTAAAGTCCAAAATGCGGGTTTGACTTGTCTTAGTTTCGGCCTTCCTTTGTACCTCAAATTGCAGGAACACATGGTCACTTGCCCCTAAGGATCCTACACTCCCCCCGCCGCCGCACACACGCCACCCCCCCCTCCCCCCCCCCCCCCCCCGCCCCCACACACCCCCCCCCTGACACTCCCTCGCCCCCCCCCCCCCCCCCCCCCCCCCCCCTCCAAAAAAAAAAAAAAAAAAAAAAAAAAAAAAAAAAAACAAATGCAGGTTTGACTTGTCTTAGTTTCGGCCTTCCTTTGTACCTCAAATTGCAGGAGCACATGGTCACTTGCCCCCAAGGATCCTACCACTTCAACCGCATCGATCAGGTCCTCCGCATTTGTTAGGATGAGATCAAGAGTAGCCAATCCCCTTGTTGCCTCTTCTACCTTCTGGACCATGAAATTGTCTGCAAGGCAAGTGAGGAATATGTTGGACCTTGTACTCTTGGCCGAGTTTGTTTTCCGGCAAATATCGGGATAGTTGAAGTCGCCCATGACTACTACATCTCTTCTCTGTGCCTGTTTGGTCAACTGTTGGCAGAAGACTTCATCAAGTTCTTCCTCCTGGCTTGGGGGTCTGTAGTAGACTCCTACAACGACATCTTTTTGAGTCCCAGTTCCCTTGATTCTTATCCAGATGATTTCAAGCTGGTTTCCCAGATTGCTGTCTTGAATCTCTTCTGCAGCATAAGAGTTTTTGACATATAAGGCTACTCCGCCTCCTCTCCCCTTTGTTCGGTTTCTGTGAAAGAGGTTATACCCCTCGATATCTACATTCCAGCAATAGGAGTCATCCCACCAGGTTTCAGTGATCCCTACGATATCATATTTGTGGTGTTGTGCTAAAAGTTGGAGTTCGTCTTGTTTATTTCCCATGCTCTGTGCATTAGTGTAAAGACATGTGAGCCCCTGAGATCTTCCCTTGAGCTGTTTAATTGGGATTATTGTGCTTTTGGTACTTGGTCCTTGTTGTGTTTGTGCAGCCCTCCGTTTAGCCTTCTGGCGATTCCCAGACATTATGGGTAAAGTAGTGTTTGCAAGGCTGTTGTCCCCCTCCCCCGGTGGACCTAGTTTAAAGTGCGTCTAATGAGGTTTGCGAGTCTGTGAGCAAAAAGGTGTTTTCCTACTTGTGTGAGATGCACCCCATCCCTTGCCAGTAGGCCATCCTCCTGGAAAAGCAGGCCATGGTCGAGGAAGCCAAAGCATTCCTCCTGACACCATTTTCTAAGCCAGTCATTGACCTGTACTATTTTTCTGGCTCTTGTGGGTCCGTGTCTTACAACAGGGAGGAGGGATGAAAAGACCACCTGTACATTACATTCTTTTAGCTTTGCTCCTAGAGCTCGAAAATCATTTGTGATCTTTTGAAACGTATGCCTTGCAGTATCATTGGTTCCTACATGAATCAACATGAGGGGAGGACGGTGATAGGGCTTGAGGAGCCTGGTGAGCCTCTGAGTGATATGGTGTATTTTTGCCCCCGGTAGGCAGCATATTTCTCGAGCCATCCCATCTGGTCTGGAAATGACAGCTTCCTTTCCTCTAAGGAGGGAGTCGCCTACTACCAAGACCTGTTTACTTTCGGGAATGACAGGGCCCCTTTTGTGCAATGTAGTGTGTAGGTCTCCAGAAAAGTGATCCTGTTGGTGTGAATTGTGTAGGTGAAAAGTGTTGTCCTCCTCCTCGACATCCCCGGTGCATTCGTCAAGGACAATCCATTGAGATTTCGTCCAAGAGCCTATGGTTCTCCTGTATGTGTTCCTGTTGCTCCTGGTCTATGGTTGGGGATGGTACACCTGCACGATTGTGCAAGTGTGAATGTTGTGAAGTGTTGTCCCAGTCAGGGCTATCCTCCGCACACTGATCAAGGATGAGCCACTGATCAGTATCTAAGCCATTCTGGTCTTCCCCAATATGTTGTGTTTCTTGGTCAGGTGATAGTTGTGTGAGAATTTGGAATCTATTGTGTAAGGATAAAGTTGTAATCTTCCCTTTCCTCCATACTTCCCTATGTGTCACTCAATAAGGTGTCACAAGGGCAAAAGAAGGAAACAGAAAGAAAATAAGTTCTGAAAGTCCTAACAGCTGAACATTAATCCATTGACATCAAATTATATTTTATCTAATAGAGCATACAAGAAAAAAATGTTGTATTGGTATTTTTCTTTCACTATTTTTTTATCCAGAGTTACATTGTCCTGAGCTAAAAGGAGAACTTGTTAGAGAGGAAAAAATGTACACTGTTCCCTCGCTACTTCGCAGTTTGCTTATTGCAGACTCACTGTTTTGCTGGGAGCAGCAAGGGAACACTGTATAGAGGGAATGCTGTATAGCTGCTCCTCATTCCTTCCTCGCCAGGCTGGGCATCCAAGGGGCCTCTGAGGCAGGGAGCAGTGAAGGCAGCGAGGAGGACGAGGAGGAGGAGGCGACCTCCGAGTGGGGGGAGTGTCCCTACTCTGCCTCGGAGGCCCCTTGGGTGCCCAGCCTGGTGAGGGAGGGGCCTCCGAGGCAGGCAGCAGCAGAGGTGGCAAGGAGGAGGATGCCACCGAAGAAGGCCTTGGTGGCATCCCCCTCCTCGTCGCCTCCACTGTTCCCTGCTCCTTCCTTTCCAGGCTGGGTGCCAGGCTTGTGCACCTAGCCTGGTGAGGAAGGGACCTCCGAGGCGGGGAGCAGCAGAGGTGGCAAGGAGGAGGCCACCACGAACTAGGGACACTGGCCACGCGAGTGGGTGGAGTGTTCCTATTTCACAGATTTTCACTTATTGTGGGTGGTCCTGGAATGGAACACTCATGATAAGTGAGGGAATACTGTAAATCCAAAACTGTAAGCTGTGACGATTATTTGTACCACTGAAACTCACCCCATGCAAAACGGACTACCAATGTAAAGACAGCTTTATCATGATCATATTTGACAGCTACCAAACCATCACCCGTTCCTTGGCCGCTGAAAAGTCATCATGCTTCATCCCTGCAGATCATTCCCATATATGTAACTACAGAGGTGAGTAAAGTAGTTTTGTCTGTACTGTGCGTCGCATAGTATATAAAGTTTGTTCTGTCCCATTGTTCCATTGTTTTGCAAATTTTCTTTTAATATATGCAAGGAAATAATGTATCACTATACCAATTTCTACATTTATTTTCTCTCAAAATGGTTATTTCCAGACAAAGGAACAATCAGAAAAGGCAAAAGTTGGTGGATAATTTAGTTATTTTAGCTTGGAAAGTGCAAATCAAGTTGGTTCATATTTGATTCATAATGATCAAATTCCTTAAGTCCAAGAAACCGTGGAAGCAACAGTTCTAGTTTTGGAAAGAATTAAAATGAATTCTTTCTCACAGAAGCATGGTTTCCAGAGTTACTTTGCTGAATTCATTCAGAAATGGCCAAAATCACTTTGTTCAAGGCTTGAGCTAGTTTCAAAACACTTTAACTTCATTGTGCATTTGTTCAAATAGCTTTAGATAATTTATTCCACTAAACTGATGCTGTACAGTGCAAGAGTATGTAAAAATCAGTCCAAACAGCCTTAAAATATCATATAAACATAAAACATGAGCTAACAGCTACCAGCAGATTTCTCTGCCACACAGATTTTAAAACACAGATTTACTAGTAGGATGTGAGCTTTGCTTGGCTACTATTCTGCATTACTAAATGCTAACACTATTTGTCCAAGAACATTTATATACTGATTTTTGTTGCCCAACTAACATTTGTACTGCCAAATTTCATCCTCTTAATGGGCTTTTCCTGGAAGATGAATAGTTCAGAGGCACAAACTCTCAATCTCGTGGTACACTGTGCTGGAATGTATCTCTCTCCGTGTGCAGAAATGTCACATGTAATTATGGCTTCTGTCTAACAAAGGACATTTTAGGTTACAGGTCCTCCTGTACAACTTGCCCCAATGAAATCTCGGGCTGTTTTGAATTAGACTTTGTAACTATTTTATTTAACCCCTTTGTTCTTCTAGTTGCATTTTGCTTTTGAAAAATACAAAAATGACATGCATGGCATACCTCAAAGCCATGAAATCAGGCTACCATAATTTGCATAAAGCCAAATTTTGCCACGTGTTGAATTTGACTCTACCCAATTGGTATTGTCAGCATGACATTGTGGGTTTGAATATTGGACTAGCTAGGGCTCGGAAGGAATAGAATTCAATAATAATAATAATAATAATAATAATAATAATAATAATAATAATAATAAAATAATTCCTCGGAAGGAATAGAATTCAATAATAAAATAATAATAATAAAAACCTTTATTTATACCCTACCACCATCTCCCTAAAGGGACTTGGGGTGGCTTACATGATGCCAAGTCCAACAAAAATACATCAATAAAACAACAAAGCAAGTAAGCAAGTAAAACACAACACAAATATCATAAATAACATATAAGCAGCAGGAACACACAAGAGATTTAAAACACTGGAAATACATTGGGTGATCATGGGCAAGTCACATTCTTTTAGTCTTAGAGGAAAGCAATGGCAAAGTTATCTGAATAAATGTTGCCCGGAAAACCTTGATGGTTAAAGTCAACTTGAAGAAATACAACAAGAACTGATACTCAACAAGAAATGCACATACGTTTGATGATAATACCATGTTTAGGAGATAGCCATAATGACATTAATGATCTATCAGAAATACAGCCTATCAAATCCACAGATTAAGTACAGACAGCACAAAACAGTTCCATAATCTTAAGGTCAAACATAGGGAAATAATAAGGAACCATTTTCCTTCATTAAGAAATGAGAACATGGTTTTCATCGAAAGAGAAGAAGATGAAGAATATGAAGTCTACAACAATATCACTATTAGACTCCCCCCCAACAACTATCTCCCAGCAACAAATCCCTCCCACCCTTCACCCCTCCCCCATTTGTCTCCCCTTTTTCTTTTCATTTCCTACTTTCCTATACACTTGATTGTTCCTCCTCTTTTATTGTATGGAAAAACCCTAATAGAAATTAATAAAAATAAAAAATATATAATCTTAAGGTCAAACATAGGGAAATAATAAGGAACAATTTTCCTGCATTAAGAAATGAGGACATGGTTTTCATCGAAAAGGCAAAAGATCATGATTCTGCACAGATACAAACAGTGCTAAAAACATGACCATCAACAAGAGATGTAATTGTTCATTACGTTTCTTCTCGAAGGTAGCAATATTTAAGTTCAGCCATTTTCTTCTTACTACAAGATTCCTTCTCACTCACAAGAAAGTCTGTGAAAACCACACAGTTTTCAAAGGCTATTAGCAATTCAGGATTTAGTCAGCACAAAATATATCCATGGTTGTTCTGCACAAATCGCATTTTTAAACAAAAAATAATATTTCAGCAAAGAAATATGAAATCCAATACAGAAATCACTATTTTCCACATCCAAGAGGGTGTTCGCTGTGCAAATAAACTACAAGCACATTTTTCACTGATTAAATCCACATTAGTTTTTTTTCTGAATAGAAAACAATTTCTGTGCAGGAATTAATAAAATGATGTTTTCTGCAGAAAGCAACCAAATGCAAATTCTTCAAAGACTAGAGTTTGAACTGCATTATAATGGCCAGTGTACACTCATATAATGCAGACTGAACTGCATTGAACTGAATTATATGAGGTTACAAACCAGTTCAATGCAGTCAATCTATATTCTGAAGATGGGTTATATGGCAGCGTAGATGAGGTCTATGTCTCACCAATCCAGGATTCTTGTCATCATGGTTACTTGATATTTTAAAAATATGTTTCTAGTCACTTTTGGATGCTTTGAATATTCTTTCCATCACAGGCTTTGAGACTTATGATCCTTGCACATCTTTGCCTTACTTAAAACCATTGTCAGTATGGACTTTACAAAAAAGCTATGCCTTTGCTCCCATTTTATTGTACCAAGAGATAGCAAGAGATGAAGAGATATGAATGAGCATGTGTGTGCCCATACGTGTTTTCAACAATGAGAACAGCACTTACTTGCCATCTTTGAACCAATGAATGATGGGAAAAGGGGAGCCACTGACTCTGCATTCAAAAGTGATGTCTTGGGTTAGAATGACTGAGGTTTCGCTTGGTGTATCAGTACTTCTTATTGTAGGTGGGACTAGGTGAAAAAGAAAACATAGTGCAATCAATCATCAAATGGACTGAAAGGTAAAGTATAGTCAGCTCCGACTCTTGGAGGTGGTGCTCATCTCCATTTTTAAACCGAAGAGCCAGCATTGTCCGTAGATGGTCACGTGGCCAGCATACTGCATGGAGCATTGTTACCTTCCTGCTGAAGTGGTACCTATTGATCTACTCACATTTGCATGTTTTCAAACTGCTAGGTTGGCAGAAACTGGGGCTAACAACGGGACCTCACCCCATCCCATGTATTCCAACCACTGACTTTCCAGTCAGCAATTTCTACAACTTGGAGTTTTAACCCACTGCACTGCCGCGGCCCCTTCAATATGGAATACATGTTCCTAAATAAGACTCATATAGCTCTTTCAGCAGAAAGAATGAAGTGTAATTCTTTGCTTTCATTTGTACATTTATAAATCTAAGTATGTCTCAATCATAACACAGAATTTATTACTGGAAACATGGCTACATGCATCTCTTTATCTTACAGACTATGCACTTGAATGAAGGGATGTTGGAATCAATTGCAGTGGGACGTTTTAACAGTTGTTTCTGTTGCAAATGCGAAACTAAACAGGAACTGAGTTATGAACTAGAAGAATTCAGATTCAAGTTTCAACCAGGCATGAACATGTCTTTATTATACTTGTAATATTTTTTATCTATATCTGCAGTTTAAAATTATAATAATGAGCAATTATGCACAATGAACTACTAAGAAGCATAGTTGACACAACAAGCATGAAGTATTCTCAACGAGTTAAGCATTATATCAATAAAGCTATTAAATAAATAAATGAATGAATAAATAACTTGATTTTTAACCTGCCCTCTCCCCAAAGGGACTGTTGCTAACATTAATCTGAAGTATATCTGGATTTACAACTATAAAGAAAAAAAACTAAATAGTTCAGGCATACAGAGTAATCTGGTTTTTTTTTTTTTACTTCCCCATGGCCATTTAGATACAGTATATCTTTCATTAGAAGAACCCTCCAAGTTCCTTTGCCCTTCCAGATAGGTTAGATCAGTGGTTCTCAACCTGGGGTCCCCAGATGTTTTTGGCCTACAATTCCCAGAAATCCGAGCCAGTTTAGCAGCTGTTAGGATTTCTGGGAGTTGAAGGCCAAAAGCATCTGGAAACCCCAGGTTGAGAACCACTGGGTTAGATCATGCCAAAAAAGGTTCCAACACAAATTAATAAGTGTCAATCATAGTACCCTTATAAGATATTGCAAAAAGTACCAATCTTTGATGAGACCAACCTTGCACATCTACAATAAATAATTTCTCTGAGTTCCCAGCTACATTGGTGGCTTTACATGAATACTGGCCAGCATCACTGGCAGAAGCTTTAAGAAGCTTCAGCAGCTTTCCATTGTTTAGAATCTGTAGAGTGTTGCTCTCCACAACCTAAAAAAGAACAAATAATAATAATAATAATAATAATAATAATAATAATAATATCCAAATGTAGACTCTGCAAGGAAGCAGATGAAACAATAGATCACATCCTGAGCTGCTGCAAGAAGATAGCACAGACAGATGATTTATTGGAACTTGTGGCACAAATACCATCTGCCTGTGACAAAGAACTGGTGGGATCACAAGCCGGAAAAAGTTACAGAGAATGAACACGCCAAACTCCTCTGGGACTTCCGATTCAGACAGACAGAGTTTTGGAGCAAAATACTCCTGACCTCACAATCATGTTAAAAAAAAAGTATGGATCGTTGATGTTGCAATCCCAGGTGACAGCAGGATTGCAGAGAAACAACTGGAAAAGCTGACACAATATGAGGATTTAAAAATCGAACTGCAAAGACTCTGGCACAAACCAGTAAAGGTGGTCCCAGTGGTGATCGGCACATAGGTGCAGTGCCTAAAGACCTTGGCCTGCACTTAAACACAATCGGTGCTGACAAAATTACCATCTTCCAGCTGCAGAAAGCCACCTTACTGGGATCTGCACGCATTATTCGCCGATACATCACACAGTCCTAGACACTTGGGAAGTGTCCAACGTGTGATCCAATTCAACAGCCAGCAGAGTGTCTGCTGTGGACTCATCTTGTTGTGTTTCAAATAATAATAATAATAATAATAATAATAATAATAAATACCGCCTTTCTCTATTCCGAAGGGGACTCAAGGCGGCTTACATGTGGCATTTATTCAATGCCTTGCAACACATACAGACATTAAAAACTTAAAATCAGTTGAATTAAAATTAATATAAGTTAAGCATTTAAAAATTATGTTCAGTATTAAAATCACGCCATCCAAAGATCATGGTCCAAGGTTGATTCCATAATCATTGCACATAATCCACACGTGCACATAATCCATTGCACATAATTATGTCAACATCACCAAATACTGCAGCTGAACTGTGCAACTCTCACACACTATTTCCCTTATCGAATAAAACTAATCTCATGTGCGACTAATCTCTTGCAATTTATAAACTCTATGATATAGACTAGGGGTCCTCAAACTTTTTAAACAGAGGGCCAGGTCACAATCCCTCAAACTGCTGGAGGGCCGGATTATAATTTGAAAAAAACATGAATGAATTCCTATGCACACTGCACATATCTTTTTTGTAGTGCAAAAAACACTTTAAAACAATAATTAAAATGAAGAACAATTTTAACAAATATAAATTTATATTTAACTCGGGACTATGTCGGTTCTCGTTTTTATTGTATTTTAAAGTTGGTTGTATTGTTTTAATCTACTGCTGTAAACCGCTCCGAGCCAAATTGGGAGTGGTGGAGTCTAATAAATAAATAAATAAATAAATAAATAAATAAATAAATAAATAAGTATTTCAATGGGACGTGTGGGCCTGCTTTTGGCTGATGAGCTAGGATTGTTGTGTGCTTTCAAGTCATTTCAGACTTAGGTTGACCCTGAGCGAGGGCCGGATAAATGACCTTGGAGGGCCATATCTGGCCCATGGGCCTTAGTTTGAGGACCCCTGATAGGACCCCATGCTCTGCAATTAGGACTACTGGCAATGGCTGGATAATTTCATTAACATCTGTGAAATGTTTGTCATGACCTTTTATATTTGGTGGGCTAGATTTTTTCTGAAACAGCATTGAATGTGGGAAAAAAAAGAATGCCTAGTTCAGTATCTGGGACATATTGTCCAGCGAGGCAAAATATATTATTGCAGTTCAACCTTGCCTGCCAAATAACTATCAAGGTGGCTTCACTCAGTCCTGTTGTCTTGTTTCAGAGCCTACAAACATAGAAACAATATCGGAAGGGTCCCAGTAATAGGTAAATTAACAGTATGGGCTTTTGGATGAATAATGAGAGCGTCTTAGCATTGTTGTAATCTGAATAAAAACTCCACAGCGGTGGTAGAGAAACAACATCAAAACACAAAATCACCCCTGTGGATCAGGCAGCCAAAGGACCTTATCACATTAGTAAATACTCCATTTCTGAGACTGTTTGGGAACAATTTTGAATGGGTCCTGTGACGATGTGTAACTTTTATTCTCATATTTATGTGTTGTTTAGACAGTGGTTGATAAATGGTAAGTATGAAGGAATATATTTTGTTGGAGATGGTGGCTTGGCATTAGCTGAGTTGCCATAGCAACAGGGGCGGAGCCAACTGCCTCTTCACGGGGCAGCTGTTTTGAAAGTCAGTAAGCTGGTGAGCTACTGGGAAGACTGAGTCTCTGGGTGGAGATTCAGGGAATGTGTCTGTAGCCGGTGTGCTATAGGGAAGACTGAATCTCTGGGTGGAGATTCAGGGAATTAATTGGTGACCAAAGGGGTTACAGAAAAGGACCCGGTAGTGATAAAACTACAGGGGGTTATTGATTCTGAGTTAAGAATCAAGGTTTGGCTGGGAGCCAATTCTGTTAATAAGCCTTTTAGCTTATTTGTTTTATTTAGAACAGTTGTCCAGAAGAGTTACATCTGCTTATAGAAACCTCTTGAAGTCTGTGCCTGAGATTACTCTTGAAACCTTATTAATGTAACCAATCAAGATTTGTGCCTCTTGTGAAGAAACAGTTAAACATGTTATACTCCTGTTAAAATAAACTTGTTACTGTTTTCCTCAAGCCTTGCCTGATACAGTTTCTCGTAAGACAAACAGCCTGCATAAGAAGTAAAGTCAAGCCAGGGACAGTAAACGCTACGCTATTAAATGTATAAAGCCTTCTGTAATTAATAGTCCCTTTATAAAATAGCTCCTAAGCTGAAATTGATCGTTGCCCGGCTTCCCTCACAGATTAAGTGGCAGTAAGTTCAACCACACTCCTTCACAGGTCCCATTACATGGCATTTGTCCCATCCCGTCAATATTCCATCACAATCCATCAGTGAAGCATCGCAGAAACTGATTATTTGCACTTGGGATTCTAATTGTGTTTTCTGAAATACTATGGACTCTTCCATGGCTGAAGCACTGCTTTTTTGCATGTGATTGGAAAATCTGTATGCATCCTGTCAGCAAAAATATGACTTGTCCTTTGTGGACATGCCCAGGGGCAGAATCTCATGGCTGGGCATTTATGACAGAAGCAGCTGCCATTTCTGTTTTGGACATTGAAAGGGTAAGATCTCCAGGATTACTGATATCAGTAACTGCTGTTTTACCTCATTTTTAAACGGAATCTGCACAATTTCTTCTCCATTGCATCTGTTTGTGTAACAGAATGTTAATGTTAAGAATTTTAAAAGAAGTAAAAGAGTAGTTTGGCTTTACTTCACTGTCTTTTTATTTCACAGACAATCCCACGAGAATGATAGTCTAAGACTTGGGGGTTATGTTGCTGGGCAATCTTATAAAAAATTTAAAGGTCATAGAGTGACCTTTCAAATGGATTGGGAGGAGTGTGATGAGTCGAAGTGAAGTATTTTCTGAAAGTAAGAATCATAGTATTTAGGTGTGATGGGATCAGCATGAAACCATACTGAAAACAGTATGCATTCACCAATTCATCACGCAAGCATTTTTTACCCATCTTAGAATGTACTCAGCACAGTTTGGAGACAGAGCCCACCAAATCCCATTAAATGACGCAGAGCTACTTCCAGCAGGATTCCACTTCCAAACTGTGCTAAATGCATTCTAAGAAAAAGCAAGGAGAAAATGGAAGGCTACCTGATGTTATCATTGCCAGTAAAGAGGTATGTGTGTATGGAATGGGGGGAGAAAGCAGCGACACTTTTTCCTGTGTTATGGGGAAGGTGGCACTGCAGGCGATGGATTCCCCCATTGCCTGCCAGATTTGCCATGGAGAATATCTCCCACCGACACCAGTGGCAGGTGACTTTATGTGATGAGGTCCTTAAGTCATTAAAAACTACAGGATGCATACTGATTGAAATGGGATATTTCTTAATGTTTCTTAGCACGCATGTGCCAACTTCAACAGTTGAAGAGTTTGGAAAATGATGTTATCCCCCTGAGCATCTCACTGAATTAACAGAATCACTTCTAAACACATTTATGTAACATACACAAACTCATAACTACCAAACCAGGTGGTAACCTTAGAACAAATGTGATTAAACATTGGCAATGCACAGTTTGCATCTATCTAAATCTGAATGACATCATCAAGTATACATCTCAAATAGATTACTGCAACATACTCTATGTGGGGCTGCCTTTGAAGAGTGCTTGGAAGCTTCAAATAATCCAAAGGGGAGGCAGCCACATTGCTCTCCGGAGAGGCATACAGGGAGCATACAATGCCCCTGTTGCATCAGCTCCATTGGCTGCCAGTCTGCTACTGAGCAGAATTCAAAATTCTGGCTTTAGCCTATAAAGCCCTAAAAGGTTCCAGTCCAACTTACCTGTCCAAGTGCATCTCCCTTTATGAGCCAGCTTTATGCCAGGGAGGTCCTGTTATCGGTCCTGCTATCGGTCCTGCCACCTTCACAGGTGCAATTGGCAGGGATGAGAGACAGGGCCTTCTCAGTGGTGGACCCTCAGCTGTGGAACTCCCTCCCCATCAAGATACGATCCTCCCCCCTCCCTCCTAGCATTTAGGAAACAACTTAAGACCTGGTTATTCAAAAAGTGAGTGACAGGAATATGGAAACATGGAAGTAGGTAAAGAGTGGTTTGAATCCAGGGAGAGTGGGTTGAGCTCCCTCTGTCAGTTCCAGCTCCCCATGTGGGGGCATGAGAGAAGCTTCCCACAAGGAAGGTAAAACATCAAACAACCGGGCATCTGCTGGTCAACATCCTTGTGTCTACCAATTCTACCTTCTGGCCAATTCACTCACACCAGAAGTGATTTGGAGTTTCTCAAGTCACTCCTGACAGGAAAAAAAACCCAAAAACCTCAAGATCAATGCAAGGCATAAATGTTTTATGTTATGCTTGTGATTATTGTTTATAGTGTTATTGTTTTAATGCTTTTGTTCTATTGTTATATGTGGTTGATTTAATATGTGATGTTTTATATGTGTAAGGCATTGAATTTTGCCTTTGATTATGTTGTGAACTGCTTTGAGTCCCCTCAGGGGTGAGGAAAGCAGTATCTAAATGTAATAAATAAATAAAATGAATAAAGTACCTCTTCTACTAAAGCAGCAACTAGTACTCAAACAGTACTTTGAGTTTGTTGGACGAATTTTACTTTGAATTTTGGAAAACAATTGACTGCACCTATACATACCTGAATATCTTGCATGTACCAAGTGATAATGGGGAAAGGATTCCCAGTTACTTCACAGAGCAGGCTTATAGGCTGATTAATGGTCACTGATGCATTTGTCACCTTGTCCTGATCTCTGATTTCAGGTGGAACTGAAATCAAACAAATTGTAAAATTGGTCATGTAAAGCAACATATTTAGATGCTTGGGTTTGTTTTTTTAGTAATCTTTTTCATTATAAATTTTCACACATAATAAGGGAGCTTCTTTTGTTTAAACCAATATTCCTATGAAACTAATTTAATAATGTTTGCTTACCATGAACCTTCAAGTTGTATGCTTTTTCTGTGCTTCCAGCTTCATTTACTGCAATGCAGACATATTCTCCATTGTTGTAAGGTGTGACAGAGGAAATGACGAGCAGCGCTCCATCATCCAAGACTGAAATTCCGGGTTCATTCCCAGTTAGCTCCCTGTTATTGTGCAACCATTTTATAATTGGCTTTGGGGTGCCTACAGGTGTAAGTTCAAAAGCAAAGACAGTATTTAAAGTTTGTAAATTGTAAATTCAAAAGCAAAGGCAATATTTAGAGGTTTTAGCCTCTAAATACTGGATGAATTTTTTATTATTACTGATTCAGGCTCCAGCTAAAATAGTAGCAAACTGTGGCATGTTTAACAACTTGAACAATCTTGCTAGATCCCTTAAGTCTTCTCCTGTTCACAACATGCAATTTTAATACAAAAAAGAAGGGCCACATTCCTAGGAAAATGTGATTCATCAGTAGTATATGTTATAGAACTCCAGTATGCTGATGACAATGTCATCTGTGCGCATTCAGAAGAAGATCTACAAGCCACTCTAAACACCTTTGCAGAAGCATACGAGAAGCTCTGCCTGTCATTGAACATCGAGAAAACCAAGTGCTTTTAATTATGTTGTGAACTGCTTTGAGTCCCCTCAGGGGTGAGAAAAGCAGTATCTAAATGTAATAAATAAATAAAATGTAATGAATAAAGTACCTCTCCTACTAAAGAAGCAACTAGCAAAAACAGACAGTACTTTGAGTTTGTTGGCCGAATTTTACTTTGAATTTTGGAGTCACCAGCCAAACCTTCTCCAATGCCAGAGATACAGCTTAATGGTGTAACATTAGAAAATGTTGACCATTTCCGCTACCTTGGCAGCCACCTCTCCACCAAAGTCAACATCAACCAAAATACAACACCGCCTGAGCTCTGCGAGTGCAGCATTCTTCCGAATGAAGCAGAGAATGTTTGAGGACTGGGACATCCATAGGGATACCAAGGTGCTTGTTTATAAAGCTATTGTCCTCCCAACCCTGCTATATGCCTGCGAAACATGGACTGTCTACAGACGTCACATACAACTCCTGGAACGATTCCATCAGCGCTGCCTCCGGAAAATCCTGCAAATCTCTTGGGAAGACAAGTGGACAAACATCAGCATGCTGGAAGAAGCAAAGACCATTGAAGCAATGGTCCTCTGCCATCAACTCCACTAGACCGGCCACATTGTACAGATGCCCGACCACCGTCTCCCAAAGCAGTTGCTCTACTCCGAACTCAAGAACAGAAAACGGAATGTCAGTGGACAGGAAAAGAGATTTAAAGATGGGCTCAAAACCAACCTTAAAAACTCTGGCATAGACACTGAGAACTGGGAAGCCCTGGCCCTTCAGCGCTCCAGCTGGAGGTCAGCTGTGACCAGCAGTGCTGCAGAATTTGAAGAGGCATGAATGAAGGGTGAAAGAGAGAAACATGCCAAGAAGAAGGCATGTCAAGCCAACCCCGACCGAGACCGCCTTCCACCTGGAAACCAATGCCCTCACTGTGGGAGAAGATGCAGGTCAAGAATAGGGCTCCACAGTCACCTACGGATCCACAAGAATACTGATCCTGGAAGACTATCCTACTCGGCCAACGAGGGATCGCTTAAGTAAGTAAGTAAGCCTGAAGATCAGAATAATTTGGAAGTAATCACAAAAAGGACTTGGCATCATATGCAAAACTGAAGGTAAATTTGGTCAATACACTTAAGTCATTTCTATGGGTTGGTTTGCACATACTCAAGTGAAGATTCATATAGCAGTAATTCACTACAATACACTTAGAGGATCTGCATTGGGAGAACCTGGAAGGTTGAGCTTCTCATTTCTAAAGACAGTGTCCTCCAAAAGCCATTATCCTCTCTGTACGTCTAATCAGTTTCCCATGACAAACTGGGTATTAACAGGCCTACCTACTCTTTTTCTAAGATCTTGCAAAAAATGGCATTTTCTTAGCAGAGACAAAAAAAAATGCAGAGAAAGAAGCTATCACAGGTTTTCTTTCTTTTCTAGTCACTACACTACAAAACTGGGAAACGAAGACTTCACTGAACCTAGTTCTTGAAAAGCAATGTATAGAACTATACTAATTTTCTCCTACAATTTCAAATTTCATAAGGTGTTTCTCATCCAATATTGATTTATCACGACACCGGCTAAGAAGATATCAGTGTAGTGCTTCCAGAAGATGGAATTAACAGTACAAAATAATTTCCATACCTTTGACTGGACAAGGGAAAGCAATTTTCTGGCTTGTTACTCTTTCTTGTAAGGGAATGTTATATGGTGGGTCGAGTATACCAACAGAAGGAGGTTCTAAAATAAAAGAAAGGAAGGAAATGAGTCCTTTATAAACTCACTGTTCGAATGTCTATCTTCTACAACTTTTACTACTTCTGAAAACATCTTTTTAAAAATACACTTGTGAAATATAAAGGAGATTGATTATATATATTTTAGTTATATGTATGTTTTAAAAGCATATGTTGTGTTAGAATTAATCTAGGGAGCTCTCTTGAGGAAAATAAACATTCCCTCGATGCAAAACATAAAAACAGATGTAATTCGGTCGAGGTCAGTTATGGGCCCCTGTGACGTATCTGGACGTGGGTAGAAATACAAATAAACTTTATCAAGCTCAGCCCTGCAAACACTGGTGTGAAAGCATCAGTTACCTGGCATATGAAGCATACCTTCCACCAGATGGCTCCGTAAAAAGCAACACTGCCATCTGCAGGGCTATGTCACCTCCTGGATACCCACAAACTTAGCCAAGTGTGATACAGAGGAGATCATTAAAGCTCTTACTACTTTTTTACTTACTTAGAATCATAGAATCATAGAATCAAAGAGTTGGAAGAGACCTCATGGGCCATCCAGTCCAACCACCTGCCAAGAAGCAGGAATGTTGCTTTCAAATCACCCCTGACAGATGGCCATCCAGCCTCTGTTTAAAAGCTTCCAAATAAGGAGCCTCCACCACACTCCGGGGCAGAGAGTTCCACTGCTGAACGGCTCTCACAGTCAGGAAGTTCTTCCTCGTGTTCAGATGGAATCTCCTCTCTTGTAGTTTGAAGCCATTGTTCCACGTCCTAGTCTCCAAGGAAGCAGAAAACAAGCTTGCTCCCTCCTCCCTGTGGCTTCCTCTCACATATTTATACATGGCTATCATATCTCCTCTCAGCCTTCTCTTCTTCAGGCTAAACTTATAGTGACAAATGGAAGTATGCAACACCCCCATTATTTAGCTATTGACTGAATATGCTCTTTATCACCACAATAAAGAAAATTGTGCTATCAAATAAAAAAAGCTTGAACAAGATACACAAGTGATGAATTCACTTGAAGTTGATACAAATGCCTCCTATGCTGACATGTTTATCTATTTGTTTTAACACAGACTATCTCTCTGCATTCCAATTGTCATTTATACAGCACTCTCTGGATTGCAAGCAAACATTGAATGTTGATATTTTGGGTGCTGAAAGGGGCCAATTTTTCAAAGTCTTTCTTCAAATGTGCAGTGTGAGTTACCGCTTTATTTTTCTTTATAACTAGCTTGAGAACCCAATGGTGCCCAGTTTATTTGACAAAGCATTGTTTGTTTTACAAAGTTTGGTAATATCAGTTTGGTAATGTGTAACACTTATTACAAAAAAACCAGTCTGCTCCCATTAGAAAATGCATTAGAATGTGGGTGAACTAACATCCCCAGAATGGTGGGTCAATCCTTCCCAAACCATGCCATTATTCAAAGTTGGCCATGTTGGGTCTGTGTGCCAAGTTTGGTCCAGATTGGACATCTGCTGGGTTCAGTGATATCTAGATAAGGATGAACTATAACTCCCAGATTCCCAGGGCAATCACCCCCAAACCCAGCCAGCATTCACAGCTGGCCATGTTGGTACAGTGACCCAAGTTTGGTCCAGATCCATCATCGGCTGAGTTCAGTGTTCTCTAGATAAGACAACTCCCAGATTCCCAAGGCAATTGCCCCTGAACCCTGCCAGTATGCACAGTTGCCCATGTTGGGTCTGTGTGCCAAATTTGGTGCAGATCCATCAAGTTTAGTTCAGATCCATCGTCGGCTGGGTTCAGCGCTCTCTGGATAAGAGTAAACTACAACTCTCAGATTCCCCAGGCAATCACCTCCAAACCCTGCCAGTATGGACAGTTGCCCATGTTGGTTCTGTATGCCAAGTTTGGTCCAGATTTATTGTTAGCTAAGTTCAGTGCTCTCTGGATAATGTGGCTTGTTGTGGAAACAAGGATTATTAAGAAAGCTTCAGCAGACACACCTTTTCCTCATGATAACTCTTTCAGGAGTGAATTTCTCTTCTGAGGCTTAGATTTTTCTCACTTCCTATTGTTTTACCTCCATTCTTAACCATGAGTCATTTGTAAGTCATATAATTTGGTGACTGCCTGAACAATTCAAATTTTTGCATGCTTATGTGTTCACTGGTTAACAACATGTCTACCATTACTTTTCCTGCCTATTCAGCAATTGGTTATTTAATCAAAACATAAGATCATAGATATTCACAGTTTCTGCTGGGAAACTGATCTTGGTACCATCTACAACTACAACTCCCAGATTCCCAGGGCAACTACCCCCAAACCCAGTCAGTATTCACAGTTGGCCATGTTGATTCTGTGTGCGAAGTTTGGTCCAGATCTATTGTCAGCTGGGTTCAGTGCTCTCTGGATAAAGGTGAACTACAACTCCCAGATTACCCGGGCAATCACCCCCAAACCCTGCCAGTATTCACAATTGGTGATGTTGGGTATGTCTGCTAGGTTTGGTCCAGATCCGTCGTTGGCTGTGTTCTGTGCTCTCTGTTGGTGAACTACAACTCTCTGAAATCACAGTCAGTTTTGCCCAGTGGGGATTCTCTGTGCCAAGTTTAGTCTATTGTCAGCGGAGGTCAGTTTCCTGAATGAAGGTGAACTGTAACTCCTGTAAATCAAGGTCAATGTCCCCCAAAATTCTATCTACAGTATGTTCTGTTGGTCATGAGGAGTCTCTGTGTCAAGTTTAATCCAGGTCTGCCATTCGTGTGGGTCTCAGTAGTCTTTTGAAGTTGGAGTTGAATTGGGTGAAAGTATTGCAAATCCCATCATCTTTGGTCCATCCTCCCCTATCAACTCCAAAACATGAAGTAGGGCATGGGTCATCTGTGTGTCAAATATGGTCCAGGCCTGTAGTTCATGAGGGTCACAGTAGTGTGTGGGAACTGAATCGGGTGAAGGTAGGACAAATCCCATCATCCATAGTCTGTGCCAGGACACAAAGTGGGTCATGGGAGGTCTGTGTGCCAAGTTTGGTCTTGTTCTGTCATTGTTGGAGGCTACAATGGACTGTGCAAACCAAAGCATTTGAAAGTACTACAAATCCCATCATACATTGTCCATCCTCCCCCAAACCTCACCAGGATGTAAAGGGGGTCATAGGGGTTATGTGTGCCAAGTTTGGTCCAGGTCTGTCACCCGTGCTGGTTCCAGTGGTCTGTGAAAGTGGCAACCAATCAGAAAGCTGCCACATGCACACATACATACAAACATTCACTTTTATTATATCTTATCTTCTATATATAAAAATGCTCTGTGTATCATGAGTACTTAAAAATAAAAGAACCCATGAACAAAATCACACCAAATTTGGCAACAAAACATCTCACAACACAAGGAGTGACCATCACTCAAAAAAATATGATTTTGTCATTTGGGAGTTGTAGTTGCTTGGATTTAATAGTTCACCTATAATCAAAGAGCATTCTGAACTCCACCAACGATGGAATTGAATCAAACTTGGCACACAGGACTCCCCTGATCAACAGAATACACTAGAAGGGTTGGTGGGCATTGACCTTGAGTTTTGGAGTTGTAGTTCACCTACATCTAGAGAGCACTGTGGACTCAAATAATGATGGATCTGGACCAAACTTGGCACGGATACTCAATATGCCCAAATATATACACAGATGGCCTTTTTCGGGAAATAGACCTTGACATTTGGGAGCTGTAGTTACTCGGATTTATAGTTCCCCTACAATCAAGGAGCATTCTGAACCCCACCAATGACAGAATTGGGGCAAACTTCCCACACAGAAACCCTCACGACCAACAGAAAATAAGGAGATCTATATTAGTGAATTATAAAAGAAACTCAAAGGAAATATCAGTAAGAAACCAGAGATAAAAAAATAACAATTATCAGATTATTATTAAGTGAGAAGATTTTCAACTTGGGGAGACCTGGAAGTTTGCTCTTACTTTTTATTTCCTTTTTTTCTTTTTTTTTCTCTTTCTCTCTTTCTATTTCCTTTCTGACTTTCCTTAATGGATTGTTCCCACTCTTCTTATGTAAAACAATGGAAAAATAAGTGTTACAGTTTTTCTTTTTAAGCTCCTTCTCCTGAGGAGCAAGCTGTATTCTCAATATATATATATATATATATATATATATATATGTGTGTGCATGTGTATATTAGGCCTGTTTGATCAAGAAAAAATTTGTTTCTAAAATCGTTTTGTAATTGGGGTGTTTTTTTGTTTCGATATTTAAAATAATTACAAAACTTTCCCAAAAAAAGTTTTGGTATTTACAAAATTTTGTAAATATTAACGAATTTTTAGAATATTTTTTTTATTTTTTAAGAATAATATTAAAAAATAATATTAAAAAATAATATTAAAAATAATATTAAAAAATAATATTAAAAAATATTTTAAAATGGAAAACGAAACCGCACAGGCCTACTATACAGACATAGCGGGTTTGAGTCAGACCCAGCTAACACCTCCCAACAAAGGATTCCCCTGAGCAGGAAGGAGCCAGACTTTGAAGCTACAAGGCCATTTAATCCCAATCAAGCTGTCCAATGGCAACATTCACACTTGCCTCCAACAGACAAGAGTTCTTTCTCCCACCCTGGACCTTCTACAGCCAGGCTTTGAAGCTGCGAGGCCATTCAATGCTAATCAAGGTGGCCAATGGCAGCATTCACAATTGCCTCCAACAGACAAGGGTTCTTTCTCCCACCCTGGACCTTCTACAGCCAGGCTTTGAAGCTGCGAGGCCATTCAATGCTAATCAAGGTGGCCAATGGCAGCATTCACAATTGCCTCCAACAGACAAGGGTTCTTTCTCCCACCCTGGACGTTATTTCACAGGGATATAAACCCTACTTGCCTAGTTTCCAACAAACCTCTGAGGATGCCTGCTATAAGATATGAGAGAAACGTCAGGAGAGAATGCTCCTGAATCCTCCTCCACATGCGGCTGCATAGTGAGTGAAGTACTGTATAATAGCGCTGCATCAGGGGCGGCTGAAGCAACTTACGTGCCAAATCCCTGGCTGTGGGCTGCTTGGCTTGCTTGCTCGCTTCTCCAAGCGGGCGAAAGGAGAGGGAGAGAGAAAAACAGTGTGCTGCTGCCTGTCTCTTTAAGGAAGGAGCACATGGAGCCCTCGGCTGCCGGTTTGGCGGAGGGAGGGAGGCAGGCGCGCGCTTGGTTGCAACCAAGCGCGCGCCTGCCTCCCTCCCTCCGCCAAACCGGCAGCCGAGGGCTCCATGTGTGCTCCTTCCTTAAAGAGACAGGCAGCAGCACACTGTTTTTCTCTCTCCCTCTCCTTTCGCCCGCTTGGAGAAGCGAGCAAGCAAGGCAAGCAGCCCACAGCCAGGGATTTGGCACGTAAGTTGCTTCAGCCGCCCCTGATGCAGCGCTATTATAATACAGTACTTCACTCACTATGCAGCCGCATGTGGAGGAGGAGGAGTGTTGGAAAACGGGGAGAGGGGAAAGAGGGCGGGGAGAGCAGCCCAGGCCGAGAAAGAGGGGAATGGCACCAGCACTCCAGCAGCCTCCATCCCATTAACGAAACGAGCGGAAGCTCGTTAAATTTATGGGGGCTGCCGGTTCGATATTTTTAAACCCTTCCGGGTTTGAAAATGTGTTTTGATATCACTTCAAAAATGCAAAAATAACGAATTAATAACGAAATAACGAAATAACGAACTAAATTGCACAGGCCTAAAATATATATATATATATATAAAGAAAATACTGTCTTTTTTGTGGTCTTTTGTGACCCTTCTGACCCCCCTGGTGACCCCCGCCCCCCAGGGTCTTGACTTCCCAGGTTTAGAAATGCCGCCTTAAGGCCTTTCAGTCCAACTCCCTTCACCAGGGCAAGAAAAGATAATCAAAGCCTTCCTGACAAAGGGCCATCCAGCCATTCACACACACACATTTGTATATGACAGGTGCAGTATCAAAGATTGGAAAGGGACCTCTAAAGAAGGACAATGATATGTGGCATGTTCCAGAGTAGGCAAACCAGACAATCTCCACATCAACACTGGCAAAGAAACAGAAAGAAATAACTGTTTACCCACAAGCATAAAGACATTACATATATTAGAAACCAACACTTTCTCATTACTTTATTTTCCAGATCACCAGACTGGGCCACAGCAACGTGTGGCAGGGGACCGCTAGTAGGTAGATAGATAGATAGATAGATAGATAGATAGATAGATAGATAGAGATATGTATATAGATATATAGATTTATGAAATTTTTAATGGAAAGAAGTCACAATTACTGAAATGCCTCTTTACTGTAAATGAAACTAAAATTTCCTTATTTTAAAAAATGGGCTGATCCTTCTCACTGCTCATTCATAATTACCTTGAACATGGATCAATATTTCTGCCTCATCGTGGCCTGCAATGTTACTTGCTCTGCATGTATAGGTCCCAGAGTCTGAAAGCAGGACTTTAATGAGGCTCAATGTTCCATCTGTAGCAACAGCATATTGTTTGTTGTCTATTAAAAGAGGATCCTCATCTTTTAACCAAGTGATCATCGGAGGCGGAATCCCTTCAACATTGCAAGGAAGATCAACTCTGTGGCCAACTTTGACTTTCATTACGCGAGGCCCACGTTGTATCTTTGGAGGAACTAAGCAAAGTGTTTTCATTAATGCTCAAATGCTGGAAGACGTTAGCAATCAATTCAGTAATATGTGACTAACCTAGATCCTGTAATATTTTAAGATTGCTACTTTCCTAATGTATTAAAAATAAATAGGTCATCTTATCGATACTATTATCTGTGCATTATTTGAATTACAAAAGCTTGTATAACTATTAGGGCTGGGCGGTTTCGTTAATTTCATAATTTGTTATTAATTCGTTATTTTTTTTATAACGAAGCGATATTGAACCATTCAGGAGCAACTAAAAAACGAAACGAATTTTTTCAATTCATTTTGTAATTGTTTCGTAATTGTTTCGAAATTGATTCGTAATTGATTCGTAATTGATTCAAAATCGTTTCGTTATTATTTCCCCATGTCTGGTGCAAGTTTTAGGGTTGTGTTTGTTTTCTCAGTGAAAAAAAAATAAATTGTCACACCAACAGTCAACAACAGAGGGAGAGGGAAGCTTCCTGTCCCATTTGAAGGTTTTTTTAGCGTATTGCGCGATCGCGCCCGCCATTAACGAATTGATTCGTAATTGTTTTGAAATTGATTCGTAATTGATTCGTAATTTACAAAATTTCGTAAATAACGAAAAAATTTTAAGGAACATTTCGGAATTCTTTTAAAAATCGAAACGCAAAAACCCCCTAAAAACGAATTGAGTTTAGAAACAAATTTTTCCGTGGTTGCCCAGCCCTAATAACTATATATTGAGGGAAGATGGCAGGACTATCTACCAATGAACTATGTTAACTTATGTGAAAGCTGCCATCTAAGAACAATAACAATTGAATTCAATTTGATTACTTCTGCACAAAGCCACAGTGAGTATCAAAATATTACCTTACAATAAATAAGACATTTTCATAGTTTATAAACACATTATATTCCTATGCAATATAAGAAAAATGTAAAAAAAAAACAACACCCAGACATATTGGTCTTTAACTTTAACCTAAGATTTAAACACCAGAAATGAGAAAACTGTTTCTTTAGCTGATTTAAAAAACATACTTGTCTTGATCTCTTTTTCCTACAAAAACATTTTTCCCCACCCAACAAAAATTACTGGAAAGCAAAGTATCACATTTGTTAGATCTTCAACAAACCTGTTGGAAGAGAAGGACAAATTATTTCATATTAGGGGCCCATCCAGACAAGACCCATAATGTGGGAGCTCTGAATTAACCAAATTATTCGAGACAAAGCAGGAAACCCTGTATTGTTGAGGGCTTTCATGGCTGGAATCACTGGGTTGTTGTAGATTTTTCAGGCTGTATGGCCAAGTTCTAAAAGCATACTCTCCTTAGTGCAGTCATCGCTAATAGTCAACATGGATTTATCAAAAACAAGTCATGCCAGACTAATCTGATCTCTTTCTTCGATAGAGCTACAAGCTGGGTAGATGAGGGGAATGCCGTGGATGTAGCGTACCTGGATTTCAGTAAGGCCTTCGACAAGGTCCCCCATGACCTTCTGGCAAGGAAACTAGTCCAATGTGGGCTAGGCAAAACTACGGTGAGGTGGATCTGTAATTGGTTAAGTGAACGAACCCAGAAGGTGCTCACTAATGCTTCCTCTTCATCTTGGAAAGAAGTGACAAGTGGAGTGCCGCAGGGTTCCGTCCTGGGCCCGGTCCTGTTCAACATCTTTATTAATGACTTAGATGAAGGGCTAGAAGGCATGATCATCAAGTTTGCAGATGACACCAAATTGGGAGGGATAGCCAATACTCCAGAGGACAGGAGCAGAATTCAAAACGATCTTGACAGATTAGAGAGATGGGCCAAAACTAACAAAATGAAGTTCAACAGTGACAAATGCAAGATACTCCACTTTGGCAGAAAAAATGAAATGCAAAGATACAGAATGGGTGACGCCTGGCTCGAGAGCAGCACGTGTGAAAAAGATCTTGGAGTCCTCGTGGACAACAAGTTAAACATGAGCCAACAATGTGATGTGGCGGCAAAAAAAGCCAATGGGATTTTGGCCTGCATCAATAGGAGCATAGTGTCTAGATCTAAGGAAGTAATGCTACCCCTCTGCTTTGGTTAGACCACATCTGGAATATTGTGTCCAATTCTGAGCACCACAATTCAAGAGAGATATTGACAAGCTGGAATGTGTCCAGAGGAGGGCGACTAAAATGATCAAGGGTCTGGAGAACAAGCCCTATGAGGAGCGGCTTAAGGAGCTGGGCATGTTTAGCCTGAAGAAGAGAAGGCTGAGAGGAGATATGATAGCCATGTATAAATATGTGAGAGGAAGCCACAGGGAGGAGGGAGCACGCTTGTTTTCTGCTTCCTTGGAGACTAGGACGCGGAACAATGGCTTCAAACTACAAGAGAGGAGATTCCATCTGAACATTAGGAAGAACTTCCTGACCGTGAGAGCCGTTCAGCAGTGGAACTCTCTGCCCCGGAGTGTGGTGGAGGCTCCTTCTTTGGAAGCTTTTAAGCAGAGGCTGGATGGCCATTTGTAAGGGGTGATTTGAATGCAATATTCCTGCTTCTTGGCAGGGGGTTGGACTGGATGGCCCATGAGGTCTCTTCCAACTCTTTGATTCTATGATTCTATGAACGAATGACAGGCATCCTCAGAGGTTGTGAGGATGCCCTCTGAGGATGCCTACCATAGATGCAGGTGAAATGTCAGGAGAGAATGCTTCTAGAAAATGGCCATAAAGCCTGAAAAACCAACTACAATCTAGGAAAACCATACTTTGTCCCAAATTAATTTGATACTCCATTAGACTGGGGTCTTCCTGAAAGACCCGAGTCTAATGAAGTATGGGTTTCTTAAATCCGCTTCAGTGTACATTTAAGTGCTGTCTGTAAGTGGCCAAGGACTTCCAGTTAATAACTTCAGAGTAAGCACTTTAAAACATTTGTACCTTTGATACAATGCAGTCCAATTAGAGAAAGAAATATAAATGTTCTATAACGAGTAACAATAGCTACAAGTTATTAACTGACCTGTGCATTATATACAGAACATAGGATATTTATTTTGCAATATAGGTAAAGGTAAAGGTTGTCCCCTGACATTAAGTCCACTCATGTCTGACTCTGGAGTGTGGTGCTCATCTCCATTGCTAAGCCGAAGAGCCGGCGTTGTCCATAGACACCCCCAAGGTCATGTGGCCGGCATGACTGCATGGAGTGCCACTATATTTTGCAATATAACATACAATATTATTTCTCCATCTAGCAGGGGTCTATTCTAACTACCAAGAGTTCTGCAGAGCCTCAGTCAGACATATTTATTTATTTATTTATTTATTTATTTATTTATTTATTTATTTATTATTTAAACTTGTATGCCTCCACTCCCCTGGGGCTCGGAGTGGCTTACAAGAATAGCTAAAATCTAACAAAATTTAAAAGCAATTTAAAAACAACAACACTTTATTTAAGGCCCCTTCTACCCTGCCATATAATCCAGATTATCAAATCAGATAATCCATATTATCTGCTTTGAACTTAATTATATGAGTCTACACTGCCATATAATCAAGTTCAAATCATATAATCTGGATTTTATATGGCTGTGTTGAAGAGGTCTTAGGCCGAATCCAGACAGGTCTTTATCCCAGAAGCATCCACGTTAAAAAAATGCAGATGTTTCTGGGGGCCTGTCCACACCCACCTCAGAAAGTGCACACTTTCTGGGGTGGGTGTCCAGACATGATTACTTCTGCACAGTGAGGGTCAAAATATTACCTTACAATAAATAAGACAATTGAATAGTGTATAAACACATTATATTCCTATGCAATATACTAAGATGTGATAATAAAATGCCAGAACATAAACTTTACTAAATTTTGTTACACATAGGCATAAAGTGAAATTTTGTATATACAAGATAAATAGCAATATGCAATGTAAGAGACTGAATATGGAGTTGCAAGAGATTAGACAGAGCTATGTTTTTGTAATATATTATCGTTGGGAGAAGGATTGAAAGGAGTATGGGTCTGTTTAGAAAGAAGGGGAAAACTTGTAATGGTGACATTGCATCACTGTTAAATGTCTTGTAAGAAATAAGAAAAGTATAAGAAAAATAACCCCCCTCCTCCCAAGCCCCCAGACCGCTTAGAAAAGTAATAAAAACTTACGTGGCCTCTATTAGAATCCTCGGCCAACTCCCCTGGCATGTAGAAATGATGTGCCAGGAGAGCTGGGGTGGGGGAGCAATCCCCCCCCCCGCTCGCCTGGCACATCATTTCTATGCTCCAGGAGAGCCAGCCGAGGCTTCTAATGGAGGCCACATAAGTTTATATTACTTTTCTAAGGGGTCTGGGGGCTTGAGGGGATGGGTGGTGGGCATTCCCACAGTTTACCAGGCTTATTTAGCCTGATAAACTGTGGGAATACTGTCTGGACTGCAGTATTCTGCAGTCCAGACCCAGAAATATTGGAAATTGGAAATATTGGATTTATCCCACGCCTTCCAAGAAGGCATGGAATAAATCTACTATCAAATCAAATTAATTCGGGACTGTCCAGAACGTTGTCTGGACAGCCCCTTCTTTATTGTGGGCCCTGCGTCACCTACCAGATCTTTTTTTCAGCTGGGAATTCCAGGTATGCCATCCTTTCCTAAGAAATGCATACCAAAGGTACAAATCTTTTTCTAAAAGTTTTGAAAGATTATTGATCTATATTGATAATATTACTTTACAATAACTAACCTTCTAAAGAAAATAGGTACACATTTTTTAAGTACAGACTGATGTTTTTGCTTTTATCTTAGATTTGGCTAGATTCGCTTAAAAACCCTTACTCCTCATGGAGTTGCACCTGGCTGTCTTCATGATGTTAGGGAATACTCTGGAGTTTGGCCAAACCTCCAGAGCAATTACAGAGGAAAAATGTTGCCATTGGCCCCTTCCACACTGCCTAGTTTATCTTCTTATTCCAGATTATCTGGCAATGGAGACTAATATAAACCAGTTTAAAGCAGATAATCTGGGATGAGATCCTGGGATATAGGGCAGTGTAGAAGGAATCATTACTATGACTATAAAGTTTTGTGAGGTCCTGATCACCACATGATCAGGGAAAAAGACGGGTGAACTGGGCACAGTTATTATGGTATGATATAGGGCTGGGCGGCTTCGTTCGTTAATTTCATAATTCGTTATTAATTCGTATTTAAATTAGCTTACGATCCGATATCGAGCCATGCAGGAGCAATTAAAAATTGAAACAAATTTTTCAATTTATTTCGAAATTGTTTCGTAATTGTTTCGTAATTGTTTCGTAATTGTTTCGAAATTGTTTCGAAATTGTTTCGTAATTGTTTCGAAATTGTTTCGAAATTGTTTCCATATGTCTGGTGCAAGTTTTAGGGTTGTTGTTTGTTTTATCAGTGATAAAAAAATAAATTATCACACCAACAGTCAACAACAGAGGGAGAGGGAAGCTTCAGAAGTTCCCCCTGTCCCATTTGGAGGGTTTTTTTTGCATATTGCGCAATCGCGTCCGCCATTAACAAATCGATTCGTAATTGTTTCATAATTGTTTCGTAATTTACGAAATTTCGTATATTTCGAACTTTTTAAAAGAAAAATTTTGGAATTCTTTTAAAAAACAAAACGCAAAAACCCCCTAAAAACAAATCGAGTTTAGAAACATTTTTTTCTGTGGTTACCCAGCCCTAATATGATATATTAAATGAATGTAAACAGTAGCACGTTGTTGAGTTGGGAACAAAAATAAAGTAAAGGGGGGATGTAAAATTGCAGTAATTAGGAACAGGAAAAGCTATCTCTAACATTTTTGTTGCATTTCTCAGAACTCCACCGGCATTATCATCTTTTCTCATATTTTTTCCTTCTGCTTGCATATGCTTTTGCCTAAACTGTATTTCTTGAATGTCTGTATCTTCTACCCATTGCTCCTCTAGACTTAAGGATGTTTTTGTGCTTTTCTCAAATATACTTATTTTTAATTGTGCACATTTTTCAATGTTGTTCACCTAAATGAGCAAAATGGATTGTTCTTGCAGAGAAATGAGAACTCAATGATTTTATTTTATCCATCCCTAGTTCTAGTACTGTAGATTGGATTTTGGCAGATGAGGCACAAATGCTGACACACACTGATATAAACGGCAAGGGGATTTTTTTAAAAAGCAAATAAAGAAACAAGTGTATCATTGTGTACACATTTAGGGCTTAGTATTACATCAACCCCTCCCCAAACATACTAAAATACTTTAGGAGAAAAATATTGTTTGTCCAGACTCTCAATAGCTGTTGAATAGATAGTTTGGCTCTCTAGCCCATTTCATTTTGGTGCCAGTGACCTCAGGAACTCTGCTGCATATATGTAATGCACTCTACCCATTCAGGAAGGGCTCTTACTGCAGTTTAAACCACTTACCATGTACATTTAGTTTCACTGACTGGGTTGCATTCCCAGCTATGTTTGTAGCCACACAGATATACACGCCACTGTCTGAAACTCGTGTCTCAAGGATTTTCAATGAACCTGAGGGGAGGAAGGTGTGTCTGGAAAAATAGGACACAGATACGACTGTATAAATATTTAGCACAAGAAGAATAAGCATTACTTAGACATTAGTAATGAACACAACTCATTAAAAAGCATCTGTTTGGTATTACTTTTGCTCAGACAGGGCTGGGTTTTACTCAGCTGTGTTTGCAGCCTGTCTGACTTCTTCGTCCCACCTAGTTCAAGAATGAAATGAGATTAAAACTGAGTAAGTAATCTGCTTTAATAAGCCATGTTTTGGGTCCTGTCTACATCGTAGTTGAGGGAGATTCCTGTGTTGCACTGATGTTTGTGGAAATTCCTCCTCACAAAGAAATACAGATGTCCACACACAGATTAAGAAGTGAGGTGACTAAAAATCACAGATGCCAAGCAGAAAAGGAACTGGTAAATACATTTCAAAATCTGAACAGAAGTGGTAGGAAACGCTCTGTTTTTAGATAGGTTGTTAATGATTGGCACATATTCAATATATTAGAAAATGCAGATCTTTTAAAATCACAAATTAGAACTTTATTGCAAGAGAAAGGAAAACTAGCACGGAGCAACACCATGTGCATCTCCCCATAATTTCACCAACCTGAGTTTGGTAAAACTGTCAGTAGCTCCCAATGTATTGTCAACAGATTTCATGGCCAGAATCACTGGGATGTTGTGTGGTTTCCAGTCTATATGGCCGTGTGCTAGCAGCATTTTCTCCTGACATCTCACCTGCATCTTTAGAGGATGCCTGCCATGTCAACACAGCCATACAGCCTGGAAACTACACAGCCCCCAATAGCTCCCAATCTTTCAGCATTCCCATCACCTACCTTGTGTGATGGTCCCTTCTCCTATTGTGCCCCCCCTCCTCTCTCCCCTCACTATTCCCAAGCTGTCTGTTTTCCTATTTATTGTAGATTTTATAGTTATAGTTGCCTCTTTTTTGTTGTCCAAAGCTGACATTGCAAAATTGATCAAAATTTATAATAAAAAAATTGGGAGCAGTTGTAGTGTGGGAAGTTGGTATTATGGAGTATGCAGACGCACAATCACAGGATCACAAATTGATAAATCAGCATAATTGTATGGTGCAATAAGGCTACAATATTGAAGGTGCTCAATTCAGTATGTATCTGCTACCAGCGATAACATGACTGTAGTGGAATTGTTGTAGTAGAGCCTGTAAGTAATGCTGCAAGCAGTAGTATGAGTGCCTGAAGGGGGAAAAGGCCTACTCGTGAGCAGGAGTCAGATGAAGAACAACAAAGGAAAAGGATCCAGGATATAATTATGGCACCTACTGACGAAGACTAATTCGAAGGGTTTTCTGGAGATGAAGGGTCAATGAGTGAGGGAGAGGAAGGAGATACAGTGGATGGGAACAGAGGAACAAAGAGGGGTACTGGGGAGCAGGAATTGGATGAAGAGCGTGAGAGGAAGATGATCCAGGATATACTTACTGCCCCCACAGATGATGAACCGTTCATGGGTTTCTCTGGGACTGATGGGTCTGGGAGTGATGAGGATGGGGATGACACATTGGATTGGACTAAGGTTAAAGAGGTACAAAATGTATGTGCGGAGCCAACGTCTAGTAGCACATTTATGGGTTTCTCTGGTAATGAGAATTGGCAAACAGGAGATACATCTGAGTCTTTTGGGGACCTTAAGTCTTGACAGAAGATAGAGGAATTGGAGGGATGGAAACAGGAGTTCACGTGTGGAGACAAGAACAGCAGTAAGAGATAATGATGGGGCGGAGGTCAGCTCATCGTCTGATGATGATGTCTAAGATAAAAGTAGGCTCTGAAATGGGGAATCTTTGCAGAAGACAAAGTGTTGGTTACATTCATGTATCGTGTGGATTTGTTGCTGCCTGTTTTCGTGTTGGGCTTTTGGTCCAGGTTGTGCAGCCTGGAGTTCCTGTTCCTGTGCGTGTTCGACTTGGACTGACTTCTCATGAGTGTGGTTTTCTCCCTTCCTGGATCTCAGACTGGCTTGACGACGATGCTGCTTGTGGGACTTGGAAACAACGCTTATTTGGACTTCTCCTACGACGACTTCTGGACTTCGGCTGGCTTCGGTTTCTCTTATGGCGGTTTCTCCTTGCTGTTAACTGAGTGCAACGCTGTTTGTTTGCCACTAAGTACTGCATTTAATCCAGTTCTTTTCTCTAGTTAATCCGGATTATATTTCCGTTTGCTTTTCAAGCCAAATTTGGCTAGTTTCTTGAGTTTTAGCCAGAGGCACTGGAGTTAAATGTCTCTGAGCTTCTGTTTCCTGTTGCAATAAACTTTACTTTGGAACTTATACTGTGTGTGGCCCTTTAAGGTGTCTGTGTCTTGACAGGAATAGTGATTTCATGCGATAAAGTCCTTTGGGCCCTTTCACACAGCCCTATATCCCAGAATATCAAGGCAGAAAACCCCACATTATCTGAGTGTGTACTCAGGTAACCCAGTTCAAAGCAGATATTGTGGGATATTCTGCCTTGATATTCTGGGATATAGGGCTGTGTGGAAGGGCTGTGTGCAAAGAAGCCAAACCAAAGACAGACAACTTGGCCAGAAGCATTGCTGGCTGAGCTCCTGAAAAGACAAAAATTAGAAAGCCTGGCTAAGATAAAGTTAAATCTCTCTCCATTGCATATGTCTGAGCTGTATAATCTGAGTCAGGTGAGGAACAACTTGAGCAAAGGAGTCAAAGAGTGAAGCCAAGGTAAACAGAAGATAGGCTCAGTTGAGGCAGGAACAACAGCTGGAAAGGAGGAACGTAGGGAGACAACAATGGAGCATGAAGCAAGACCAAGGCCCCATCTGCACTGACCAGTTTCAAACTGGGATTGAATAACATGGTTTTGCTGTGCATATGATGGTATAGGAAATCCTGGAACTTGAGGTCCAGATGGTGATTACGCAAACCACAGAGCACTGATGCACATTAAGGAGGTTCTTTAACATGGTCGGTAGAGATGAGGCTCAAGAGTCAAACTACATAATGAAACAGTCTCACATGATTTTTAGCTATACAACATAAGGCTGTAAGCTCAAACTGAAAATCCTTCCTGTCATTTGAAAATCCCTGTAGTATATTGCCAGAGCAGGACAGTCTGTTCTTGGAATACAGGTTGAGCGATTTTAAATTTAATGGAGGAGGGTGCATCGGACCTATACTGTATTTTGCGATTTCTAAGCTTGATGTTAATATGAAATGAGTAGAAAATTTGGGGGAAATGATTCCTCAATTCCATCCACCCCTAACTCCCATGTCCGCTTCAAATAGTAGTTCCCAGAAGTCCAGTATGTTTTACAGTATTAGGCTACAGGCCCAGAAACACTAACAAGTCACAGTAATGACATTCACTCTGGCCTTGTGCTGTTGCTAAGCCTCAGAGCAAGCAGTGTTTTATCTACCCTTTTAAAAACAACAACAATTATTTCAAATGAGAGCTATAACGTGACATAATGTAATATTTTAATAACTATCAGTGGATTATTTGGCTTTGGATCTCCATTTTCTGTGGTTACTACAATGAATACAAATAACATTACCCAGATACACTAATAAGAAGATAATTCAATGGGGTCGATTTATAATCCAGAATGGCACATCTGTGCTATGTGACTGCACTGAACATGTGCTTTGGCCCTGGTTTGAAAGAAACCCAAAATACCAAACCCAAAATACCAAAGGCTCAAGTTAGTTAAAATGAGGAAAGCAGGTCTTGGAAATGATGCATCTCATGTAACAACAAAACCTGTAACTCATTCTTTTGCGGGTAACACTATGATGTTCCTCTTTCAAAAATAATATAACTGGAAAATTACTTTTTCCATGTAATATTTGGTGATCTTTTTGTCATTTGTTGGTCATTTTGATGAGATTATCTGTGGGAGCTTCATAGTTAGTTACAGAAAGGACTTTTTTTTTCAAAGTGAACTTCGGTTTTCTTAGCAAGTAAACATCACAATGCTTTTTTTAAAAAAAAACTTGTTCTGTGGGAAACTATAACTTTTTGTCTTAGTTTACAAGCCAGCTGCCAGGATACATACCTCTCTGCAAAGAATGGCACTAAATTTTTCTTTAAAAAAGTTCGAAATTTACAAAATTTCAGAAATTACGAAACAATTACGAATCGATTACGAATCAATTCGTTAATGGCGGACGCGATGGCACAATACGCTAAAAAAAAACCTCCAAATGGGACAGGGGGAACTTCTGAAGCTTCCCTCTCCCTCTGTTGTTGACTGTTGGTGTGATAATTATATTTTTTTTCACTGATAAAACAAACAACAACTATAAAACTTGCACCAGACATGCGGAAATAATAACGAAACAATTTCGAAACAATTACGAAACGAATTGAAAAATTCGTTTCGATTTTTAGTTGCTCCTGAATGGTTCAATATCGCTTCGTTATCAAAAAATAACGAATTAATAACGAATTACGAAATTAACGAACGAAACCGCCCAGCCCTACTGAACAGCTCTCACAGTCAGGTTCAGGTGGAATCTCCTTTCATGTAGTTTGAAGCCTCCGTGTCCTAGTCTCCAGGGGAGCAGCAAGCAAGCTTGCTCTTTCCTTCTTGTGACTTCCCCTCACATATTTATACATAGCTATCATGTCTCCTCTCAGTCTTCTTTTCTGCAGGCTAAACATGACCAGCACTTTACGCCATTCCTCATAGGGCTTGTTTTCCATACCTTTGATCATTTTAGTCACCTCCTCTGGACACATTCCAGATTGTAAATATCCATCTTCAATTGTGGTGCCCAGAATTGGACACAATATTCCAGGTGTGGTATAACTAAGGCAAAATAGAGGGGTAGCATAACTCCCCTGGATCTAGATGTTAGACTCGTATTGATGCAGACCAAAATGCCATTGGCTTTTTTAGCTGCCGCGTGACATTGTTAGCTCATGCTTAACTTGTTGTCCACGAGGACTCCAAGATCTTTTTTCACACAGACTGCTCTCGACCCATTCTGCATCTTTGCATTTTATTTTTTCTGCCTAAGTGAAGTATCTTGCATTTGTCACTGTTGAACTTCATTTTGTTAGTTTTGGCCCATCTCTCTAATCTCCTCCTATCTGCTGGGACTTCCCCCGTTTTCCAAGAGCTCTCAAAGATGATTGCCAGAGGTTCTGAAATGACTTCCACTAGTTCCTTCAATATTCTTGGGTGTAGTTGATCTGTCCCTGGGGACTTGAATTCATTTAGAGTGGTCAGGTATTCCTGCTTCTGGGCTTAATGTGGCTGCACATGGGACTTAGCAGTAGTCATGGGCACAGTATTTGTTTCATTTGGGTATTCGTTTCATGCTGTCCATTCAGAAGGCACGAAACAAAAAACACCATTTTAGGGTTAAACGAAATGTGATATGAAAGAGAAAGCTGCACGGTCACCGTTGCTTGCTTTTGTTTTTGGGCTGCATGGCTTTCCAGATGAGTTCTTCCACATGCATCAGAGGAGGAGGAGGAAGTGTTTGGGCCAATTAGGGCCCAAGAATTAGGCCCTAATTGGCCTAATTAAAGTTCCCAATGTGGTAGTGTCCTCTCCTGCTACTGGGCTGGTTTCTCTCTCCGCTTTTGCCTTGCCTTGCCAAGTTGCTGCTGGTGGGGAAAGAAAGATTTGTGTTGCTGCTGGTGGGGAAATATTTGTATTATTTTGGTTTGCCATAGCTTGGTTGCTTGGCATGGTTTTTAAATTCCTTCGGAGCTGCTGGTGGCATTTGCATACCTTGACTTTCTTTGTTGGGGATTTTTTTTTACCGTAGTATGGCTGCTTGGCACCTTTTTAAATTTTTATTTGAAGGAAAGAGGCTGGGATTTTTGAAGGGGGTGAGATGGGTTTGGCTAGGGAGTATGCATGAAGGATGGGGGAAAGAAGGGGATTTCTAGCTTTGCTGTACTTTAATATTTTAAACTCTTTAAACCTTTGTTTAACCCCCCCCCCTTTTTTTTCTTCCTGCCTATTGTGTTTTATTAAAAAATCATTTTTCAAAAGAAATATATATCACTAACTGTACCTTTGCATTTCCTTTGGGGTCCCATGTCTCCCAGAAAATCCCACAATATCTACTTTGATCAGGGGGCCCTTCCACACAGTCCTATATCCCAGAATATCAAGGCAGAAAATCCCACAATATCTGCTTTGAACTGAATTATCTAAATCCACATTCAGATAATGTGAGATTTTCTGCCTTGATATTCAGGGATATAGGGCTGTGAGGAAGGGCCCTACATGCTTCCCATGCAAGAAGATCTTTGGACTGGCCTCAAAGTTCCCCCCCCCCAAATCCCTTTGCCGCCATCGCCTCCTCCTCCTCCTCCTCCTCCTCCTCCTCGGCGCTTTATTTTACTTCCCAGCAAACCTTAGGACCCTTCCAGAAGCCCTATATCCCAGGATCTGATCCCAGGTTTTCTGTTCATCCCAGATTATCTGACTGTGCGGTCAGATAATCCATCTTAAAGCAGAAAGCCTGGGATCGGATCCTGGGATATAGGGCCAGTCTGGAAAGGCCCTTAGTGATATTATTCCATGCTGGAAAGTGGTTAGATGGGGTTAACTGCATAGTAAAATATACTTTAACCCAAGCCATATTTTAGCCCCACTCATTGCTGGAATGCAGTATCTGAGGCCACTTATACACTGCCATATAACCCAGATGATCAAAGCAGACAATCCATATTATCTGCTTTGAACTGGATTATATCAGTCTACATGGCCATACAATCCAGCTCAAAGCAGATTATCTGGATTTTATATGTCACTGTAGAAGAAGTCTAAGGGCCCTTCCAGACAGTCATATAATCCAGATATCAAGGCAGAAAATCCCACAATATCTGCTTAGAACTGGGTTATCTGAGTCCACACTGCAAAATAACCCAGTTCAAAGCGAATAATTTGGGATTTTATACAGCTGCGTGGAAGGGCCATAGATGCTAGAAAGGGTTGCTTATGTCTAGAATTTACTTAATTGGGGAATTTATACATCCTAACAGTTTTTCTGATAGCCTTAACTGATATTGGGAGGACTAATTAAAAAAATCAAACAAAAAGACAAAAGGAAAGGCTGTTACCTTGGAGAGAAGGGAGAAATCAGCTGCACTTCTTTAGCCCAGGTTATCACAGGAGGTGGCAAACTCTTCACCTCACAAGGAAGCATGGCCTCTTCTCCAACTATCACAGATATTTCTAAAGGATTTCCCATTGAACTTCCTTGTTGTTCCTCTGGTCTGGACACTCTTGGTTTCACTAAAATAAGACATATCTATCATCATCAAAGCTTCTTCATTTATCAAAATATAGGTATATACCAAAATATTTCATTTCATATTTTTGGGTTCTATCCCATGTTATTTCCAGAGAGTGTTGAGGTATCCTTGAGGTATCCATTGGATGGCATGTATATGGTTCCATACAGGATGTAACAACTATTTTTCACTGTCTGTAACGCAGCAAACATTGTAGCCAAATCCTACCCATGCTTCTTGGAATCTATTTCCTGCTGGGTTCAATTGAATTTATTCTCGAGTAAGAGTGTAATTCTCTGGGAGTAAGTCCCACTGAAATCAATTGGACTTACTTCTGTATACAAATATATCAAATGGTACTGTTAACGAATAGTAGAAAAGAAGTGCTGAGCACTAATGTTTTGCCTCTGGCCTTTAACTGGGCATACATACCTGTGACAATGAATTTCACTTTCCTCCAAGTAAATAGGTTTACTAGCTGATCAGAGATATCAGGGTAAGCTAAGTACAGAGACTCTCCTCACCAGAAGGCTGGTAATCAAATGATGAACTGGTCAAGCACCTATGAACTCAATGATGGTGTCTAATAGTTGCAATCTACTTCAGTGGATTAACCACCCACATACATACATTATTGGAATTCAAAATATCTATTGAGCCTATGAATAAGGCAAATCACATAACCAATCTTTCTCTTTCCTCTTCTCTCTCTTTTCCATTACGTGGCAGCACACATACCCATTTTAAACAAACAAACAAAAAGCCTTGTCAGATCATCTGGCAGGGAGCCTGAATAGAGTGAGCTGTGTCATGTGAGGCTGCAATACAGGAAAGCAATCACCCAAAATCTTATTGATGCCACACCAGTATAATACATGAGCCAAATACTTAGTGAGACAACAGGGGCCAAGACCTAGTGACTATTCCATGGCCACACACACTCCAGAGAAAGCAGTTCCAGAAACAGTTGAATTTCAGCCCAGAAGGGAATGTAATGCACACATCTCTTAAAAGTGAGTTAATGGCAGGGGTCGGGGGGGCTGGGGCTATAGCTTTTCAGGCTATGCATAGTCTATTGATCCTTCTAGCTGTTATTGTGTTACAGTGCACTAGAAAAAGATATTAAAGTGACCGGTAAGGAATATATTGTTAGATTTAAGAGTAAATATACAGCTGTCTTACTCTATGTCTTCTAACAGATTCTATTTTACAACAAGAGTATAATATGTAAAAAGGCTTTTATGTAACACATTCTATGGGGGAAAACTTCAATCACTGCAGTTTACATGAAAAAGCATACAATTTCCACTAGAGCTAGACCACATTGGCAGAACCAACACAAATGGCAAAGAAGCCAGAATTGATGTCCAAAGAACTTCTAACTGGGCTAAGACTGCAAAGAGATATGCACAAGAAGTGGAAAATGGGAGAAATAACCAAAGAAGAATACAAAAAAATAACCAACTCCTGTAGAGAAAAGGTTTGCAAGGTTAAAGCACAAAACGAGCTCAGGTTTGCCAGAGAGATTAAAAACAATAAAAAGGGCTTCTTTGTTTACGTCAGTAGAAAAAAAGGAACAACAAGAAGACAATAAGGCCTCTGCAAGGAGAAGATGGGGCAATGCTGATAGGGGATAGGGAAAAGGCAGAACTACTTAATGCCTTCTTTGCCTCAGTCTTCTAATGAAAAGCAAGTAATCCTCAACCTAAGCAAGATGGAGTAGCTGAGGTATTAGAGGACATCCAACCTCAAATTGGGAAACAAGACGTCCAGAAATACCTGGCCACTCTAAAAGAGTTCAAGTGCCCAGGGACAGATCAACTACACCCAAGAGTATTGAAGGAACTAGCGGAAGTCATTTTGGAACAATTCATAATCATCTTTGAGAATTCTTGGAGAACGGGAGAAGTCCCAGCAGATTGGAGGAGAGCCAATGTGGTCCCAATCTTCAAGAAGGGAAAAAAGGATGACCCAAGCAATTACCATCCGGTCAGCCTCATGTTGATACCAGGTAAGATTCTGGAAAAGATCATTAAGGAAGTAGTCTGCAAACACTTAGAAACAAATGTGGTCATTGCTAATAGTCAACACAGATTTATCAAAAACAAGTCATGCCAGACTAATCTGATCTCTTTTTTTGATAGAATTACAAGCTGGGTAGATGTGGGGAATGCCGTGGATGTAGCGTACCTGGATTTCAGTAAGGCCTTCAGCAAGGTCCCCCATGACCTTCTGCCAAACAAACTAGTCCAATGTGGGCTAGGCAAAACTACAGTTAGATGGATCTGTAATTGGTTAAATGAACAAACCCAGAGGGTGCTCACCAATGCTTCTTCTTCATCCTGAAAAGAGTTGACAAGCAGAGTGCCGCAGGGGTCTGCCTGGGACCGGTCCTGTTCAACATCTTTATTAATGACTTTGATGAAGAATTAGACGGCATGATCATTGAGTTTGCAGATGACACCAAATTGGGAGGGATAGCCAATACTCCAGAAGACAGGAGCAGAATTCAAAACGATCTTAACAGATTAGAGAGATGGGCCAAAACTAACAAAATGAAGTTCAACAGTGACAAATGCAAGATACTCCACTTAGGCAGAAAAAATGAAATGCAAAGATACAGAATAGGGGGCGCCTGGCTCGAGAGCAGTACATGTGAAAAAAAGTCCTCGTGGACAACAAGTTAAACATGAGTCAACAATGTGATGTGGCGGCAAAAAAAAGGCAACAGGATTTTGGCCTGCATCAACAGGAGTATAGTGTCTAGATCCAGGGAAGTCAAGCAACCCCTCCTTGGTTACACAACATCTGGAATATTGTGTCCATTTCTGTGTCCTATAGCACATTTTGCTCTCAAAGTAAAATGACTTGTTGCACTGATGATGAGAGGCCCTAAACTCCTAGAGAGGTCCACAACCTGAGATTTCATTTTCTCTTACCATAGACCGTCAGTTGTACTCGCCGTGTTGCATAGCCTGCTGGATTTGTTGCAGTGCAGATATATTCCCCAGACTCTTCACCTCCTGGAGAGGCTACATACAAACTCCCATCAGATCCTGAAGAAAATTTCAGATTGCTGGGAGAAATTACCCCTCCTTTCTGTGAAGGACAGAAAAATACAAATGGGATGAAGTTGCCTAGATAAAACAACAATGTAAAGATTGCTATCCTGGGTCAGAAGAATGGTCTGTATAACTCAGCATCTTACCCACAACTTTGTTTTAAAAATTGATAGAGTTGCTGTCATTCTCAAATTGCTTTACACATTTTTGTATTTAGTCATATTAGGCATGCTTCATGGATATTTAAGATTCTAAATACCCAGATTTAGTCGAGTCTAATGTGCCATCATATCTAATGTGCATTTTTTAAACCCTGAAACAAACAAAAAAAGTATTTGCTGGCCAATATAATGCACAGCAACAAAAAATGCACTCTTTATCATTTGGCCAAAAAAGTGTGCATGAAAGTTGCTGCCTGCTTAGAATTTCTAATTTAAAAACCAGTGTTAGGACACCAAAACTTTCAGCAATGGAGAAGGAAATCTGGGGTGTATCTATGCTGTAGAATGAATCCACTTTAACTGCCCCGGCTCAATCATATGAAATCATGTAGTTTTACAAGATGCTGAACTTTCTCTGCCACAGAATACTGGTGGCTCACCAAACTACAAATCCTAGGATTGCATAGCATCAACCCATGACAATTAAATTACAGATGACATCCCTCAAATAGCTTCAATTAAAGAGCTTCAATTGCTTTAACAATAATGCAATTTCAACCTTTCAAACAACAGTGAATTCAGGGTTAATAGGGTTCCTGGTCCAATGGAAACCTCTTTATCAACATTCAGTCCAGCAGAATGAGATTGGGAGTAGTGTAGAAAAAGCTCCACCATATTTATTTCCTCTGTGCAGCTAGAGGGAAAAACCCTGGAATGGGCCTTTTCTTCCTCTCCATTCGCTCATCAATTTTGCTGATCATTTCTAAACATTTTAGGCACTCTTCTATTTATTAAGAGATCTAAGACCTATTAAATCTTTTCCTTCTGATATTTTAAACTTTTTATATATACTTGTCGTTATGCTTATGTTATTGTCTTCTCTGCTTTTATTGGTTTTATTCTTGTTCTAGTTGCATCACTTTCATTTCTGGTATAGATTTCAGAATAGTTTTAAGCCATCTTGAAGAAGAAGACTGAAGGATAGCATAAATATTTAAAGAAATAGCTCTGTGTGCACACAGTCAACCCTTTTCAAAAAACCATTAGGAATGCAAGTTGACTGGGTGACTGGTAGATATGCTGACAGGAGTAGGCAAACCTTGACAGATATTTAAGCTGCTTTAATTTTGGCTTGTTACCATGCTCAGAAATGAAAAAGAAATTATTAAAAGATACCCTTTCATTTTCACAGTCATAGTTTTGAGATTTTGCTAACATGGACATTTATTTAAATTTAATAGGTGCATTAACTCATCTTGTTGCTCAGCTACGAATTCAGTTGATTTTTCACCACAAACAAGAAAAGACAATCACCTTGGACCAAACTATATTTGGCTTGGGAACTCCACTGGCTTTACAGGGTAATGTAACTGGGATGCCTTCTATAGTGTTGAATATCTGCTGGCCATGTTGAATTATAGGTAGAACTGAAACACAAGCAAAGAGACACTTTGCAAATTATTCCACATTGCATTATGTCATGCCCTACATAAGTAATATTATTATTTATAAAGCCTAGCACTTTATTAGCAAGAGACCTTTCTTTGTCATATAATCAAGTACATACAAAACGTCTTACTTTTATCTCAGACTGGAACAGAACTTTATGGAATATATCTGCGTGAACATCTGGAGAATGTTCCTGGAACAGCCCAAAAAACTCACAGAAACCCATTGCCTTTTGGGCTGTTTCCTGGTTTCCATAAGCAACAATGCACCATGTGAAGTTCAGTGGATTGGGAAACTCACAATTGTTATGGTGATGAAATCATAGCACATTTTGGATTTCTAAACTTTGTCATCAGAGCAGGGGAGGAGGGACAAAAGAGAAAGAATAAGTCACATGGGATCACCTCTTATTATGGCCTCATAAAGATCCAGCCTCGGAACCCCCCTCCCTTGAGAAAATCTCAACATAATGAGACTGCTTTCAATTTTTTTTAAAAAAGGACTTAGAGCATCTTCTAAAGAGGTTATAGCCCTCAATGTCTACATTCCAGTAATAGGAGTCATCCCACCAGGTTTCAGTGATGCCTATTTGTGGTGTTGTGCTAAAAGTTGGAGTATGTCTTGTTTATTTCCCACTCTGTGCATTAGTGTAAAGACAAGTGAGCTCCTGAGATCTTCCCCTGAGCTGTTTATTTGGGATTATTGTGCTTTCGGTACTTTGTCCTCGTTGTGTTTGTGCAGCCCTCTGTTTAGCCTTCTGGAGGTTCCCTGACATTGTGGGTAAAGTACTGTTCACAAGGCTATTGTCCCCATTCCCCAGTGGACCTAGTTTAAAGTGCATCTAATGAGGTTTGTGAGCCTGTGAGCAAAAAGGTGTTTTCCTACTTGTGTGAGATGCACCCCATCTCTTGCCAGTAGGCCATCCTCCTGGAAAAGCAGGCCATGGTTGAGGAAGCCAAAGCGTTCCTCCCGACACCATTTTCTAAGCCAGTTATTGACCTGTACTATATTTCTGGTCCTTGTAGAGCCGTGTCTTACAATTGGGAGGAGGGATGAAAAAACCACTTGTACATTACACTGTTTTAGCTTTGTTCCGAGAGCTCAAAAATCATTTATGATCTTTTGAAAAGTATGCCTAGCAGTATCATTGGTTCCTACATGAATCAACATGAGAGGGGGGGGGGTGATGGGGCTTGAGGAGCCTGGTGAGCTTCTGAGTGATATGGTTTATTTTTGCCCCCGGGAGGCAGCATATTTCTCGAGCCATCCCATCTGGTCCGGGAATGACGGCTTCCGTTCCTCTAAGGAGGGAGTCACCTACTACCAAGATATGCTTACTTTGAGGATTGACAGGGTCCCTTTTGTGCAATGTAGTGTGTAGGTCCCCAGAAAAGTGATCCTGTTGATGTGAATTGTGTAGGTGTGAAGTGTAATGTGTTGTCCTCCTCTTCAACATCCCCGGTGCATTCGTCAAGGACATTGAGATTCGTCCAAGAGCCTGTCATTCTCCTGAGTATGTTCCTGTTGCACCTGGTCTATGATTGGGGATGGAACATTTGGATGATGACCCCTTGGGCCATCTAGTCCAACCCCTTCTGCCTTCATGCAGTAAAAGCACAAACAAAGCACTCCTGACAGATGGCCATCTACATCTGAAACCGCACGGATAAGTTTTATACCTGTGTATGCTGAACACATGAAGGTTATGAGGGAACCAAATATGTTATTTTATCAAAGTCTAGTTCATATTTGTCTCTTGAGTGCATGATATAGAACAAGATGTTTTATGAGAGAGTAGATATACATTTTGGGTACTGAAAAACACTTCTGAAGCGCATGCAGACTGCCCCCTCCCCCTCCACTCCCTTGCCCTGACTGGTGACCTCCGTGTCTCCATGGAGTGGGCCGGAGAAGAAGGCGCAGTGGTAACAGAAGCCTCCTTCTCCTCCTCCAGCCCACTCCATGGAGCCGAACGCCAGCTGGCTTCAGAGCCTTTTTCCTCAGTCTCCTGCCCTGGTTTATAACTTCACTTGAATATAAGCCGAGGGAAGCTTTTTCAAGCCCCAAAAGGGCTGAAAACTTCACCTTATATTCGAGTTTATACGGTAATTGTGCTGCATAAAACCATACAAAGAACATCCATTAGAGGGAGAACCATTTTTTTCCAGTGAGGACAACTCTCCCAGTGGTAACCTAATGGGAACTGCAGTGTGCTAGATGTGGCCAAAATTGAGAAGGGTCAACCATTTTCTTTCCCTCTCTTGATCTACTTATTACACTGCCCTTTAAAAGTGATATTGATCTTAATGGGAGTCTTGAGTGATTGTGGAATTTTGAAATTTGAGTGAGAGCTTTCAACTGACCACCACTAAACCATGTCTTCCAAACAAGAGCCAGTTCAATACAATGATAATTTAGAAGCCCCATTTCAGTGAATGGGTCTTGAACAAGAGAATTACTAACTGTATGATGAATCCATCTCTCTTTTTAAAGTATGTAACATATGTATGTCTCCTAAGCATTTTATCGAGAACATTCTTACACAGAAAACCCAGGAAGACTGAAATGTTTTTCTCACCAAAGACACTGACAACAGTTGTTTTGTTGTATATCCCTGCAACATTGCTTGCCATACAGGTATAATCTCCAGCATCCTGCAGTCGAACTCTTTCAAGGTGAAGGCTTCCATCACTACGAACATTGATGTATGGAGTTTGGACAACCTGTGGTGGGAAGGAACAGATTTTCGCTCAAATTATAAACAAAAAAAAGATCTCTAGCTTGATTCTGGTTTTGCCAATTATGGAAAGAGGCAAAGAATTTTGAAAGGCACTGGATATCCACTATCAATATCAATGTCTCCCTACTAAGTTTTAATCAAAACTTGTTCTAGTTTTGGCACTTTACTCTAAGAGCTTTTCATGTTTCCTGAGGTTGACCAAGTACCTAAACCAAAGATGTGTGTGGTTGACATATATCAATAAAAAAGATTTATATCCTGAATGGAAAGGCAATTTGAATGCTCAGTTCTGACTAATCAATGATTAATTGTCTAAATTTATGCAGTAATACATCTCTGATGATTATTATCTATATATATAAAAATGCTCTGTGCATAATGAGTACCTTAAAAACAAAAGAACCAATGAACAAAATCACACCAAATTTGGCAACAAAACGTCTCACAACACAAGGAGTGACCATCACTCAAAAAATTATGATTTTGTCATTTGGGAGTTGCAGTTGCTGGGATTTGCAGTTGCAGTTGCTGGGATTTGCAGTTGCAGTTGCTGGGAGTTGCAGTTGCTGGGATTTATAGTTCACCTGGGATTTGCAGTTGCAGTTGCTGGGAGTTGCAGTTGCTGGGATTTATAGTTCACCTGTAGGTTCACCTGTAGGTGAACTCAAAGAGCATTCTGAACTCCGTCAATGATGGAATTGAACCAAACTTGGCACACAGAACTCCCATGACCAACAGAAAATATTAGAAGGGTTTGGTGGGCATTGACCTTGAGTTTGGGAGTTGTAGTTCACCTACATCCATCAAACAATGATGGATCTGGACCAAACTTGGCACAAGCACTCAATACGCCCAAATATGAACACAGATGGAGTTTGGGGAAAATAGACCTTGACATTTCGGAGTTGTAGTCACTGGGATTCACAGTTCACCTACAATCAAAGAGCATACTGAACCCCACGAACGACAGAATCGGGGCAAACTTCCCACACAGAATACCCATGACCAACAGAAAATCCTAAGGCCATCCAATCCAACTCCCTTCATCAGGGCAAGAAAACGTAATCAAAGTCTTCCTGACAAAGAGCCATCCAGCCATAGATACAGATAGATAGATAGATAGATAGATAGATAGATAGATAGATAGATAGATAGATAGATAGATAGATAGATATGATTCACACAGACAGAGAGATAGTGTCATAGATTTGAAAGGGACCCTTAAAGAAAGACAATGATATGTTGCATGTTCCAGAGTGGGCAAACCAGACACTCTCCACATCAACACTGACAAAGAAACAGCAAGAAATACTGTTTACCCACAAGCATCAAGAAATTACATATATTAGAAACCAACACTTTCTCGTTATTTTATTTTCCAGATCAACAGACTAGGCCACAGCAACGCGTGGTGGGGACAGCTAGTATCTTATATAGCAGAAACTGATGTTGTGTATATTGGTCACCACAGTATCTTATAAAGAAAGGTTTGTTGATGGAGATGCCTAAACAGAAACCCCTGTGAACTGTCTCTTGGAATACAGATTTTGTCACCTACGTCTTAACTAAATGACATAACATTTGGCTCTCTGTAGAAATTAATAATTCTCCCTGAGAAATGTAGAGGGGAAGTGGAAAGAAACAAGCTACTAATCCAACAAATAGGCAAGAATGACAAAGCATCTAAAGAAGCTCCCCAAAAAGACATGTTAGCCTGTGAAATAGGTCCCTGTGTAAAAACAAAATAGCAACATTTTTCTCTCATGAGCCACTGGCAACCCCATCTTGCATTAGCTGTTTTGTACAAGATACCTCCAGTTTGATGCAGAAAACTGCATCAAAAGCTGAAGTTCAATACATGTTTTATGCCTTTAATATTTCTCTGTACTAATTTATCTATGTATCTTCAGCTATCTTCCTGGACAAACATTATCACTGAAACCTACATCTCCAGCAGGCTCTCTTAGATTACAGAACACAATATAGACCATGCCCCATGACTATTGTCTCATAGTTAACTTTTCTGACTTGGCAAATGTGCATTATAATCTTGCCACAACTTTCCTTGATTTCACTTTGTTCTTCTTCTAAGTCAGGTGCACATTGAAATACTGAACGCATGTTTGATTTTTTGTTTGTTTGTTCGTTTGTTTTAAAAAGCATGCAAGTGACAGGAAAAGAAAAGGTTCAAACGCATCTAGTTGCCATAAGCTCAGAGAATGGTGGAAAGCTCTGTGTGCCAAATCAGATTCATGCCATGCTCCTTCCACCAATAGCAGCTATTGGGAATTGCAGGTGCTCTAGAAATGGGGTGAAAGGGTGAGTGCAATGTGAATTGACCGGCAGCCAGAGCTTTCTGACATTCCTTGAGCCTGCTGCAATTTGATGAATTTGGATTTTTTTTCCTGCCTTAATGTCTACTTTTTACAGGGACTTTGTGCAAGTCAAGCCATTGTTGGAAATAACCTTGTATGCTTTTAGATGTCAGAATGCGTGTTTGCATCAGAAGCAGTGAGTACAGTTTAGACTTCAGTAAGATGTATGCTTAAAGGTTCAATTGGACTATTGTTTCTAAGTAAGATATCCTGTGTTACCTACACTAAGAAACTACTTAAAATTCTATTGTAACTGGATTCATAAGCAAAATGCCTGTATGCTGTATACATGAAGTTTGTAAGTAAACCGATTGTGTTACTTTTAAAGAAGACTGTTTATTTTGTCTCTAGAGCATGATATAAATGGAAATATGTTTTAAGGGAGAGTAGATTTTGGGGGGGCGGGGACTAAAGGAACACTTCTGAAACTCTGTCAGAACATGTTGTTTAAATGTAGTGAAATACTGTTGTAAACTGTGTTGGTGTAGCAATATAATGCAAGAGTTAAATGTATAGAGCTGTGATGTCTTGCTAGAGTGTAATTTTGGAAAGTTCTGGTGACAGAGAAGGATGCCACCACGAGATTTGATAAGCTAGGAATGCATGTTGCTTCCAGTGTTGTATTCCAAATTGAACTGACATATTTTACTCTGCTCCTGTATATAGTTTTTAGTGCAGATTGCAATAAAAGAAAAGAGCCGCTCCAGACTCTGGAGCTGACTGAGGTAGCATGTTTCATTATTTGCTTTTTGTGCCTTTGAGCAGGTGCTCAAGAGGTCCATAAATCAACACACTCTGCTGAATATATGTTTTTGTGCATTGCCATGCCTTTGTCCCTAACAGTTCAAAGACACAACTAGGCACATCAGTTTAATAGCTGAGAGACCTAGTTGCCTTGCATTAATGCTGGTGAGCATCATTTTTCAAAAGCTTGTGACTTCTAACAAGATCATGCCTTTTCTGTGACCAGTGGTTTCCCCAAAGGTTATGAATCCCATTTCCCAAATGGTTATGGAGAGTCACATATTCCAAAAGCTATGGTACCCAGAGCCTTCCCACTTCTATTTCCCTGGTCTAATTGTGGATTTTGGATGTGTAGCTAGCCCCCATCCCTCATTCACTATGTATATGCAAATACAGGTATTTTTAAGAAAAAAAATCTGAAATCTAAAAAACATTTGATCCTGCATTTCAGATAAGTTTTAAGTTTATCCTCCATGACTCAAAAGCTCAGGGCTGCATTTCTAAAACAATCCCTTTTATCTTTTCAATAACCATATAAAGATGGGTTGGATTGGGAGAAAGCCAGCAGAGTCTCTCAATAAATGAAAGCATCAGTATAGGATTCCACAAATCAACCATGACACCAACAATGTCTTTTTTTTTTCTTTTTGGAAAGGGGAAAATATTCCACACATATCAACTGCCTCATATTTAAAAATAACATGTTTAAACGGTGATGCTTAAATCTCACAGAATTTGGAATTAACTGGTTACACAGATTCACAATTAATTACTTTATCTCGGAACTACAATGTATATGTATTACACTATATATGCAACTTAACAAGGGATGATTTCAGATCTTTTAAAATGAAAATGCAAGTATATGGGAACTAACTGCTATTGGAAACTTAGAAGTATATAACTGAATGGGAATCATGTAAACTAGTCTTTGTAAAATAGATGTGGAATTATTTGGGGAAAGAGCTGTTTTTGCGATTGCTATAGGCTTTAAGATATGATGAAGAATAGAGAATACGAAAGGAAGAGGAATGGAAGTCAATAGTTTACCCCACCCCCTCCCATTTTACCTTTCTTATTTTAAACCTCCCCCCTGCCCTCTCCCCCTTCCAAGTCTCATCTGCTTCTATTCTTTTCCCTTGCTCCCCCCTCCTTTATCTTCATTTTAGTTTTATGTTTAGTTATTAGCTGTTTTCATTTTGGAAAATCTCAATAATTGGAAAATCTCAATACTGGAAAATCTCAATATTTTTTTTAAAAAAGAAAAAGTATATAACTGTAATTCATTGATCTATAAATGCAACTTTTCACATTCTGTGATGCACACTTTTCAAGGCTGTACAGTGTAGTGAGTAGAAAATTACATCAAACACTGCCTTACCATCATACTATTTTTAATCCACTTTCTCTCTGGAATAGGGTTCCCTGCCAGCAGCATACATGACAATGTAAGCTGTTGACCTTCAATTACATTAGCTGCTGCTGGGCCCATTCCAATCAGGGGTGCAACTGTATCAAAAAAAAAAAAAAGGAAACGGGCAAAACGTTAATGTGGAAATTATTCATGTTCCAAATAAAACTGTAAAGGAACTACTCTCAGGTACAAAGCACACATTACATCTCGGCTCAACAAGATTCTTTTTATAACATGTATTTCAAAATTAGCTACTTTATTGGGACTATTCTAGATTACAAACAATTTGTTGTTCTTGTGATGTTGAAATATTGTTGAAATATTGAATTTTAAAATAATGCATATGCAATACCTTCTATTATTACTTTAAATATAATGAAACTAATGAAACTAATGAAAATGAATGCTCATTTGAGTGCTTTGGATTCAATTATTCCATGTTATGAATTATTTTATTTATTTATTTAACTTGTATACCGCTACTCCCAATTTGGCTCGGAGCGGTTTACACAAGCAGATTAAAACAATACAATTAGCTTTAAAAATAACAGTAACAAACAATAGGCGGCGAGAACAGGCACCCATCAAAAGCTTGCCGGAAAAGAAAGGTTTTACAGGCTTTCCGAAAAGCAAGTAGATCTCGGATGGTTCGAGTTTCAACCGGCAAGGCATTCCATAAATAAGGGGCCACGATCGAGAAAGCTCTATGCCTAGTAGATGACAAATGATAAGTCCAGATGTTGGGGACTGCAAGCAAATTTTGGTCTTCGGACCGGAGTAATTTCTGGGGTTGGTAGGGGGATAAGCAGGCCCTCAGGTACGCCGGCCCCAGACCATGTAAGGCCTTGTAAAATTACACTTGAAAACATTCTGATATAGTGTTTTTATATGGTATTTTTGTTTTCAAAAAATCTTTGTATCTTAGGTATGCTATATGTTACATTGGCAGTTAAGTGTTCATTAACTATTGTCACTGTTTTTTTTAATCAGGAAAAAATATAATTAACTAACAATTATTACATTAATAGCAACAGTGCTATGAATTTTGAAGAGGCATGAATAGAAGGGGAAAGGGAAAGTGTGCCAAGAGGAAGGCATGTTCAAGCAAATCCTTGTTGGGACCACCTTCCATCTGGAAAAGACCATGTGGATACAGAAAAGGTATCTACCGTAATTTATAGACCCTCTGCTAAGACTCTATCCTGGGAAGACAATCATACTCGGTCACGAGTGATCACCTATGATATGATGACATTAATGTTTGATTTCCCAATAGCTTATCTACTAAGGAGCAAACTAGATATGAGTTGAATGTAAATATAGATTTTGTACACATAGTATTATTCACACACCCTGCTCTTCAACCTGTGATGGTGAAGATCAATGGAAAACACTTTATTTCAAATTTGGGTACAGTGCTGGGGTCAGATTGATGCAGATTGTCTAAATAGCCAAAAGGTATCAAATCCCATCTAATCTTGGAAGCTAAGCAGTATCAGCTTGGTAACTGTTTGGATGTTAGGCTGCCAGTGAATACTAGTTATTGTAGGCTGTAGTTTAGAGGAAGGAGCTAATAAAAGCACCTTGAGTGCCTTGCTTAAGAAAACCCTATGAAATTCATGGGGTCACCATATCCGAATGGGCAACTTAAAAGCACACACATAAACAAGTTAAGTGCTACAAATCCCACATTATCAGTTCATTACCCAGTCCTGTCACTGTAAGCGTAGCCTGCCGTGATACAATCTTTCCAAACTGGTTTTCAGCTTCACAGATATAGATTCCTTCATCATTAACCCATAAATCTAAAAGTAAGCAAAAGTGTTGTTTTTAAAAGAAAGAATGAATGCTTAGCTTCATAAGAAAAACAAAAAAATCTCATATAAACATATGAACAATACAAAGTATAATCCTCATTAATGTAAGTTCCCATGTAATTTAAAATTTCAGTCTTGACATTTTAATAATTGATTATGAAATCAGGCACAATCTGTCAGAGCAGTATAGCTAAACAAATCTCATTCAGGTTAATCAATTACACTATGAATTTGAAAAAAAAATGTTCCTGGATTCAAAGTTTTAATATCTATTTAATTGCGTGGTACTTACTTTGAAAGTAGTTATACTCCAGAAACTTCATATTTGTGGCTGTTACAAAGTATATTGAATTGGTTGAAACTTTATGAGATATTCATTGAAAAGCTATAGCAAAATATGCTGCAGGATTTCTCACAAAAACAATGTTTTTGCAGTTTAATAAACCTTTTCCACATATTTATGATAGAAACAACTAGGAAATTACATTTATAACCTTGGAACAAAAACATGTCACATTGTATTATATACATTCGACATGACTGCTGTTAGGTCATATCCAACACGACACATTCTAAATCTAGAATGTAGTACATGCTATGCATTACATTTCCCCCAAGCATTTGGTATATGCAAAAAGAGCATTTTCTACATACTGTTAATATAGAGGGCGCCTGTTTGGACTTGACTGATGGAACTAATTGAAAAGGGTCTTGCAAAAAGTGGGGTGCCATCCAGCCGTTGCCATTTCACCTTTGGTTCTGGGTAACCCTGAACATGACAAGCCAATGTCACATTTGAACCAATATCTGAGGATTCATCACTAGGTTCTTGTGTGAAAACAGGAGGAGCTGTGAAAAAATACACAGGAAGAGAAATATCAGTTATAGGAATATGGCTTCTATATTTCTTCTAAAATGTCACTTGAATGATCATCAGTGATCATTTTTATAATATGCAAGCACTGGATTGGTGACTCAGTCTGATGCTAATGAATATGCAGGAAAAACCTGGATGACAAACTAGGAAAATTAATTTATTAAACTGTTGGATTATTTATTTATTTATTTTATTTACTGTGTTTATGGACCGCTGTTCTCAGCCCAAGGGTGACTCACAGCGGTGTACAACATGTAGAGAATAAGGTGCAAATTACAAGACATAATCTAACAACAAATTTGCATCTTCAGGATGCAAATTATCACTGGACCTAAACCCTTCTGCAAAACAGGAATTGCCAAATCATGTGGCCAAAAGGCCTTTTAAAATTTAAAAACACTCTAAATTCACATTAAAAGTACTAGATAAATGATATATGAAATTTAATAATTTCCCAAGTTTCCCTAACTTTGCTTGTACTTCATATTCACATCCTCACTTCATTTGACTCTAAAATATTAGGAAATTGTATTTGAGTACTTAGGATGTTTTTTTGGCTATATTATTCTCCTTCCTTTGTCATTAAGATACTGTTGGAAATAAGTATATATACAATCACAGTTGTTCAGAGAGTTTCATCTATGCTGATGATTGTGCCATTACCCTGCTCAAGCAGGGAGCTTTGAGATGGTTGAACAGAAGCTCTCCGAAGCTCTAGGTGCTCTTACTGCCTATTACAGGGGAAACCAGCTGATCCCTACTCCAACTAAAACACAGACATGTGCTTTTCACCTCAAGAACAGACAAACATCCCAAGCTCTGAGGATTACTTGGGAAGGAATCCCACTAGAACATTGCAGTGCACCCAAATATCTGGGAGTCACTCTGGACCGTGCCCTGACCTACAAGAAGCACTGCCAGAATATCAACCAAAAAGTGGGCACTAGAAATAATATCATACAAAAGCTGACTGGCACAACCTGGGGATCACAACCAGACACAGTGAAGACATCTGCCCTTGTGCTATGCTACTCTGCTGCTGAGTATGCATGCCCAGTGTAGAACACATCTCACCACGCTAAAACAGTAGATGAGGCTCTTAATGAGACATGCCGCATTATCACGGGGTGTCTGCGCCCTACACCACTGGAGAAATTACACTGTTTAGCCAGTATTGCACCACCTGACATCTGCTGGGAAGCAGCAACCAATAGTGAAAGGACCAAGGCAGTGACATTTCCAGCTCATCCCCTGTTTGGATATCAGCCAGCACGTCAATGACGTAAATCAAGAAATAGTTTTCTAAGATCTACAGAGACACTCGCTGGAACACTTCAGCAAGCAAGAGTCCAAAAGTGGCAGGCTCAAACCCAGAATCTCAATCAATGGCTGATACCAAATGAGAGACTCCCTCCTGGGCACACAGAAAACTGGGCAACTTGGAAGGCACTAAACAGACTGCGCTCTGGCACTATGAGATGCAGAGCCAACCTTAAGAAATGGGGCTACAAAGTGGAATCCACGACATGCGAGTGTGGAGAAGAACAAACTACAGACCAGCTGCTACAATGCATCTTGAGTCCTGCCACATGCACAATGGAGGACCTCCTTGCGGCAACACCAGAGGCACTCCAAGTGGCCAGCTACTGGTCAAAGGACATTTAATCAACTACCAAGCTTGCAAACTTTGTTTGTTTATTTGTTTGTTAAAAAATGCAATGCAACTGTTTGGTCTGCCCCTGACACGATAAATAAAAAAGTTGTTCAAGGAATTCTGTGCCACTACGGATAAAAGAGGTAATTAGCAATCTTCATCTTGTGTTGTTTGAGGATGTCTTTCCCTACACTAGACCTCTCAGGGCTGAACTCACTTCCTCCCATATATCTATTTTACCTTCTCTTTCTTTCTCTCTTAGTCATGTAGCCAGTGCTAGCAAACGTTATCTCCCCTCTGTTCCAGATATGAAGTTGACTCTTGTATTGGTTATTCCACATACCATTTTCTGGCAGCATAGTGTTTTCATTATACACACCCTTTTAAAGTTTCAGCTTTCTTTCTGTATTTCATTGTCCCTCTATAGCCTTGGAGATTAGGGCTGGGCGGTTTCGTTCGTTAATTTCGTAATTCGTTATTAATTCGTATTTAAATTAGCTTACGATCCGATATTGAGCCATTTTGGAATAGTGTGAGGAGTTAAATAGATTCGAAACAATTTTTCAACTTATTTCATAATTGTTTCGAAATTGTTTCGTAATTATTTTCGCATGTCTGGTGCAAGTTTTATAGTTGTTGTTTGTTTTATCACACCAACAGTCAACAACAGAGGGAGAGGGAAGCTTCAGAAGTTCCCCCTGTCCCATTTGGAGGTTTTTTCAGCATATTTTTAGCATATTTGGAGGGTTTTTTAGCATATTGCGCAATCGCGTCCGCCATTAACGAATCGATTCGATATATATTTCATATATTTCGAAATTTTTAAAAGGAAAATTTCAGAATTCTTTAAAGAAACGAAACATGATGGACCCCTTAAAAATGAATCGAGTTTAGAAACAAATTTTTCCGTGGTTACCCAGCCCTATTGGAGATCAGATAACATAAAAACAGAAGGAACTCCTCCCATCTTATTGTGGACAACTATTTTCCACTTGTACACAAATCACTAGGATTTCAGACAGTGTATAAAATATAAAAATTGCCCCCCCCCCTCATAAATCTATTATACTGGGTCCAAGTCTGGGCACCACAATTTAAGGGAGATGTTGATAAGCTGGAATGTGTTCAGAGAAGGGCGACTAAAATGATCAAGATTCTGGAGAACAAGCCCTATGAGGAGCGACTGAAAGAGCTGGGCATCTTTAGCCTGCAGAAGAGAAGGCTGGGAGGAGACATGATAGCCATGTATAAATATGTGAGGGAAAGTCATAGGGAGGATAGAGCAGGCTTGTTTTTTGTTGCCCTGGAAATTGGACGCAGAACAATGGCTTCAAACTACAGGAAAGGAGATTGTGCCTGAACATTAGGAAGAACTTTCAGACTGTGAGAGCTGTTCAGTAGGGCTGGGCGGTTTCGTTTCGTAATTTCGTAATTCGTTAAAAATTCGTTATTTTTTTTTTATAACGAAGCGATTTTGAACCATTCAGGAGCATCTAAAAAACGAAACGAATTTTTCAATTCGTTTCGTAATTGCTTCGTATTCGTTTTGTATTCATTTCGAAATCATTTCGAAATCGTTTCGTTATTATTTCCACATGTCTGGGGCAAGTTTTATAGCTGTTGTTTGTTTAATCAGTGAAAAAAAATTATAAATATCACACCAACAGTCAACAACAGAGGGAGAGGGAAGCTTCAAAAGTTCCCCCTGTCCCATATGGAGGTTTTTTAGCGTATTGCGCGGTCGCGTCCGCCATTAACGAATCGATTCGTATTCGTTTCATATTCGTTTCGTATTGTTTCGTAATTTTACAAAATTTCGTAAATATCGAACTTTTTTAAAGAAAAAATTCGGAATTCTTTTAAATATCGAAACGCAAAAAAACCCCAAAAAACGAATCGAGTTTAGAAACAAATTTTTCCGTGGTTGCCCAGCCCTACTGTTCAGCATTGGAATTCTCTGCCCTGGAATGTGGTGGAGGCTCTTTCTTTGGAGGCTTTCAACAGAGACTGGATGGCCATCTGTCAAAGATACTTTGAATGAGATTTTCCTGCTTCTTGGCAGGAGATTACACTGAATGGCCCATAAGGTCTCTTCCAATTCTATGATTCTACTTACAACCAACATCCAGAGTTATTTTGCCAGATGCACTTCCTGCATTATTGGCTGCAACACACATATAGTCGCCTGCATCCAGATCTTGAGTCTCCTGGATCTTCAGAAGACCTCGATGGATATCAATAATAAGAAATGCTGTCGCCCGCAACTCTAAGTCACCTAGATCCAGGCAAGAGATAATGAAAATGAATAACTGTTTTTGTAAAAAAAATTGACCACTTCAGGAAAAAATTGATTTTTTTTATTATAGATTTATCAATCAAAATATATAAGTATACATCCTTTCCCCTTTCTACAATATCTTGGGCAGGGGAGTGTGCCATATTTTAAACAAATAAAAGAAGAAAATCACACACACCTCAAGCATACTTCTTATCAGTTTTCCCCAATTACAACTTATACTACATATATCTGTACTAGACATCTTTTATCTACTTATACATATTTTATTTCATTATTCTTTTTAATAACAGGGAAACCCAGCCTTTTGATATTGCAGCGCTCACTAACCCCTCGTACAGGAGAGCCTACATGCTGGCTAGATTTAATATTATGCCATCTACACTCCATAAAGGAAGACTCAACGGTCTACCGATCAATAAAAGGCTTTGTCCCTGTAGCAGAAGACAGCTGGATTCCATCCCGCATATTTTTCTGCACTGCCCACTTTACCAAGAACTAAGTTCTAGCTTACTACTGCAAGTTATTGATTCTTTGAAAAACCATACCAACCCAGACAAAATAATATGCTTTGAAACTGCCAAGATTTTAACCATTGCCTTTCAGTGGCAAGGTACTTTGAATGAGATTTTCCTGCTTCTTGGCAGGGGATTACACTGAATGGCCCATAAGGTCTCTTCCAATTCTATGATTCTATTTACAACCAACATCCAGAGTTATTTTACCAGATGCACTTCCTGCAATATTGGCTGCAACACACATATGAATGAAGTCTGTAAACTGAATGTGTAGCAAATGTGAAGTTAACTTTTTTATAATTTATACTGTATATTATACTGTATTAGGTTATGGTGGGTTTTTTTCAGGCTATAGAGCCATGTTCTAGAGGCATTTCTCCTGACGTTTCGCCTGCATCTATGGCAAGCATACTCAGAGGTAGTGAGGTCTGTTGGAATTAGGACAAAGGGTTTATATATCTGTGGAATGGCTGGGGTGGGGCAAGGAGCTCTTCCCTGCTGCAGTTAGGTGTGAATGTTTCAGCTGATCACCTTCATTAGCATTTGAAGGCCTGGCTGAGCCTGGGAAAATCTCTTGCTGGGAGGTGTTAATCTGTGCCTGGTTGTTTCCTCTCTGCTGTTTTGCTGTTGTAATTTTAGAGTTTTTTAATACTGGTAGCCAGATTTTGTTCATTTTCATGGTCTCTTCCTTTCTGTTGAAATTGTCCATATGCTTGTGGATTTCAATGGCTTCTCTGTGTAGTCTGACATGGTGGTTGTTGGTGTGGTCCAGCATTTCTGTGTTCTCAAATAATATGCTGTGTCCAGGCTGGTTCATCAGGTGCTCTGCTATGGCTGACTTCTCTGGTTGAAGTAGTCTGCAGTGCCTTTCATGTTCCTTGATTCGTGTTTGGGCGCTGCGTTTGGTGGTCCCTATGTAGACTTGTCCACAGCTGCATGGTATACGGTAGACTCCTGCAGAGGTGAGAGGATCCCTCTTGTCCTTTGCTGAACGTAGCATTTGTTGAATTTTCTTGGTGGGTTTGTAGATTGTTTGTATGTTGTGTTTCCTCATCAGCTTCCCTATGCGGTCAGTGGTTCCCTTGATGTATGGCAGGAACACTTTTCCTCTGGGTGGATCTTCATCTTTACTCTCGTGGCTTGTTCTTGGTCTTGCAGCTCTTCTGATGTCTGAGGTGGAGTATCCATTGGCCTGGAGAGCCCAGTTGAGGTGGTTCAGTTCATCTTGGAGGAGGTGGGGTTCACAGATTCTTTTTGCACGGTCTGCCAAGGCTTTAATGGTGCTTCTTTTTTGACTTGGGTGATGGTTGGAGTTTTTATGTAGATACCTATCTGTGTGTGTGGGTTTTCTGTAGACGGTGTGACCCATCTGGTTTGCGGATGACTAGGACATCTAGAAAAGGCAGTCTTCCTTCATTTTCTTTTTCTATGGTGAACTGGATGTTTGGGTGGATGCTGTTAAGATGGTCCAGGAACCCGTTGAGTTCTTCTTCTGTATTATACTGTATTGTTATATATGTCAATAAAGGCCTATTGATTGGAATTATTATTATTATTATTATTATTATTATTATTATTATTATTATTATACCTTTTTTCCTCTCCCCACCTCCAGTCCTTATTTTGTGCCACATTCACCAGGTCCAACCAACTCATCTTGTTTCACAAGTCCAAAATGTTGCCGACTTGTATCCCTTTCCCTCATTAAAAATATAATCAATAAAGAGTCCTCTAGCTAATCCTTTCATTGTATCCCATACTATTGTGACAGGACATTGGTTATTATTATTTATCTCCCAAGTTTCCTTTAATTCTTTTAATATTTTCCCTGTTGCTTTTTATCTTCTAATACTCTATTATTAATTCTCCATCTTTTAGCTAATCTATAATTTTTATTTGTATTATGATACTAATTTATGCATAGTCTAAGTTTTTTATAATTTCTATTTCTAATATAGAAAAATTGATTTAATTCATTTTTCGGTTAGCAAAGTGGTACTACTTATACATTTCCTGAGGGACTACCCGTTGACTGAGTACAAGGCATGCTGCATATGCAGGATGCTATGCCAGGATTTATTTCCTATAACATCTGCTCTGCAATATGTAACACAGGATTGACTTCAGCAATTACATTTGAACTTTAGCCAACCCACACAGACAATAGATACTTCCATCCATGCTTGGTAAATAAACTTTACTTCTATTCATAAGACACCTTTTTCACAATAAGATGCCCTATCCAAATTTGTAACATCCTTTTTAGGCTGTCCACAAATACTCCAATTATACTACATGGATGAAATGATTAAGTTAGCTAAGGCCTACAATCAGATAACAAAACAAGGAAAATAGGATCACATGGCTGATAGAATTGTAAAAAAAATTCATTCTATGAGATTAAATGATGCTAATGATCCAAAGATATTTAAGGAAGTTACCTTTAAACCATTTAATCTGTGGAGCTGGGACACCAGTGCTTTTGCATTCCATCACAGTAGTGTCTCCAAGAGCAACCAGAAGTTCACTTTGGACTACTTTCAATGTAGGGACCTCTACAAAAGGTCAAGAGAAATTAGATTAAAATATAACTTTCTAGTAAAAAGTAAAGTTAAAGGTTTTCCCCTGACATTAAGTCCAGTCATGTCCGACTCTGGGGGTTGGTGCTCATCTCCATTTCTAAGCCAAAGAGCTGCCATTGTCCATAGAAACCTCCAAGGTTATGTGACCGATGTGACTACATGGAGTGCCGTTACCTTCCTGCGGGAATGGTACCAATTGATCTACTCACATTTGCATGTTTTCGAACTGCTTGGCTGGCAGAAGCTGAAGCTAACAACAGGAGCTCACCCTGCTCCCCGGATTTGAACCTATGACCTTTCATTTAGCAAGTTCAGCAGCTCAGTGGTTTAACCCATTGTGCCACTGGGGGCTCCTAACTTTCTAGGTCTTTGTGCAAATTCTCTGTCAAACTGTTACAATATTTAACATTACTCTTTCAAAATCATTTCTTACAATCTCTAACAATTCAGTTAAATTAAGGGGAGAGGGGGGTCACTGTTTGCCGTAAAATAAATCTATACATGGACTGTAAAAAGTGTTTTTCCTAGGTTCTTGTGGGATTTTTCGGGCTATAGGGCCATGTTCTAGAGGCATTTCTCCTGACGTTTCGCCTGCATCTATGGCAAGCATCCTCAGAGGTAGTGAGGATGCTTGCCATAGATGAGGGCGAAACGTCAGGAGAAATGCCTCTAGAACATGGCCCTATAGCCCGAAAAAACCCACAAGAACCTAGTGATTCCAGCCACGAAAGCCTTCGACAATACAGTGTTTTTCCTTGTTGATGTTGTTTTCTGCAAAGGGATCTAGTGGCACTTTAGACCCTAATTGGGAGAGCAAAGCTGATAGCAAAAGCTTCCCTGAGTAGAGTGGGGAAAGCCAAAACCTCACTCAATTCCAAGACAACCTAAAAGAAGCACTGACTACCTTGCTACTCTCCACCATGGTGTCATTTCTGAATGTCTGGATGAGAAAATGTCAATGACAACTGGAGATGGCTGCCCCCCTGAGGTGCTTTGCCCTCTATGCAGAATGATCCTCAACTTATCCAAGGATTATGACATAATTTTATCTCCAGATTCCAGGACCACAGAAGCAGATGGCAAAAACAGAAAAACGGCCTGCCTCAGGGGAGCGTGTTTGCTCCATCAGTGTTTAACATTTACACAAATGATCAGCAACTCCCAGAAGGGACAGAGAGCTTTATCTATTCTGATCATCGTATCATCGCCACCCAAGCACAGACCTTTGAAATGGTTGAACAGAAGCTCTCCAAAGCTTTAGGTGCTCTTACTGCCTATTACTGGGAAAACCAACTGATTCCTAATTTATCTAAAACACAGGTGTATGCTTTACATCTTGAGAACAGACAACCATCTTGAGCTCTGAGGATTACATGGGAAGGAATCCCATTGGAGCATTGCAACACACCCAAATTCCTGGGAATTACCCTGGGCCATGGTCTGACATACACAAAGCACTGCTTGAATATCAACCAAAAAGTGGGTGCTAGAAAAAATATCATATGAAAGCTGGGGATCACAACCAGATACAGTGAAGACATCTGCCCTTATGTTTTGCTACTCTGCTGTTGCGTGCCCATGCCCAGTGTGGAACACATCTCACCATGCTAAAACAGTGGATGTGGCTCTTAATGTGACATGCTGCATTATCACAGGATGTCTACATCCTACACCACTGGATAGATGGTTTTGTACCACCTGACATCTGCTGGGAAATAGCAGCCAATAAAGAAAGGACCAAGGCAGTGACATCTCCAGCCCACCCCCTAGTTGGATATCAGCCAGCACACCAATGACTTAAATCAAAAATAGTTTTCTAAGATCTACAGAGACATTTGAGGGAACACCTCAGCAAGCGAGAGTCCAAAAGTGGCAGGCTAAAACCTCAAGCCATGGCTGATACCAAATGGGAGACTCCCCCCGGGCACCCAGAAGACTGGGCAACTTGGAAGGCACTGAACAGACTGTGCTCTGGCACCATGAGATGCAGAGCCAAACTTTAAGAAATGGGGCCACAAAGTGGAGTCCACGACATGTGAGTGTGGAGAAGAGCAAACCACAAATCACCTATTACAATCCAATCTGAACCCTGCCACATGCACAATGGAGGACCTTATAGCAACACTGGAGGCACTCCAAGTGGCCAGCTACTGGTCAAAGGACATTTAACATAATGCCAAGTTTTTAAAACTTTGTGTTTTTAAAATACATTACAACTGTACCCTCTGTTCACTTGTGATATGATAAAATAAAGAAAAATCTCCAGATTCTGCCCCCAATATAAACACGGGGTTGACTTATACATAAGTATATACAGCAATTATAATTATCCACAATTTCAGTGGGAAATGTACAATACTCGGGCCTAAGTCCAATGGCTTGTCCCAACTAGAGTTGACCTGCTGAATCAGTTGGCAAGTCAACACTCATGCAAACCTCATTATAGGACTAGCAATTGTACTAGTACATCTGTGTCTTATTTGTTCTATCAGTACATTCCATTTCTTGTGATACTTGCCAATATATGTGAGGATAGCTGTGTCTTTTGCTGTTCCAGCAGCATTACTAGCTAAACAGCCATAGAATCCTGCATCTTTAGGAACTGCATTCTTTATAATTAAAGTGCCCTCAGGAGTTAATCTGTACCTGTAAAAGGAAAAGACAATGTGGGGAAAGCCCTGGCAATTACCGTGAGAGTCTATTGTTATTGTTGAAAACATCAAATGTTAGAACAGAAACCCTTTCATACCACACAATTATAACTCTTATGATGCCACTAATTGCCATGGTCATTCCTGTCTGGCAATGCTAAGCCCAACCTGCTATGGGGTTTTCTTGGCAAGATCAACTCAGAGGAATCTGGAATGTGGGTAACCAATTTCCTTGAAACTGAGAGCCATTGTGGTTATTGGCCATGCTGGCTGGAGATTCTGGAAGATTCAGATCCAAAAAAGAGAATCCTCCAAGTTCTGACTCTACGCCTTTTTTTGGGCTACCACACTGGCAAAGACACTGGAAGAAATATTAAAAACATAAAGCCTTGGGACCCATCTGTAGCCCTTTCCCAACTGAACACTCCCCACTCTTGCTCCATCACCCAAGGGAACCTAATTCAATTGTATTTAGTTAAGCAATATTGCCACTGTTCCTTGCTAGGCATACACTGGAACTCTGTAATAGCCTCAGTTTGTTCAATCTCACAACAGACATAGATAGCCAAATAATTTTTAGCCAAGGACAACACAGCCCAACAAAACAAAAATTCTTGTGTTTTGGTTTTAAGGCTCATTCCTGGGATTATACACGATGCTGATTCAGAAAATTGCATTGGATAGACCACATCAGCTGTAGTTTCTTAGATTTGATTATCATTTTCTATGAGGGAGCAGATGAAGACTGGTAGATGGATCAGTATCTCAAAAACTAGAGCTGATAGGGGAAAACTGGTGCAATTATTGGAATAGTTGGTCAAATACACTCAGAAATAAGGCTAACATTTGTGGCACCAAAATGTGTGTTGGCCAGTGCAATTGATGCATTTTTTCTCTGAAAGAAAACATGGATCAAGAGCATTGCGAAAGGTTTAAATATACCTGTGAGAGCCCATAAGAAACATATCATTGTGAGTCCACACTACTGTTGGTTTCGGATAGCCGGTAGCAGAACAATGGATGGACACCTCAGATCCTCCAGTAAATGACTGGTTTTGGGTTGAGATGGTAGCTTTGGGTGGTTCTGTTAAATAAAATAACACACTAAGTTATTATGGTTTTCCAAAGTACAATATTACTCAAGAACTTTCTTTATTTGTAGGGGTTTGCTACGTGCCCAACATCATCTTATAGTTAGAAGGTGTACAAATCCAGCAACATTAATAAATCTGAAACAGAACAGTAGACATTGAGGGCTATAACCTCTTTCACAGAAACAGAACTAAGAGGAGAGGAAGGGGGTCACTTTTACACTGAACTATGCTATAACCCTTAGATACAGTACTAGCACCTATATAGGCATGTATTTATTTAAAAGTATCTCACACAACAGGAATACTGAACCACTCTTTCCATCTTGAGATTCACTTGAGATTCCACACAGGAATTAGTTGGTACTAATGCCAAAACAAACAAATCACAGGAAGAATTGTCTTCCCTAATACTCAAATGACTTTTCCTTTGAGAGTTTAAACAATGTGCCTGGGAGTATCAATTTCCCCTCATTCATCACCAGATTAATAGAAAAGCCAGCTTTTCTCACTAACAGGCACATTGGCAAGATGAGATGTCAAAACCTTTGATGTGTAGCTGCACAACCTTGCTTCCAGTTTTTTTTTAATAGACTGCTGCTGTTCATTCATTCAGTCGTCTCCGACTCTTCGTGACCTCATGGACCAGCCCACGCCAGAGCTCCCTGTTGGCCGTCACCACCCCCAGCTCCTTCAAGGTCAGTCCAGTCACTTCAAGGATGCCATCCATCCATCTTGCCCTTGGTCGGCCCCTCTTCCTTTTACCTTCCACTTTCCCCAGCATCATTGTCTTCTCTAGGCTTTGCTGTCTCCTCATGATGTGGCCAAAGTACTTCAACTTTGTCTCTAGTATCCTTCCCTCCAATGGCTTTATTTCCTGGAGGATGGACTGGTTGGATCTTCTCGCAGTCCAAGGCACTCTCAGCACTTTCCTCCAACACCACAGCTCAAAAGCATCTCTTCCTTCGCTCAGCCTTCCCTAAGGTCCAGCTCTCACATCCATAGGTGACTACAGGGAATACCATGGCTTTGACTAGGCGGATCTTTGTTGCCAGTCTGATGTCTCTACTCTTTACTATTTTATCGAGATTGGACATTGCTCTCCTCCCAAGAAGTAAGCGTCTTCTGATTTCCTGGCCACAGTCTGCATCTGCAGTAATCTTTGCACCTAGAAATACAACGTCTGTCACGGCCTCCACGTTTTCTCCCTCTATTTCCCAAGGCAGCAGGAGACGACGAGATCCCAGCTGAACTGTTTAAAATCTTAAAAGATGATGCTGTCAAGGTGATGCCTGCCAGCAAATATGGAAAACACAAGAATGGCCATCAGACTGGAAAAAATCAACTTATATCCCCATACCAAAAAAGGGAAATGTGAAAGACTGCTCAACTTCCGTACAGTGGCCCTTATTTCTCATGCCAGTAAGGTAATGCTCAAGATCCTGCAAGGAAGACCCCAGCAATATATGGAGCGAGAGTTGCCAGATCTCTCTGGAGGAACTCTCTGCAAGGAAGACTCCAGCAATACATGGAGCGAGAGTTGCCAGATGTTCAAGCTGGGTTTAGAAAAGGCAGAGGAACCAGAGACCAGATTGCCAATATCCGCTGGATAATGGAGAAAGGCAGGGAGTTTCAGAAAAACATCTCTTTTTGCTTCATTGACTATTCCAAAGCCTTTGACTGTGTGGATCATAATAAACTGTGGCAAGTTCTTGGTGGGATGGGCATCCCAAGCCACCTTGTCTCTCTCCTGAGGAATCTGTACAAGGACCAAGTAGCAACAGTAAGAACTGACCACGGAACAACAGACTGGTTCAAGATTGGGAAAGGCGTATGGCAAGGCTGCATACTCTCACCCAACCTTTTTAACTTGTATGCAGAACACATCATGCGATGTGCGGGGCTTGAGGAATACAAAGCTGGGGTGAAAATTGCTGGAAGAAACATTAACAACCTCAGATATGCAGATGACACCACTCTGATGGCCAAAAGCGAGGAGGAGCCTTCTAATCAAGGTGAAAGAAGAAAGCGCAAAAGCTGGGTTGCAGCTAAACATCAAAAAAACCAAGATTATGGCAACAAGAATGATTGACAACTGGGAAATAGAGGGAGAAAACGTGGAGGCCGTGACAGACTTTTTATAGACTAGCAGGTCCAATAAAGTATACATCTTCCTACACTCTATGTTTCTCACCCAGTGAGGCTAACTTGGCTAATAACAATCCTATCTCCTATGAAACATGACATCATTGTATTTATTTCATAGAAGACAGCCAGAGACTGAAAACCAGAACTCACCAGATTTAGGGAATGGATTTGGCCTGTGGGTCATATGCATGTCCCAGACTGTATTTTTTCAGCCCCTAAAGTTCATTCCAGCCCCCCCTCCCTGCCAATCCCCCCCCCAAGTTATTTTTTGCATGATTTAAAGGTCATTTTTCTCAAAAGCAGAAGGTTGGGGGGAATTGGTCCACAATCACCACACACATTCCATCCATGAAAAGGGGTAAGATGAACTTTGCTTTCTAAAGCCACAGACTAAAAGATGCTCCATGTTCTAATAATAGAATTGCAAGTTATGCAAATAAGAATTCACCAATGGCAATGAAAGTAGGCTTTCCACACTCCGCAAACTCATTCTGAGAGCAAATGGAACTCACCTCAAGAACTTCCATGCCTATAAAGCAGATGAATATTTCAGGGAAATAAAAAAAATCACAAAAGAAACAGATGCAGAATTATAAAAAATATGTAAAAATATGATTTAGTTTAAAGGGGAAATGCATAAATAAATATCTGAAATAAAACAAGAATAGAAGGAAATTTGGAGAAACACAATGAAAATGAGGCTGTAACATTTTTATATCCTTCTTTACAAGTGAGCATTTAGATCAGGGGTCCTCAAACTAAGGCCGGATGCGGCCCTCCAAGGTCATTTACCCGGCCCTCACTCAGGGTCAACCTAAGTATGAAACTACTTGAAAGCACACAATAACAACAACAATCCTATCTCAACGGACAAAAACATACCCACACTTTCCATATAGTAGGTTTATATTTGTTGAAATAGTTCTTAATTTTAATTATTGTATTGTTTTTAAATGTTTTGCACTATAAATAAGATATATGCAGTGTGCATAGGAATTCATTTGTATTTTTTCAAATTATAATCTGGCCCGCCAACAGTTTGAGGGACTGTGACCTGGCCCTCTGTATAAAAAGTTTGTGGACCCCTGATTTAGATCATCACATAGAATGTTTATTGGTCCTGTTAAATTTCTGTTGATTTCAGTATCCTCCCTCATTCCCTCCCTGGACCTGTTAAATTTCTGTTGATTTCAGTATCCTCCCTCACTCCCTCCCTGGACTGATGGGGGCTGCCAGGGAGGGGAAGAGACAAGAGTTAAAATAACACCACCCCACCACTGTCATCCAGCTACGTACTAGAAAGAATTAGAGCACCCCACTTCCTGTGGCTAAACAGGTGTAATATTTGTTTTTCTTGCAGAGACACACTACAAAGGACAAAGAAGGTGAATTGTGCTAATCTCTGTTCCCACATGCTTAGAAGGGAATACCTATCCTCCACATCTTCTGAGCGTGCAGGAGAATAACACCATGTAACACCAGTATAGCTATAGTAAAACACGAGTGATCTGTAAAGTGTGAAATAGCTTTCACATTTTGCGCAAAGAAAGAAAACTAAGCTCCAAATAGTTTTTTAACCAATGTGTATGACGAAGTGATCTGCCATGTGGCCAGATGCCTGAGTATTTTTATTCTGATTTAGATATTGCCAAAACAGCCTGGGGGGGGGGGTATTTTAAATCCTTTGTAAATTTGAAGAAGATCTACTATTATACTGACATTAGGAAACTCAGACTGGCTCCAACAAAAGTTCACGCTGGGTCTGAACAGCACCTCTTCTGACAATACAGTGTTTATTTTATTACACTGTGGAACAGATACTAAAAATGACTGCTTTTGGTTGAGAGACAAACTTTGCACATTGGAGTGGTTCACTCTGAGGAAGGTTAACAAAACATGTGCAAGATCCAATGCAATGACATCTGGCAACAATTACTAGCTTTGTTTTATGTCCCAGCAGTAGCATATGACACAACAAGGACAAAGAAGCCAATGGGAATGTTTTTTTCCCATGGCCAGTTTGCTTTCCAATGGTGGAAAAAACACATCACATTCCATGGCAAAAGATTGCTTCCCTCCCCAAATTTTTTACATACTTTGGTGGTATTCTTTTCTACAAATACAGTCTTTTCAAGTTGGGATTGCTTGTCCCACCAACACCACTAGAACATTATGCTCCTGATATGAGAAATAATTTCACAAGAGAATGGAAGAATAAATGGAGGAACTTAAGGAAACAACTGACCTCTGCCTTTATTCTTAAAGCAATCAGACCATAAAACAATAATTCTGACAAAAGGCAAACAGGAAATGGGGCAGTGCTGACAGGGGATAGGAAAAGGCAGAACTACTTAATGCCTTCTTTGCCTCGGTCTTCTCACAAAAAGAGAGTCTTCAACCTCAGCAAGATGGAGTGGATGAGGGATTGGAGGACATCCAACCCCAAATTGGGAAACAAGTCATCCAGGAATACCTGGCCGCTCTTAATGAGTTCAAGTCCCCAGGGCCAGATCAACTACACCCAAGAGTATTGAAGGAACTAGCGGAAGTCATTTCGGAACCATTGGCAACCATCTTTGAGAGTTCTTGGAGAACGGGAGAAGTTCCAGCAGATTGGAGGAGGGCCAATGTGGTCCCAATCTTCAAGAAGGGAAAAAAGGATGACCCAAACAACTACCGTCCGGTCAGCCTCACGTCGATACCGGCAAGATTCTGGAAAAGATTGTTAAGGAAGTGGTCTGCAAACACTTAGAAACAAATGCAGTCATCGCTAATAGTCAACATGGATTTATCAAAAACAAGTCATGCCAGACTAATCTGATCTCTTTTTTCGATAGAGTTACAAGCTGGGTAGATGCGGGGAATGCCGTGGATGGAGCGTACCTGGATTTCAGGAAGGCCTTCTTTGACAAGGTCCCCCATGACCTTCTGGCAAGGAAACTAGTCCAATGTGGGCTAGGCAAAACTACGGTGAGGTGGATCTGTAATTGGTTAAATGGAAAAACCCAGAGGACCAATGCTTCCTCTTCATCTTGGAAAGAAGTGACAAGTGGAGTGCCACAGGGTTCCGTCCTGGGCCTGGTCCTGTTCAACATCTTTATTAATGACTTAGATGAAGGGTAGAAGGCATGATCATCAAGTTTGCAGACAACACCAAATTGGGAGGGAGAGCCAAGACTCCAGAGGACAGGAGCAGAATCTAAAGGGATCTCAACAGATTAGAGAAATGGTTGGCCAAAACTAAGATAATGAAATTCAACAGTGACAAATGCAAGATACTCCACTTAGGCAGAAAAAATGAAATGCAAAGATACAGAATGGGGGACGCCTGGCTTGAGAGCAGTACGTGTGAAAAAGATCTTGGAGTCCTCGTGGACAACAAGTTAAACATGAGCCAACAATGTGATGTGGCGGCAAAAAAGCCAATGGGATTTTGGCCTGCATCAATAGGAGCATAGTGTCTAGATCTAGGGAAGTAATGCTACCCCTCTATTCTGCTTTGGTTAGACCACATCTGGAATATTGGGTCCAATTCTGGGCACCACAATTCAAGAGAGATATTGACAAGCTGGAATGTGTCCAGAGGAGGGCGACTAAAATGATCAAGGGTCTGGAGAACAAGCCCTATGAGGAGCGGCTTAAGGAGCTGGGCATGTTTAGCCTGAAGAAGAGAAGGCTGAGAGGAGATATGATAGCCATAGCCATGTATAAATATGTGAGAGGAAGCCACAGGGAGGAGGGAGCAAGCTTGTTTTCTGCTTCCTTGGAGACTAGGACGCGGAACAATGGCTTCAAACTACAAGAGAGGAGATTCCATCTGAACATTAGGAAGAACTTCCTGACTGTGAGAGCCATTCAGCAGTGGAACTCTCTGCCCCGGAGTGTGGTGGAGGCTCCTTCTTTGGAAGCTTTTAAGCAGAGGCTGGATGGCCATTTGTCAGGGGGGATTTGAATGCAATATTCCTGCTTCTTGGCAGGGGGTTGGACTGGATGGCCCATGAGGTCTCTTCCAACTCTTTGATTCTATGATTCTATGAAATGTGGTGAAAGCTGTTTGTTTGAAAAGGTATTCATGCAGAAGGGGTGATTTCTTCTCCTCCCAGCTTCCCAAGTTTAAAACTAAATTCTCAGTTGTATAGATTTATCAGTTTGTCACACATGGCAGTTCTCCAAGCTTCACCCAGAAAGTGTCCCAAAAGTTGAGCACCTGCATAGTTTCTGGTTTCAACAACATCCACAATGAACATCTGATAGAATCTGAGCAGGTTCCATGTGGAGAACAAGGGATAACAAAAGTCAACAGGTAATAATATTGACTGTTTGGGAAATCAAGATCAGTCCTACAACCAAGCAGATGAAATGGTGGATGCCTGAGGGAAGCAGAGACTATCCCCCCCAATAGTTCTGCCTGAACTCCTGGAGTTTTTTCCTTTTTGGGAGACTGTTGTGCTTTTGTTTCATCTATGTATTTGCAAATGCACAGGTGGGGCAGACAGAAAACAAGCATGTTCACAGTCAAACCTGCTTGTTTGTTCCAAGACAACCCAAGAAGTTGTTCTGCTTGGTGGAACTTCTTAGCAGCCTACTTCTGGCCATTCCAAAGTCAAACTTTTCCCTTGCCTTGGCCATGTTCCAAAACTTACAAATATCCTATAAAACTGTGGTCCCGCCCCCAAATGGGATCCCCTTGGGTCATAAAAATTTTCCCACTGGAAAGGGATATCTACTGACTGGCACATTTTCCACCCATAGTTCCCCTTCATACAACAATATTTGAGAAGGAGAGGGGGAAAGAACAAAAGGAACTTATAAAAGGCAACCTTGACATATCATTGGAAGACTGATGAAAAGTTTCTCACCAATTTAATTCCTGAAGTGAAGGCAAGAATACTGATAGAATCAGGACCACAGTATTATAGAAATTGCTTTTCCCAACTAAACTCCTCTTGTATTGCTTTCCTAGTTAAAATTGCTACCATTCTTGCTGAAGCTGTTTTGTCCCACCGACAGTAATAGCTGGTAGCACTGAAGCTACTGGAGCAATGAATTCACAGTAAGTTTCAGCCTGAACTTTAAGTGAATTATCCCAAGCATGAAACCTATTTTACAGATAAAATTAGCAGGAGAAGGAATGACTGCTTACCTGTAACCATGCTTCTTCAAATGGTCACCTGTGAAATCCTCACATCCCCACCCATCCTTCTCGCTATCAGTCATGTCTCAGTCTCTCTGCCATTGCACAGTGAAAGAACTCGGAACTGAGGCTACAGCCCTGCCCATGCCCTATATGCCTTCTGGGGAAGATGGGCATGGCCATAGCCTTAAAGTCATAGAAGAGCTTATCAGAAGAGTCCGAGCTGCTGCACATGTGCATCAGTTACTACTATATCTGTGGATTTCATAGGTGACCACTCAAAGAAACATGGTCACATGTAAGCAACCATTCCTTCACCCTTATCCAGGGAGCACAGAACCCAGTCAATATCAGATCTGGACCAAACTTGGCACACAGACCCTAGATGACCAACTGTGAATACAGGCCTGGTTTGGGGGTGATTTGACCTTGGATCTAGGAGTTCTCCAGAAGAGGGTGACTAAAATAATCAAGGGTCTGGAGGAAAAGGCCTATGAGGAGTGGCTTAAAGAGCTGGGCATGTTTAGCCTGAAGAAGTGAAGCTGAGAGGAGATTTCAATGTATAAATATGTGAGGGGAACTCATAGGGAGAATGGAGCAAGCTAGTTTTCTGCTGCCCTGGAGTCTAGGACGCAGAACAATGGCTTCAAATTACAGGAAAGAAGATTCCTCCTGAACATTAGGAAGAACTTCCTAACTGTGAGAGCTGTTCAGCGGTGGAACTCTCTATCCCGGAATGTGGTGGAGGCTCCTTCTTTGGAGGCTTTTAAGCAGAGGCTTGGATGGCCATCTGTTAGGGATGCTTTGAATGCGATTTTCCTGCTTCTTGGCAGGGGGTTGGACTGGATGGCCCATAAGGTCTTTTCCAACTGAATTATTCTATAAGTTGTCTCTGGAGGGTTACAGGTACACTGGGCATCATCAAGCCTGGAAAGAAGTATTGCTATCACTTAATTATGAAAGACATTTTGGATTTTTTAAGCACATGACCTTAAGCATTTCAGAGAAATTGAAGGAATTATACATGTGAATGTCTGTGTTGAAATAATTAATCAAATAGATAAGAGAAAAGTATAAGAACAATATGTCTTTATCACCATGCACACAAAGACCAAACTGTGATTACAGGTGGGGAGAAAGAAAGGAATCCCCCCTTTCTAAATGCAAAAGGTTCTTTTCCATATTACCTTGCACTGTAAGGAATACAGATGCCACAGTGGAGCCACCTTCATTAGAAGCCACACAGTAGTACTCTCCCGCATCTGAAACTGTTACTGCTTTGACTTCCAGGGAAAGGTTACTCAGCATTCTTATCCTGGTAGGCTCCATGAGTTTCAGGTCCCTGTTGTTTCGATGCCAAGTGAGATTGTAACGCACAGTGCTCACAGTTAAGCATGTCAATAGGGCTCGGCCCCCAGGAATTACAGTAACATTATTGGGAACTTGAATGATAGGGGGAGGTTCTGCAATGGAAACAAAAATAAGCAGCCATATTATTCACAAGAATGGTGAAAGAAAAGCCTCAATTAACTACTAGCTCATGTACAAAGAGGATTAATCCTCCATGAGTGGCACAGTTCTTACGGCCAGATGAGGTATGCTACAAAGCTGGGTTCTAGGCACTTGGCTACATCAAGGTTAGAGCTACCTGAAAGCATTTCTGTTAATCAGGAAATACTCCATATACAATATGTTGTGCAGATAAGATAACTAAGATAACTAATTCTTCACATATATGAAGAATGCTAAGGGCATTTGACCCGGTTAAGTGAGTGATTGCTCCAATTGATGGACAGTTCATTTCCTGTTGTTGGATGGCTAAGGGCATTTGACCCAGTTAAGTGAGTGATTGTTCCCTGTTCTTTGAAGCCAGCAGTTGAGTGAGCTTTTGTTTCCTGTTCTTTGAAGGCTAAGGGCAGGGCCATAGCCAGAAAAAAAATTCGGGAAGGGTTGAAATTTTGGGGGCGGGGGGGTTGAAACCTGCCTTCTAGCTCACGCTGAAGCAAAGAGCACAGAAGGGGCAGAGCAGCCTTCAATAGCCTGCAGCTCCACCCTTGTCAACCACCTCCACCAAGTCTGGCCTCCTTAATGAGAGCATTCAACACACACACACTCAACTTGGTTGCTTCACTACATCAGCTATTGCTGCAAGTAATGACAGTGTGAATAAATTGTCAATATTTAAGGCCTTGCATGGTCTGGGGCCGATGTACCTGAGGGACCGCCTCACCCCCGTACCAACACCAGAGATCCCTCCGTTCTGAGGACCAAGATCTATTGGAAATTCCCAGTGTCAAGACCTTGCGTCTAACAGCAACCAGACACAGACCCTTTACAGCAGTGGCACCATCACTCTGGAATACTCTGCCACCTGAAGTCCGTGCCTTGCGGGACTTATCAGCTTTCCGCAGGGCATGTAAGACATATCTGTTTCGACAGGACTTTGATCTCTGATATTGCTGTTTTTAAATTGTTTTAAATTGTTTTAAAATTGTGTTCGATTTTAGCCTGTTCTTGTAAGCCGCTCCGAGCCCCAGAGGAGTGGCAGCATATAAATTCGAATAACAAATAAATAAATAAATAAATAAATAAATAGTTGCTTGAGATAGTGTTTGCAGTTCTGGAGGGACTCTTAATTTTTTACATCTCATAGACTTAGCATGGGGATTTGGTTAACCAGTTAAAATTCATGAGTAAACCAGGTTTTTTTAAAAAATCGAAACATTTTGGGGCGGGGGGGGGGTTGAACCCCTAAACCCCCCCCCCCTTCGCTACAGGCCTGGCTAAGGGCATTTAACCCAGTGGCTGAACTCAAGTGGCAGTTGGGCTCCTACAGAAGTTGAGGAATCAAGAAGCCACTTTTGCTCCCTTGCTTCATGACTTAGATTGAACTAGAAAGCTGAGTGTGTGCTTGACTCCTGTAGTTAAAGGCTAGCTGCTCTGCTGGGGGCACCAGAAAGCTGTGCGTTTGTTTTGAAGGCAAGGCTAGGTACTTCAGCCACCAGTTGATTGACAGTTTGTTTCCTGTTGTTGTTGGAGGGCTAAGGACATTTGACCCAGCATTTCATGCGCCACAAGGCATGTGCAAAACCACACCTTCACTACTGCACACGTTTACAATACACACAGATAGCAAAACAATACAAAACAAACACACAAAAGGAAAATGGCCCGCCCTTGTATCCTATTACCGTTACCTCCTTCTCTGCCTCTCAACTCTCGCTCCTGAGGACTGCAGTGAAGCAGTGCAGGCGCGCATATGCAATTTCTGAGAGGTAGAGGAGGTACGGTAATAGAAGGAGGTTGTTGGGGTTCAGCCTGATCCTGATCTGTGTGAACAGGATTCTCTGATAGTTTTTCAAACTGGGCAAGCTCTCCCTGACTCTGACAGTGTGGAATCTGTTGTTGATGCAGAGATCAGTGGGAATGAAAACGAAACGAAAGCTCTCCCTGACTCTGACAGTGTGGAATGTGTTGTTGATGCAGAGGTCAGTGGGAATGAAAACGAAACCCAACAGTTAGAAGAGAATGTTTTGGAAGTTAGCCGTGATATCTCCCCACCTGGGCTTGATAATGAGGTCCGAAGAGAACAGATAGTCAGAGATAGATTTGTTTCCCAGTCTGTACGAAGGTCACAGCGCCTTCAGCAGAAAGAGGCCCAAACAGAAAAGTCAAGGGGCGTTTCTAAGAATAGCTTCTTTGGTTTAAGAGCATCCCTGCCGGGTGCTTCTTTAGGTCAAGCAACGTTCGGGACTGTGGCTGGTCTTGGCAGAATTCCTGTGTTCCATGGCCAGTAATCCCAGAGGCTTCTGTTTCCAAGTTCATGGTTAGTAAAAGGCTAACAGACTCCTGGTTATTGTTTTGTGGCTTTTGAAGTTTTGCTCAAGTTCAGAGATCCTATTGACTACTGTGTTTTTCTGTGGCTTTTTGACTCTGCATTTACCTTTCTTTTGTAACCAATTTTTCATCAATAAACAAGGATTGCTTTTCCTACAGTCCAGAGTGGTGGATTTAATCTTATGGTCTTGTTTCTTGAACTGGGATGCAACAGAGGTACGATAATCCACAACTCCCACCATAATGAGCCCTCCTCCACTAACAATCTGTTTATCTCACCTGAGCTTTTTAACCAGTTTTAATTAGTTCATCTTTTAACCATTACATGTGGCCCGCCCATTGTCACTGTGTTTGTGTTTATTGTAATTTTATATTGTTGTATCTTCATTTTTTGTAATTATGATGTTGTTTATTGTTTATTGTTCCCGTTTTCAGTTTGCGTTCAGTTGTTCTTTATTGTAATTGTTGTTCGGGCTTGGCCCCATGTAAGCCGCTCCGAGTCCCCATCGGGGAGATGGTGGCGGGGTACAAATAAGGTTTATTATTATTATTATTATTATTTATTATTATTATTATTATTATTATTATTATAGGAAAATTACCACACTGTAATCAAATCTGCTCCAGCAAAGGATCACCGCCTTGTCGGGGCGCTGGAGCTTGAGCACCTCAATGATGTCATGAGCGAAACCGTGAAGGGCCACCCAAGACGGGACGGTTGTGGCAGAGAGGTCAGACCAAGCGTGATCCCTGGGGAAGGCAATGGCAAACCACTCCAGTATACTTGCCAAGAAAACTAAATGGACCAGTACAACCAGAGATATGTCGGTATGCCATTGGAAGATGGGACTCCCAGGTCGGAAGATGGCCAAAATGCTACTGGGGAGGAGCAGAGGATAAGTTCAACTAGCCCCAGATGTGATGACGCAGCTAGCTCAAAGCCGAAAGGAAGGCTAGCGGCCGACGGTACTGGAGGTGAACGACGAATCATGTTCTAAAGATCAACACACTATAGGAACCTGGAATGTAAGATCTATGAGCCAGGGCAAACTGGATGTTGTTATTGGTGAGATGTCACGACTGGGGGTCAACGAACTGAAATGGACCGGAATGGGCCACTTCACATAAGATGACCACCAGATCTACTACTGTGGACAAGAGGAACATCGAAGAAATGGAGTAGCCTTCATAATTAATAAGAAATTCGCTAAAGCGGTGCTTGGATACAACCCAAAAAATGACAGAATGATCTCAATTCGAGTGGAAGGAAAGCCTTTCAACATTACAGTGATCCAAATATACGCCCCAACCACAGCTGCTGAAGAAGCAGAAGTAGATCAGTTCTATGAGGATCTGAAGGAACTACTGGATAATACACCAAAAAGAGACATTATTTTCATTACAGGAGACTGGAATGCCAAGGTGGGAAGTCAAATGACAACTGGGATCACAGGCAAGCATGGTCTGGGAGAACAAAATGAAGCGGGACGCAGGCTGATAGAATTTTGCCAGGAAAACTCGCTGTGTATAACAAACACTCTCTTCCAACAACCTAAAAGACGGCTTTATACATGGACCTCACCAGATGGTCAACACCGAAATCAGATTGACTACATCCTTTGGAGCCAAAGGTGGCGGACATCCATCCAGTCGGTGAAAACAAGACCTGGGGCTGACTGTAGCTCAGATCACGAACTTCTTATTGCTCAATTTAGAATAAAACTAAAGAGATCAGGGAAAATACACAGACCAGTTAGATATGATCTCACTAACATTCCGAGCGAATATACAGTGGAAGTGAAGAACAGATTTGAAGGACTAGATTTAGTAAACAGAGTCCCAGAAGAACTATGGACAGAAGTCCGCAACATTGTTCAGGAGACGGCAACAAAGTACGTTCCAAAGAAAAAGAAAACCAAGAAGGCAAAATGGTTGTCTGCTGAGACACTGGAAGTAGCCCAAGAAAGGAGGAAAGCAAAAGGAAACAGTGATAAGGGGAGATATGCCCAGTTAAATGCGCAATTCCAGAGGTTAGCCAGAAGAGATAAGGAACTATTTTTAAATAAGCAATGCATGGAAGTGGAAGAAGACAACAGAATAGGAAGGACAAGAGACCTCTTCCAGAAAATTAGAAACATTGGAGGTAAATTTCAGGCAAAAATTGGTATGATAAGAAACAAAGATGGCAGGGACCTAACAGAAGCTGAAAAGATCAAGAGAAGGTGGCGAGACTATACAGAAGATCTGTATAGGAAGGATAATAATATTGAGGATAGTTTTGACGGTGTGGTGAATGAATTAGAACCAGACATCCTGAGGAGTGAGGTTGAATGGGCCTTAAGAAGCATTGCTAACAACAAGGCAGCAGGAGACGACGGGATCCCAGCTGAACTGTTTAAAATCTTAAAAGATGATGCGGTCAAGGTGATGCATGCCATTTGCCAGCAAATATGGAAAACACAAGAATGGCCATCAGACTGGAAAAAATCAACTTATATCCCCATACCAAAAAAGGGAAATGCGAAAGACTGCTCAAACTTCCGTACAGTGGCCCTGATTTCTCATCATGCCAGTAAGGTAATGCTCAAGATCCTGCAAGGAAGACTCCAGCAATACATGGAGCGAG